TCGAAAAAAATTTTATTGCGCTGAAATTATGCATGAAGATATAATGTAAGCGCGGCATGAAAACATCATAAATTTATTTACATGCCAATGTCAAATAGTCGGTATTAAAGTCGATGATCGATGTCTATAACCAACTTCGAAAATGTGAATATATGAGTAGGAGGGTTAGTATGATATTGAAGAGAATACAAGCTTTGTCATCATTTTCAATAAATTTTTTAAAAATTGTATGTTATAAAGTTGATCAAATAATTCAGTGCCACTCTTCAAAAGAAATTTTTTGGGTTAAAAGGCACAAAATTATTTGAACAACAATAATTTGAATTGTAATTTCAAAATGTTATTGCAGAATACCTAGGTTAAAGGTTAAAAAGAAACAGAGAGGCGTAACGGCATACATTGAACTCTCAAGCCAAGCCAAGATACCATCAAAGCTTAGCTAGGCATCTTTTTGTCATTCTACCTTTTAGTCTTCTACATCTAAGCTCTCTCTTTTTATCAACTTAAGACTTCTTTTTATCATTACAAAGCCATAAGTATTATAAGCAATGGGTATTTTTACTATGGTAAAATTTTATTCCGTACTAGTCTTTAAAATTTATAAATTTTAATTTTAAAAAAACATGTTTATACCTTATATATACATATCTTTAACACTCCCTTTTTCAACTACAATCCCAACCAGCTTGCTTACCGTAACTCCTACTAACAAAAAAGCACGATTGTACAAAAACAGAAGCCACTATATACTAGCATTTAAATTGATGTCGTGCTGGAGGCGAATTTATCAAATCTCAATAAATAGCATTAGATATTCGCCTGTCTGTCAAAATATAAAACAAAATTTATAGCCACAAATCCATTATTAATAACTTTTTCAAAAGAAATTTTAATTCATTCGTCGTATTTGAATACCGTAACCAGTTGTGGGGTATGTTTTGTCAATGACATTTTATGATTAGTTGGTAATATATTGGTTACTTCTGTGTCATCGTACTTAAGATGAGGGTAAGCATGTTGATGTAGACCATGTATAATAAGACATTTTGTTTAAACTTTAATTTCTCTTGCAGAAACTTTGTTTACAGTTCATATTCATCACAAAATGTTTCACAATAGACCATTGCTCAAGCTTTTATTACAGTAATTTTGTCAAAACTTTGTTTACACCCATCGTTTGCCAGAACTTTGTTTACAATAGTCAATGTCCACCGCCCTGACAGTTATTGTTGAACCAGATATAACAAAGTGAGACGGTGTGATCAAAGAAAAGTTGTGACAAAAAGAAAAGTCATGTTTCTCCGCTCATTAATGTTAAATAAATAGAAGAAATCGCGAGAAAAAAGTTTGCGCATGGATTTGTAACTAAACAACCCTACCATCGTTATGTCATCGAGCAACGAGGAAATGGTACTGTAACGGTTTTACAGTAGTTAATATATTTAGAAACTAAATTTAAAAAAATTATCAATATTGTCTACAAAGCAAAGAATAAAGTGAAGGTTTTAGAAAGGAAAAAGAGGGATAGAGAGGGAGGGATAAATGTTAAACAGGGGGGGGTAAAAAAATATTTTTTATCTTACAGATATTTAATATTTTAAATTTTTTATAATGTAATATTTAATTGGCATACCAAATTCCACTTAAAAAATTGATATTTTCTTTTTCCCCTCCCTCCACCCAAACAAAAATAATAAAAAATCCCACCGGCCCAAAAAATCACGTAGGTTTCTTTTACCAAGCTAATTTTACAACTTGGTATTTCATATTCTATCATAATATCTTCTCTCACTTGGTAAAATACGTGTTACCGCGCCTGACAGCTTTACTATACTCGCAAATTTAAAAAACAATATCACTTTCATTGACATTATTTAACAAAAGTAAACATACAGTCTTAACCTCCCAACTCGAAATGACGAAAAAAAACAAGTGTGCCCCTCCTTAAACCGCCATCCCAGCTTATAACCAGTTTCGGTAAAACACAAAAAGTAACATGCCGTATTTTAAGAAAAAGCCCACTCGAGCCGCCTGACAAGTAGGCGATTACAATAATTACAAATCTTTTTACAAAGTGCGTACTTTTAATAATAGTAAGTCAGTGGCGATGGTCATTCGAAGACCTCTTTTCAGTCGATTCTCCTCAAGTTGTTTTTCCATTCAAAAAACATAAAACATAATGTCTCCCAATTTAATATCGCCCCATTATGTGTGTCGCTTTTGTATAACGTTTAACGCGACATTGTGTACAATATAAGAGGTATGGGGGGGATTGTAAGGATAGGGTGTTGAACGTTAATGAATATACACATTGCCGGAGGGGTAAATGTATAATATGTTGTAGAATGAGTAAATGCATACTATATAATGGCAGAGGGGTAATTGTGGTCTAGGAAAAGCTGACCAAAGGAGAACACACAAATTTTGAAAATTAAATATGGAAGCCACGTTCAATTAATTTTTTTTTTAATTTACCCCGCCAAAACTCCACTCCGTCTCTACCAACCAACATTGCCATTTTAAGCGGCAAAATGATTTAAAAAATGTCATCAAAAACCAACAAATCCACCCCAAATCAACATAAACCATGCCTGAATTGTGACCAATGTGAGAATAAGGAAATCGTAACGTGACGTCGTTGCTTTAAATGAATATCTAATTATATCCCCTAATTTGTTGCTCGGATCACTTTTTTGAATCCTGATTAAGAACAAAAAGAAACGCTTTTAATGAATGAAATAAAACTTTTTCTAATCAAACATATTTCACGCATTACACGGTTGTAGATTATAGGGGGATTAATCAAAAATGTCAGTTTTATTGATTGAAATTGCTTTGATCTTAATTTTTTAAATTAAAAATAAGGTGTCATGGTTATATAAAAAATTGCAAAAAAAAACGTTTTTACCCCTTCCCATACCTAACAAAAAAATTAAAATTTGGAAATTGCCACTTACAAAATAAAAATTTAAAAAATTTGAAAATGTCAACCAGTGTATGCAAACCATAGTTAACATTCCTTTGCCAAACCTAACTCATAAGACATCCTCGTATTTTACAAAACAATAAAAAAAGTTCAGAAATCCTAGAAATTTAGCAAAAAGTCTATTTTTGTCGCTTTGGCGACGTTCTACTACAATTACGCAATCGCCTTTTATTACTCATTTAGCAGACTTTAAGTGCGTTGAAACTCTCGTTAAAGAATCACTCAAGCGCTGTAGCAGTAAGAACATATCTTCTACAACATGGATTTGCGTTCAAAGTAATTGAGTTTGACTCATTCTAATTGTTACGCAAAGTTGTTAAAAATGACATCGAAAAGGTGAGACTTGTTGATTAAATTTGGTTTTTTGGAGAGTTGGAGTAAGACTGATGAAAGATTTTTTATAAATATATGGCTAAAATAAGTGACTTTCATAAAATTTTTTTTAGTAAAACGTCTTAACTTCTCCACAAAACGGCAATAATATCCATCCAATTAAGCCAAAAACTAAAGTTCCTCTAAGCTACGTTAAAAATGTCATCAAATTCATAAATCCCAAAAATTCATCAGAAACAAACCTTTTACGCATTACAGTAACCTTTGCACTAATTGAAACCCCACGTAACAGTGGAAACACCCGCAAATCCCAAATTGATATGAAGAAAGTAGTGAACATGTTCCTTCTAATGTTGTTTTTAGAGCGAATCCCCCCCCCCTTCCCTTAAAAATCAACTCGGATTGAATCGTTGAGAAATGAAAAGAAAATTAACGTTAGCCGAAGGTGAAACAAGAAACAACTTGCAACATCCACAAGTTAACAACGGATTACGCAATTTGTCATCCAACTTGTTTTGTCAATGTTATTTTAGATTTATTTGTGGTAATTGAAAATCGTGAAATAAAATAATTAAAAGGATATATGAAGATAGTTTTGCAATAAAAATTTTAAATAATACCTTATTCGAAGTTGCCATTACATACATTTTTTAAATTATTATTATTAATATAATTAAATTAAAAAATATGTAAAGAAGTAAAAAGAAAAGAGGCTGTGACAAATAAGTTTACTAACATTTCTGCTACGAGCTGAAGTCTTGAGGAGCATCTCATCACATATCGAGAAACAGGATCACCTGGGTGGGGCCCAATTGGAAACTGGTACATCGGATTGTTCTGACGATCTTCATCAAACTCTCATCATATTTCTCATGTCTCAATCTATATATATCTTGTCTTAAAAAAGGGATATGTAGATGATTTTAATTTTTAATAATTGTAAAAAAGAATTATCTATCAAAGAAAAGGTAATTTTTTAAAAGAGGGCACATTTTCTATTTTGCAAATTTGAAGATAATGCGAAGCATTAAACTACATTTTATAAAAATTTTTAAATATGTAAAATGAATTTATAAAATGAAACAAATTTTTTGAAACCATATGTGTCGCTCACTCATATTTTTTGATACTTTATGGTACATTTGATAGTTAAGGTCTTTCAACTCTTAACCATCTTCTGTTGAGTTTAAAATCTTAATATTCAACCAACAACCATATAAGTTTACTTTTTAGAGCTATAAAAAAACTTGAGGACTTCCGCTTTAATGTAAACACGTCCAAATTCGGAGATGCGCGATGAGCGGAGGGATGAGACACGGCCAACCCATCGGCGGAGACAATAATATGTGGCCTACTTTTCGCTCATTTCATTGTGTTTAATTGCTCTACTTTTGTACAGTAGGTGCTGTAGGTTTATTGGTAACGAATTCAAGTTTCAAAATGTTTTGGTTTTAACTCAAAAAGTTACAATAACTTGTTTTATTCTATAGCTATAGTAATTTTAATATTATAGTTATAGCGGTAATTTTAAAAAGGTTTTACACGGTTACGGTATTTTAATTTTATGTTTCACAGGGTCTTTAAGTTGCTTTAACACATAAGTTTACCACGTTTCTGTAATATCACTTATACTAATATGCACTAACTGTATCATAAACATTACCTTCCAGAAACCAGAACGATGGGCTTCAAATTGTTCGCAACTTCTGTATTCATCGTGACGTTGAGTTATGTGGCATTGGAAGTGGAAGCCGGGTGTTGTTGTTGTGGTGGAGGTTGTGGATGTTGCAGATGTTGTCAGTATTGTTGCCCCCAGCCTCCAATCATTATCCAGCCACCTCCAGCACTACATAATGTTTGTCACGTACCTTGTAGTTGTGGATGTTGTTGCAAGCCATGTTGTTGTTGTAAACCTTGCTGTTGTTGTAAGTTTTTTAATTTTAAAGATACGTTTACCGTATTTTACCCAAATATATTTATAATCATTTTACTTTGTTTAATAGATTTTATAGTATATATTACCTATACGTTAACTATAAGATAAAGCAAAAATGACTTTTACTGTATCAAAAACTAGGATGTAATGTCTAAATAGCGTGTCCGTCTACCGTCTCAAAGCCTACAAACAAGCTACAAAACAACCTAAATCTTCCAAACAACGGTTACGGATGTTCAAGTTGCTACAAAAGTGATATACCACAATCAGAACAGGATTCATTGCCCAAAAACCCTTATATGTGCAACGAATGTTACTCAAACAACTGTTGTAACAGGATCGACAACTGTGATACCAACAATTGCAAACTTCAATGCGATAACTGCGACAATTATGGATGTTGCGGGGGTTGCGGCAACAACTGTGGAGGTTGTGGAAGTTGTTGTGGATGTGATAGTAACTGTGAAGAATCAGAAGACACGATAAAATCCTTAAATGACGCTAAAAACAAACCAAAGATTCTGAAATCGCTACATAAAGCTTTAATGTCATTGTTTGGAAGACATCATGTTACCAAAATGAAAGCAAATTTGGTACCGCCAGAGCCAAAAGAAGTTCGACAAGAAAGAGTTGAAGATACTACGGCCACTGCGGTTATCAGTGAAGTTGATAAAAGTGTAAAAGATGTACAAGACGTAGAAGAGACTACTGAATTTACAAATTCTAAAGAAAGATCAACCGAAGCTTCGAAAGCTCAAGAAGACAAAGTTTTAGAAGAAGAAGCTGCGGACAAGAACGATAACCATGATGAAGATGGTCTTGAGACTACTACTGACCCACTTTTACAGTATTTTACTGAGAGCAGTAACACTGCCCATAAGAAAGAAAAAAACGGCGTTAGGACTATAATACTGTAATTAAAAGTCTACCTTCCAAGCTCTACCCTGTTGTATTTCTTACATATTCCATATCTGTATTACAACACTACCTTCTAATACATAGTTATAATATTAACATACCCAAAATTTAGGCCCTTGTTGTGGAGGTCGTAAGAAGCGTTCATCTGATGCCATTGAACGTCTGTGCATTGCCAAGGTCAGTCGTCGCTGTGCTGAAGGCAAATTCAAAATTGCTGAACCTTTGGCCGATGACAAAACTGTCATTCCAGTCGGATTACCTACCCGAGCTCGACGATCATTAAACAAAAAAGTAAAACAATTCGGAAAATGTACATGCTAATAATATTAACCATTACTTTTGTTTTATACTTATTAATAAACTTATGTTGTTTTAATATTTATATTTATAAACAAAGGTTTAAAGATTGCTTTTGAAATTTTTTTAAAAATTATTTTCGTTCATTTGTACTTTCCATTTTGGCGCCAAATTCGTCCCCTTCACCTCCGTTTTCCATCGTCCACTTTTGGCGCGAACCCGCAAGCCCCGCCCCTTTCCTTCACGACCGGTATAAAAGGCCGGCCAAATCGCCATTCCCTTCATACGACTTGTTCGTTCAATTGGAATCAGCTCAACTATGTCTGGACGTGGAAAGGGAGGAAAAGGTCTCGGAAAGGGAGGCGCCAAGCGTCATCGCAAAGTACTCCGTGATAACATCCAAGGTATCACCAAGCCAGCCATCCGCCGTCTCGCTCGTCGTGGTGGAGTCAAGAGAATCTCCGGCCTCATCTACGAAGAAACCCGTGGTGTCCTGAAGGTCTTCCTTGAAAACGTGATCCGTGACGCCGTCACCTACTGTGAGCACGCCAAGAGAAAAACTGTCACCGCCATGGACGTCGTCTACGCTCTCAAGCGCCAAGGCAGAACCCTCTACGGTTTCGGTGGATAAGATGTCTCACCTCAACGTTCCGTGCCTGTACCTTCACACAGCATCAGTTTGATCCCAAACGGCCCTCTTCAGGGCCACAATTAACTTTGCCATATTTATTGCGAATAAATGTCTTATTTGTACAATTTTACATGTTTTTAAAACGTTTTTATAAGTGTAAATTTGAGGAAATGAATATAGATAGGTTTAATCAAAAATTAAGGAGTGGGTATTAGTTCAGTAGAAATTAGAATGCAATTTGACTTTTCGATTTTTATCAAGACATCAGATTGGTTTTACCCTGATATCAGTATACAAATAGAAATTGACCACCCTATTTATTGAATTTACACGTTAATCTTTGTTTTCATATGTGACATGAAAGCTCACGTAAGTATAGTAAACTTGAAAACTGCACGTATATAAAAAACGTAAAAATTCAGGGTAGAAAAGTGACAAATAAAATAAGAGTAGATTTAGCGTTTTACCTTGAAAGACTAATAAAACCCTTCAAATCTTGTTCAATCGACTGAAGTCTGCCTTTCACTCTATAGAAGTTTTAAGGCCGCATTCTCGATCAGTAGCTACTGAAACAGCTATGGAGTTTATGTCCGTGATGGCAAGTGAAAGATGTGAAGATCTACTTGAGTAAGTTGGCTTTTCTTTGTTTGGATTCCAAATTTAGGTAACAAATGAAGGAAAACTAGTTTTCATGGCTCTTGGGTTGGGCAAAATCAAAAGAAAGCCATGCCTAAATTACAAACTTTTCTCCGTTTCTTCGTGTAGCTTTTTGTAAATCTGCCTTCTACTTTTAATTTTCTAGAAATTTTAGGTAACAAAGCTTGTTTTTTATGAAGGAAAAGCAGAAATTGCGATAACAACATAATATTTTTATAAAACTGACTAAAATACTATTTTTCATCAAAAAGTATATATTATATGATTAAAGTCAGAATTTAGGTAACAAAACATGTATTTTGACAGGACAAACGATATTTTTATCCAACAAAAACTTACAGGTAAATACATATAACTGTAAATAACAATACCACAAAGTTTAAGTAACAACGAGATCAGTTTTTGATATAAAATTTAAGATTTTGTTTAAAAATTGTGAAAATTATTGGAAAAAATGTAAATAAGAGTTTCCCTAAAATATTGCTATTTTTGACCATTCAGATTCAGAATTTTTACACTTTCATATTTTCAAATTGTTTTTGGATCCTCTAGAAGCTCCGAGAAGCTATACCCAGCCAGCTTCTTTCATACCCTGTCCAGAATCGCGCCTTTTTTGACCTCCACCAAGAAAAGCTATTCGACCGCTTTTCGCGCCAATTTTTCCGATTGTTTGACCATTCCGTAAGCCCCGCCCACTCCGATAGAGAATATAAAAGACCAGGATCGCTTCGCCTTCTCTTCATACCAAATTTTTGGTTCGATCAGCGCTCAAAACCCCAAACGAATATGTCTGGACGTGGAAAAGGAGGCAAAGCCAAGACCGGCGGAAAGGCCAAGTCCCGCTCATCAAGAGCCGGACTTCAGTTCCCTGTAGGTCGTCTTCACAGAATTCTCCGCAAGGGAAACTACGCCCAACGTGTTGGTGCTGGAGCTCCAGTCTACTTGGCCGCCGTCCTCGAGTACCTCGCCGCTGAAGTCTTGGAGTTGGCTGGAAACGCTGCCCGTGATAACAAGAAGTCGAGAATCAACCCACGCCACTTGCAATTGGCCGTCAGAAATGACGAAGAATTGAACAAACTCTTGGCTGGTGTCACCATCGCTCAAGGTGGTGTTCTCCCCAACATCAACGCCGTCTTGTTGCCCAAGAAGACCGCCGACTCTCAAGCCTAAGTTAATGGACTAGCCGTCTACGCTTGCCTCGAGCAAACCTGATCCCAAACGGCCCTCTTCAGGGCCACAATTGAAATTTGTCGTATTTATGTTCTGAATAAAGATCTCGTTTTTAAAGATTTACTTTTGCAATTTTACTAGGTAATAAAGTATATTTAGAATATTGAAGGCATGACAGGGTAGTTATACTGTTATAGATCATTTAGTAGATAGAAACATTATCACGGTGAAACGTGAACTTCATAAAGATTGTTTAGAAAACTGAAATTTTAGGTATCAGGTAGTGTCAGAAAATGCTCAATAGTATAAGTATTTCGAAGCCATTCATAAAATAGAACTGATGACGAATTTTTAATAGATTACCTATGATTGAAGACTTGTACAACTGAAATTTTAGCAAAATTAATAATTTGAAACTCAGTCCTTATCAATTTCCATACCATAAGCAATCAAAACAAGTTAAAAATAATTTACAAATTCTCTTGTTATAAGCAACGTCAATGAACGGACTAGGGTATAACATCTTTTACTGCAAAAGGAATCGAATACATGAAGATAAAAGTTTGCAAACTTGCTGATACCCCCTCAGTTATACTTTTTATTTTATTACCTAAAACTAAAATTCAATGAAAATAAACTTGAAGAAGTAACACTGAATCGTTCATTTTACAACGGAAACTTACCTTATTCTTGCTGTAGAATTTTTTGAGAGTATTGTGAGAGTCCGAAGAGGTTCTAGGCGTATATTTTACAATGAAAACACATAAAATGCGTCCAAAAATGAAGGAATCAACCTTATGAAGATCTATTGTAACTTGATGCGCATAGCTTCAAAAATTTTCAATAAAATTTGATGCTTTAAAGTTTTAATTCGTGTAAACGAAAAAATTAATTTTATTATTGGGTAACATTTTTCAGAATTAAGAGGGGCTTTTAACAGTATTAGAAGTTAACAATTGACATAAGCTAGTAAAAGATTGAATATAAAGGATGTAATTTTGTTGATCTTTACGTCTTTTCAACTTGTAAAATGCTTTTTCTTGTTACAATCTTCTGGAACTTCTACATTGGGTCAATTTTACATTTACATTCCGAAAAAATTTACAAAAAACCCCTTTTGAATCCTTTTTTTCCCCGCCAATTTTCAGCGGTGATGCCCTTCGCACTCTCCCAGGAATAAACCCCGCCCACTCCAATTCACGGCCATATAAAAGGCGCGCGCTTTCTAGCTAGCGCCATCAGTCTCTCAGACTTCTTCAACGAAAGCAATGGCTCGTACCAAGCAAACCGCTCGCAAGTCCACTGGAGGAAAGGCCCCACGGAAGCAATTGGCCACCAAGGCTGCCCGCAAGTCGGCCCCAGCCACCGGTGGAGTCAAGAAGCCTCACCGTTACCGGCCAGGAACCGTCGCTCTCCGTGAGATCCGTCGTTACCAAAAATCGACCGAACTGTTGATCCGCAAGTTGCCTTTCCAACGTTTGGTCCGTGAAATCGCCCAGGACTTCAAGACCGACCTCCGATTCCAGTCCAGTGCCGTCCTCGCCCTCCAAGAGGCTTCTGAAGCCTACTTGGTTGGCTTGTTCGAAGACACCAACTTGTGCGCTATCCACGCCAAGCGAGTCACCATCATGCCCAAGGACATCCAGTTGGCCCGCAGAATCCGTGGTGAACGTGCTTAAACATGCTGCTTCTGGCTTCCACGTGGACTTCAACGTTCTGAAGAAATACTGATCCCAAACGGCCCTCTTCAGGGCCACAAATTTGTCTGCCATATTTATTGTTGTGAATAAATTGACTTATTTATTTTATGATTGTAAATGAAGTTATTTATGTTGTTTTAGATATAATTGGGTACTATATGTATAAAAGTAGGATTATATGGTAAAAGAACTCATTCTGTCAATGTCTTTTAGCTATGATGAAAGCCATACATAAGATAGTAAAGACAAAAGTGAAGTATGTTGGAAATAAACAAAAATGTGTTACATTATGACCTTCACATTCAAAAAGATACGACAATATAAAGTTAAAAATTTTCAACTTGTTGCTTATGAACAGATTTTAATGTACATTACTCTCTTACCCGAAGGGACCGACATTTTGTGTTTATTATAGGGGGTGTGTGTTGTCATTATAGATTGATTTTTAGCACAAATGAAAGTTGCTGGGCCAAATTTCTTGTTTACTATAATGAGAGTACAGATGGTTCACTATTTAGAAAAACTACCACTGTATAATGTTGTGCACATCAATAATATGTATGATACGCTTTTACGTGAAAGATCCAGTATAGCATTGGTTATTTTCATTGTAAAGTCTTTCTTTTCGGCAATGTTTTACTGCATAATAGTATTTTTACATTTCGAATGACATTTTCTTGCTTTTCAAATATTGGTATTCAAAATCAGAGGTCAGCTGACGCTTTTCTGGTCATTTTTAGCGCCAAATCCAGACTGGCCGTGCACATTTTCGGCGGGAACGCAGCCGCCTTCTTCACCAATTCCTAAGCCCCGCCCCTTCCCCTCGCCCGCTCAGCAGCCCCTATATAAACCTCGACTCGTCTTCGGAAAACCTCATTGTGTTTCGACACTATCTGAGATCAACTATGGTACCAAAACCAACCGGCAAGGGCGCGAAGAAGGCTGTCAAGTCCACGAAAGTGGCCAAGACCGACGGCAAGAAGAGAAGAAAGGCCAGAAAGGAAACCTACTCTGTCTACATCTACCGTGTACTCAAGCAGGTCCACCCCGACACAGGAATCTCCTCCAAGGCCATGAGCATCATGAACTCCTTCGTCAACGACGTGTTCGAACGCATCGCCGCCGAAGCTTCAAGACTCGCCCAGTACAACAAGCGCTCCACCATCTCGTCCCGCGAAATCCAAACTTCGGTTCGTCTGATCCTTCCAGGAGAGTTGGCCAAGCACGCTGTATCCGAAGGCACCAAGGCTGTCACCAAGTACACTTCATCCAAGTAATTGGTTGACTTGTAGCGACTTCTCAACGCCCACCATTTGATCCCAAACGGCCCTCTTCAGGGCCACAATTGACTTTGCTATATTTATGTTGTGAATAAAGATATATTGTTTTTGTATGTTTAACATTGTCAATGAATTGAAGGTTATTGAGTAAATAGAATTCCTGAGGATTTAAGTTTAAAAAATTGTTTTTTTACAAGTTTAGGCAGGTTTTGCTCGTTCATGAAGTAGATAGAAGTCTTATGAGGGTAATATAACTGATAGCTTTAACCGGTTAAAGGCTTTTACGTATGTCTTATATTTGCAGCTATTTCGTAGTGAAAAAAACGTGGTTCTGTGATGCAGATCTCGCCGTAGATGTTCCTTTTTATCAACAAACTTTATTATTGAATCATATAATTTAAGTAATATCTATTTTTCAAAAGGCCAATATTATTGCAAGTCAGCCTTGATAGTACTAATGATCTTGTTGAACACTTGATCAGTAGCATTTTGTCCCCAGATCAAGTCCATATGACTGAAATGTTCGTACCTATTGTCTTCTTTCAAGATTCCAGGCTTTAAATTTGGTATAATATCTTCTTCAAGTTGTTTTTTAGTTGTCAATGTATCTTCATTCGCGCTGTACAGGTACAATGGAACGTCCATTTTCTTCAAATCGTACTTTGGAGGGTCTTTCTGAAGTTTATTTATTGTTATAGGTAGTTAAACTGGTATTTTTGTCGTTTACCGCTTTAAAATTCAATTTCTAACCGTCTTGATTGCTTGACTTGGAATAGCGAGTAAAACTAGTATACTTTATAGTTTATTTCGAAGCTATATTGCTGTTTTTCAAAAAGTTAACTTACAGTTCCATATCTAGCTACATTTTCCTCTTCAGTTGGGTACCTGTACCATCTGAACTCCCCAGTCTCATACGTACCTGATTGGCAACATTTCTGGACGTTTGCCGTAGAAGTACCAGCTGGAATATGGTGCAGGTAGACTGGTATTCTAGAGACATTAAGTTGAGTACTAAACCCAGTAAAGTAGTAGAATATGTTGGCACAGTACAGGTTCTGTTCTGGCGATGCACTGCACGTTAATTCAGTCAGAATGTTAACCATGTTCTGACTGAGTAGTCCTGATGCAAATTCTGTGTACGCAAACTGGTCCCAGATGGCTGATATATAGGGTAGTGACATTGATGCACATACATACTTGAATGGTCCTGATATGTCTTTGAACCTCATGGCTGGGCCTAGAGCGAAGAACTTCTTGACTCTGTTTTTGAAGCTTGGATCTGTAGCCAGCTTCAGGAACATGATGTAAGTACCTTGACTATGACCGACATAGTAGAATTGAGATTGGTTTGTAACATTTTCGATTAGATCGAATACGGCTGGGAGATCGTATTGTTGCATGTCGTCGTTGCTAAATACGAAACATTAGTATTCTTTTACATAAACCTACTCTTTTCCAATCGTACAGTAACTGGTATACTGTAATTTCATAATATATAAACATAATCTATTTTTAGATACAGTAACTGTTCCAGTCTCACTACTGTAAATCTTACTGTAAGTAAACCTACGTAAACCTCCAGAATCTCTTGTCAGCTCTTGTGTAATTCTTGTGTTTTGAGTAGACATTTCCTCTCGAGTTGGTCAACCAAACATCGTATCCAGCATCAGCAAACACAAACCCAGCACTTTGTTCTGGACTATTCAATACCCAGTTGTCACTAGAACATTGAATGCCATGTTGAAGAATGACTACGGGCTTCGGTGTTCCATCGTTCTTGTCGTTTTTACCTCTTGGTATACGATGTAACTTGAGCAGCCAGCCATCCTCGGTCTCTGCTATATGTTCTTCTGCTTCGTAGCCCCAGTGGGATATGATTTCGATCTGGATTAGAGTAACAATGAATGGAGTAAAAAATCTTGAGTAGAGTAAAATTAATAAGATTGTAATTGTTATAGGTTTCAAATTGTAGTTTTCAGTTAGAAATATATTTTTAAAATTATTTTTTTTATTTTAAATGCCAAAGATTACCGTATCCATTTGTTCTTCCGCATCAAAGCCTGCTACAAAGCTCACTACTGCTGCTACAACAACAAAATACCTCAACATCTGACAGTTGTCTTTCATGTTGTTCTGTATCTACAGTATGAGTGTCAACAATTGAAAAGTCGCTACAAAGCTGACACTTTGTCAGCTAAAGATTCTACAACTAAAAACACAATTCTATCACATATTATATATGTTTTGTGTGTCCCATTTGTCGTATGTTAACTGGCCAAACTATAACAAAATATGTTAATTTATGATTTGACAGTGCAAATGTAAACGGTTTGTCATAATCATTTTGTAATTTCTATTATTTATGACAAGTCGTTTTGGAAAACCATAAAATCGTTATTTATTTGGTAAATTCAAAGTAATTATCGTATGTTTAACGAGACAACAGAAGTGACTTTTAATTTGGGCATGGTTTATTTTTATCTTGCAAAATGATATAAGTATGCTATAAAATGATGTATTAAGAAATGTAAATTGGAGCAAAAGGCAAAACAATGTAAAAGTACAGTAAGAAATAGGTTATTATGCAAGTCATAGATATCATTAAGCAAATATTTGAAAAAATATATTTTATTATGGCTACATTATGATGACAAAATATACTAAAACTATCACAAAACAACCCTACAACACGTCCAATCGTATCGTCTCAATAATTTTCTTGTAGACCCTTTCAGTAGCATTTAAACTCCACAGTAAGTCCATATGACTAAGACCTGGGTATCGATTGTCTTCTTTTAGTACTCCCGGCCTTAAACTAGGTATCAAATCTTCATCAAGTTGTTTCTGAGTAGTCAGATGGTCATCTGGACAACTGTATAAGTACAACGGTACATTAAGGTTAGTCAAGTTGTAAAATGGAGGATCGATCTGAAAGTGTCATGTTTTTTTTTGGCATTATCTTTGATTTTTTAAACTTTATTTTGCTGGTAGATAGGTGTTATCATGTTTATGATCGTATTTTGATTGGCATTACTTTAACCAAGAGAAACAATCAAGCTATAACTTTTGTCAATGTAAATTGACATTTGTATATTTTTATCTAAAGAGTGTTTTTCAAAGCTAAAAAAGGTTAAAATAAGTAACAAAAGTTGTAAAATATCTTACAAACTATTATATAACATCCGTATACATATTGTTTTACTTACTTGTCCATATTCCTTCAAGTTCTCTTCAACAGTTGGATACCTATACTTTCTGAAACCACCCGTATCTTTATCTCTGCTCTGACAATACTTCTGTACATTAGCTGTAGAGCTTCCAGCAGGTATGTGAGTGGTATAAACTGGCATTCTAGTAGTATTAGTCGTAGTACTCGGTCCACAAAACCAATAAAACACGTGAGCACAATATTGTCGTTGTAATGGTGTTTTACAAGTCCAATCTGTCAATATCTTCACAGTTTCTTGACTTAAAATAGGCTTGCCTAACTGCGAATAGGCTAAAGAGTTCCATAATGAAGAGGTTATTGGGTAGGTGGTAGTATCATATAGGAAATCAAATGAACCTTTGATGTTTTTAAATCGAATTCCTGGCCCTAAGGCAAAGAACTTCTTGATTCGATGGTTGAAGTTGAAGTCTTCGGAGAGTTTGGCAAACATTATATAAGTGCCTTGACTGTGGCCAAGATAGTAGAAATGAGATTGATTGGTCACCTTTTCGATCAGGTCAAACACTGCTGGGAGATCGTATTTTTGCATGTCATCGCTTCTAAAATTACATTTTAAAATTGATAAAATGTTTTTTGAACCTGATTTTTAAGTTCATAAGCGAAAATTTGATCGTATTAAAATAAGTATGACAATTTACGTAAACTTCCAAAACTCTTCATCATCTCTTTTATACTTGGTATGTTCTGTATACGTATTACCACGCGAGTTTACCATCCATACATCAAACCCTTCGTCAGCAAACACAAAGCCGGCACTTTGATGAGGCAAGTTCAACACCCAGTTGTCACTTGAACATTGTAAACCATGTTGTAGAATAATTACTGGCTTGTTTGAAGTTTTACTATATTCGTTTATACCTTGCGGTATTCGATGTAACTTTAGAAGCCAGCCGTCCTCAGTCTGAGCAATGTGTTCTTCTCCAACGTAGCCCCAGTGGTGTATTAGGCCCATCTGTAAATAATTTTTGTATCTTTGCGATATGCTGATTTATCTCAGTAAAATTAAATGTATATATGTTATATTTATAACTTAAGCTTACCGTATCTAAATCTTCTTCCACATCGTACAACCGGTTATTTAATGTAATGGTTACAGTAATTAGTACTAAAATTAGGCCAAGTAGTACCTTGTAAATATAATCTTGCCTTTTCTTACGGTCATTTAAAAGTTTGTAGCTTTTTTCTTTACTAATTTTACTGCGTAGTAGAAATGACGTGGACTTTTTCATTACATAAGTCTTAGTATAGTTACAATAGTAATAGCTTTAGTAAAGTTAAGGCAATAATAACCAAAAACTGTTTATTTAGTATAGTATAGTACTACACCAACTACAACAATGTGCAGTATCAATAGATTTAAATCCTTAGTTTATTTTTCAAAAAAACTTAATTTGAGGTAACTCAATTAAAGTTCGCAAAGTTCAGAACGCAACAAACTTATCAGTATTTGAATAACTCAGACGCCTCGAAGCGATTGGTTATGTTTGTTTTAGTGGAGTTGTAGCCACTTTTAAAGTTACCCGGTTTATTGTTATTTCCCAGTCGAGTTGTAACCGAGTTATGTTCGTATTTTACTGCTGGTTTTATCTCTTTAAACATTCGTCAAAACCTATAACAACATAACTTTCCCAAAACCTATAGCAATATAAGTTTATGATTACTTTAACTACTTTTTGGTTCATAGTTTATATTTTACGTTATCAAAATGTCTGAGCGGTGGTGGGTCAACAAACATACGTATGTCTAAGTTAAAGTGCATACGATAATTTGTGATATGCTTAAATGCCTGAGGGCAAAAAGTTGTATAACTTAACAAATTGTTTAAAAAGTTGCAGTAAAGCTTAATAACTGTACTTAAAACAAAATCAGTAAGGCAAAAGTAAAGCAAAATACTACATGTTATTGCGTCTTACCTAAATTCTTAAAAAAGTATATAAATTTTTAGCTTTTCACAAGGAATAGATACCAAAATTAACAACGACACCCTTAAAAAGTAACTTTATTGATAGTCATTACTGCTGCCATCTGTCGAATTACTGAGCATTTCACATATAACATAGCTAACCATGGCATCTACTGACATGGCTATCCACTTGCCATCGTAACTTGAATTGTAGTTAAAAGCCATCCCAAAGCCCATATTAGATTGATTTGTAAAGTCATAGTCGTACAAGTTCAAGTAATTTAACGGTGTCGCATTGTCAGTCCAGGTAAAGTTGTGCTGATTATATCTCAGCCCTATCGCTGCTATTGTCGCGTTTTGAAATTGGGATTTTAGGACATCTAAAAGACTGGCTTTTTTAAAAATAAAAATAATTTAAAAATTAAATAGTAATAATAAAGTATTTACATAATATCTTTATAAAGTAGTAAGAACAGATATGCTTACTGTAAGCATTGTTTTGTTGAGCCATATCAGGTATACATAACATTGAGAAGCCATAGGTTTCACAATATTGGACTGAAGCTTGCCATGTTGAGTTTACATTGCCAACCTATAATATAATGCTGTAGTTAAAAATGAAAATATTTTTACTATGATAAAGTAAATACTCCAATTTACATTGCTGTCAGCGAAAATAAAATTTTTTTCTATTGTATACTAAAGTAAATAATATCTTAAATTACTATCTTGAAATAAAGCTAAAGTTCAATAGAAATTTTAATTTAACTATTGCAATTTATTGAATATAACATAAAAACTTACATAGTAAGTGTAAGATAAGCTATTCTCAAATAAATTGGGATTAGGTAAAAAATCTGTCGCATAACACAGGGTCAAAACCGTAAGATACAGTATGATACCTTGCATCATTATACGAATTGAACTGCTTGCAAATTTAGCAACATAAACTGATTTTATTACACAAAAACCATTTGTTTGAATTTTGCCATAACAACATAATTTAGCTGCCAATTTGGACTGTATTCTCAAAAAAAAAACCATCGTGACACGCGTTCTTAACATTAATACAACAAATTATAATGTTTATAATCTTAAGAAACCTGCAAAATTGTTATAGTTGAGCAATATTTTATATTATTAATGACAGCCTTTGCAAATACATTAAGAAAGTTAAGTTCTAAGCCTATCACACCTTTGTATTGAACAAAAGCACAGCTAAGAAACTAATCGACCTACTAGGTTGTTCCAATACTTCTGTGCTTCCTCTCAAAGCAAATTTTTGAAGGCCCATAATTATTTGAACAACCTAATACATATTATAAAATCATCTCAATCATCTTTATTTTCTATTTCAATTATATTATAATTAACCTTTTTCACCTAAAATAATGTAAAATCAAACTACAACACCACTAGAATTAGCACTGCTTGCTCTCTCCAAGAACGATGTGCTGTGAACGGCGACAGAAGCGTTGGACTCACGTTCACTTTCGATTCCAGTCAACCTTTGGCCAATCTTTGCGATAATAAAGAAGAACGAGAACCTGTAATATTTATATAAACAAACATATTACCGTAGTAAAGACAATATCATATACAAACAGTAACATAACAAAGATACTATCTTGCGCAACAATAATGATAATTGAGATACTATCAAACCCAAAAAATATAAAAAGTATTAACATACCCAACAATAATGATAACAGCTCCAGCCAGGATAAGAGTCCACTTAGGACCAGTAATCAAGAAGCCCAGCACAGCCAAAGTCTCCAGAATATAGACGAAGCAAGCCAGCACTTGTCGATGTAGATGTGAAGATACGAAGGCGCCAATAGGTGAACAAGTGACTACCACTGGCACAGAAACAGCAAAGTACTCATAGGCCAGCTGACTGACTCCTTGTTGCATTAAAATACGCCAATACGAGCCGATCATGGCGTTCAGGAACATGAGAATGACCGAGGTTGGAGTCGCTATCTTCTCACTCACTCGGAACAGCAAGGTCAGGATGGAGAAGGAACAGATATCGACTCCTGAGCCGGTGAAGGCACTTAGAATGCCTAAAAGGTGTGTCTTTTAAGTTTAATTTTTAATTTTAAAATTTTAAAGTTTTTAATTTAAAAAGTAGTTTTTAGCTTTGGCAGGTCAACACTGGCTCGGACACTTTAGTTACCATTTCTATTTATACTCCTTTCGATTGTCGATGAACAACTTACCACCAGCAAATCCAGCAGCGACCAAAGCCAACGCCTTCCAAGCTTTAAAGTTGGGAATGGAGTCGAAGGTAACTCGCTTCTTTTGCAAATTCAAGATCAATAAAGAAATGGCAAAGGAAAACCAAATCGACACAAACATCATCTTCTTTTGTTGAGCTGAAAAGGTAATTATTCTACTGTGATCAATGCTAGGCCTTGATAATAAAGTAGCTATAGTAGTACTGTAATTTTAAAAAGACTTGTTATTGTAGATAACAAGGAAGATGCTCGAGTTGCCTCATTCTGATTGATTTCAAGCTTTTTATATAGAAAGATCATGTTAATATAAGATCTTCAACAAAGTTCTATCTCGCGCTTTCTAGCCAATCTAATTGTGTTAATAGTTTCGGACTCCTTCTATACAGGTTTTCGATTTTAGTGGCCCAAAACTTTTTACACAGCTTATTACAGTGAAGCCTCTGCATAAGGAACTCCTATATAACGAAAACTCCGTATAACGAACAATTTTTAAATCCCCGTTTAACACTACACAATGCCTTTAAAACCTCTGTATAGCGAAACCTTATCATAACAAATTTTAATTTCCTTAGCAATTCGTTACATATATAGAGCTTTAAAAGCTGAAAACCTTAATTTAAATAAAGGATAGTAACGTACGATCAAGAACGTCATCCCAAAACTGTAATCCCAGTATGATGCTGACACCAGCACCAATAGAACAATAAGTAATCGAATGCCATTCTACTTTCACACCCATCCACAAAATTGCAAATGAAGATGTTGCCATACCTAAATGAAAAATTTTAAAATTTGTATTATTCAATGTATGTATGAGAAGCTATTTGTTTAGTATAATATCATATTCCTTGCTTTATCATATTTACAAAATCTGCGTAAAGTGTAAAATATGAAGTGTTAAAATAAAATTTTTAATTTAAGCACTACAATACCTAAAAAAAAACCCACCAGCCGACTGTATGATCAAAGAGAAGTCCCTAGCCACATCCGGTGTTATATGCAATAACAGTGTCATAACTGGAAAGGCAATCGCTCCCCCGCCTTCAGAAGTTGCTCCAGCGACAAAAGCGCCCAGAATCATGGTGATCGCTAGTTCATATCGAGTTGGAAACAAGGCAAATAAGTTGTATCTAATAGCCATTGACCACCAAATTGTGTGCATGATAACAAAGGGTATTAAGGTAGCTAGGTACTTGCGGTTTCTTTCGTGCCATGGTAGATCAGCTCTGTTAATATGGACTTCTGATTGACGTTCGAGTTTTTGTCCTTAAAATAGAGCTTTCAAAGACATTTTATATAGTGGATGTTTACTTAAGACACTGATTGTAATAGTACATTTAAAAAATATCAAAAAAGTTGCACTAATTTTGAAAAACAGCCCTATTTTTATAACCAAAAGAAAAGAATAAAGACCTGCACGGTGCAATCCTTGAGAAAATTGCGCAATTTTTCTTCCAAGTGCACCGTGCTTTTCTCAGAAAAAGTTTGCACAGTGCAACCACCCTTTTGTAATCTGCACAGTGCAACCACCCTCTTGTATTCTGCACTGTGCAATCGCCTTTATGTCATTTGCACGGTGCAATCACTCTCTTGTCTCTTGCACGGTGCAATCACACTCTAATTCTGTCGCAAAAACCATCTTATCCGCGACTGCCCTAAAGATGTTGTTGCAAACACAGTTGAAGCTCAAGCGTTGCGACAACAGTCGCACGATGTCGCATCGCTCTTCACAATGCAAAACGACAGCTTGTCGCACTTCTGACCTCTTTCAACAGTGCAATTTGCTTTAAAATGTCGCAAGTTTCAAGTGATTGTCGCATTTCTTGCTGATTGTCGCGCTCTTTCTTTCCATTTGAAGAGTGACAACTGTTTTTTCAAATTGAAATTTGCGATTTTTTGCATTTTTTGGAGCGACTTGCGACATTACAGGCTGAATCAAACTGTCGCAACACCTTTTCAAAGGCGATGCGACAAAATTGTCATGAATATCGTTGAACCAATGAATTCATTGAGTTCAATGAGACGTTTGCAACAAAACATTTTTGATTGTCGCAAGTGGAGTGGTTTTTGCGACAAACAGTAAAGAGTTTGAAGAACTGCACTGTGCAGACGTCAAATATGATAGTTTTTGGGAAAACTAAAAAAATTTAATAAACTTTCAAAAATATTAGGCTAGCGTTAAAAAAATAATTAAAAAGGCAAAAAAATTTTTTTTCAATTTTAAAATGCGACTTCTCACCCTCCAAAAAGTACTTTCGGAACCACTCCTTCACCGTTCTCTTCTGCTGCACGTTCTGCCCGATGGGAACGAAGTAGCCGTTGCCCGCGCCCATTTCGGCCTGACTAGCCGTCGCCATCCTAATTATATTATATTTGCGTTTCGGCTTAGCAGAGTTAACCTTTTACCTGAACGCAGCAGTATCATCCTCCCGAGGGATCAGTTTCTCGTTTCTCGCAACAAAAGGCAAATAAAACATCGGGTTGCAGGCTGGGGAACGTCGGCGATACAATCCCAAAACAAATGACTTAACGAGGTTTTGTCGCGGCTAGAGCGATGTTAAGGTGGTGATTAAGTGTTGTGGGTTAGAGCTGATGTGAGCAGGATGGATAACATGTTTTGAACGTATTGATTGGTTTTAAACTTGTATTAATTATATTTAATTAATACTTTTTTTAAATAATTTTATTAATTTTTAATGAGAAAAAGTTTTGTCGTCAATTTATATTGTTCTGTATGATAAAAACCGACAAGACTTTTTGAAAAAAATGATATATAAAGGCTCAGCCCGACCAAGGTGTATTGTAATTTACAAATTAATGGGAAATGCTAGGTGGACGGTGACTATAGCAAACTGTTTGCTTCACCTACACAGGCCCTTGACTACAGCCTGAAGTCTAGAGGAGCGCTTCATCACGACTCGAGAAACAGGATCAGCTAGATGGAGCTTAACTTGAAACAGCTACAATGGCTTGTCTTGACGGTCTTCACTGAACCCTCATCGTGTCTTTAGTGAAGGAGACAATTTCTTTATCAAATTCTTATCTTTTCTCTCAAATTTCAAATTTTAGGTAACATTTCCTTTATTTTTAGCTCTACCTCAATATAAATGTAACAAAACTCCAAAAAGTTACTATAACAGTTTATTATGAAACTCTACATCTCTTTTGCGACATCGAGAGACATTTTCAATTACAATTTACATTTGTTTGAAAGCAGACACATGGTTTATATTATGAGATTTATTACTGGATTACTGTAACTTTATCCGAAACGAATGTAGGAGCTTTTGCGAGCGGGTCGGGAGTTGAGGATGCCTTCTAGGGGGATGTTCAAGGGTAGTTCAGCCTAAAAATAAAAAATTTAAAATTATAAGTTTTATAAGCCTAGTACTATGCTAATACTAGTTAGTATTAAATTAGTACTGGGCTTGAAATACTTTGAATTTTAAGTGTATATAAACCTTGAGTATCATACTAACAAGAGCACTATATGTCTATATCTTTTATATAGTTAAGTACTTACTGGTGCAAACTCGCTGTTTGGTGCCCTTTTGCCGAATCTCACGAAGGCTGACTTTCTCTTCTGCATCCTGGCTGCGGCGAAGGCTTTGTCGCCGGAAGCGGCGTCTAAAGTGATTAACGATATTAGAGAAGGTTCTGATAAACAATATTGAAGAAGGTTCTAAGCTCTACTTTCATTTCTAAGCCCTACAGGCATTAATTTCATCAAAAGTTTTTGAAATAAAGCGTCACGCTTCTGATTACACGAATCCGGTTTGGAAATAAAATTTCTTCCGAAAACTGATGACACATGCTATTACAAGGATCATGGTATTAACAAAAGATACTGTATTAATAAAATTGACAGTCAACAAAACCTTAAAAAGTTACAGTATACAACCCCATCCTTACCCTTAGAATCAGCGACGGGGAAGCTCTCCATCTCAGTCAGACTGGCATCCAAGTACTCGGCTAGTGCACATACGTACAGATCGGGGTTTGTCGAGCAGACTTGGTTCAACTTTGCGTTTTGTTGTGGCGTCAGGAAGGCCGAAGCTAGTTGCGAAGTGAGTCCGACGAACAAAATCAACCCAAGCGGAGTCATTTTTAATGTGTGTGGAGGCTGAAAAGTTGGTAAAGCTTGGTATGTAAGGTGCAGTACAGAACGGTTAGTATCTTTGAGTACGCGACAAGTTTTTATAATGATGGGCATGTTGTAGTAGGTAAAGCTAGACGTTTCTATGATTCATAAAAGTTAGAACGCCGCTTTAACTTTTGAAAAACTTTAAAAAATAACCACAAGATTAGTATGTTCAATATAGTACCATAAGTGTAATATATAACATATACAAACGTCATAAAGCTCTTCAATACAGTGGCAAAAACCAACCTAACACAAGATACATAAAGCAATATAAACTACCTAAATCAACTGATTTCTGTCCCAAAAACCTTGTTATCACTGGCAAATGCCACAATATCTTAACACACTCTTCAAGTTCTTAAATATCGAGATTAAGCACTGCCATAACGGTAATATCCTCTTTTATATCTCCCCCCTAATCTTTACGTAACCACGCCCACTAGGAGAGATTACCCCAAACACGTTAATTAACATAGGTGGAACATAACGAAATGACTTATATAGGCCAATCCTTATTTACTTTATATGGGCACATCTTCATGTACTTTATATAAGCATAGCTTCATGTACTTTAAAAGAAGTTACATGACTTTAGATGTTATAGTAGGCTTTGGAAATGATGTTGATGTAGATTTGATAAAGTGTATCTTTGCATACAGATTACGGTAGCTATAGAAATCTTATACTTGGATGTAAAGCTATGTTATTGCTTTTCCGGGGTATTATATTATAGTAGAGCATTAAAAAAGTTTTGTCGCTTTTCAGCAGGCTAGATCTTATAAATTAACGACAAAACGTTTCCTGAGGTCCAGATAGTAAGTAATGTACTAAAATACAGCTTCGTTACAAAATTAAAACCGTTTTAATTAAATTTAAAATTCATAAATTTAAATTAGTTTGATATTAACTCACATTACAGTAGTTCCAAAAAACATTAAACATTACTCTACTGTAACTCCGCCAAAACTTTCAAAATTATATTACAATAGCCTCAAACACACCTTGTTGCCAGCGCACTAAAACCAAAAAACGAGGAACTCGGTTAGCGATAACATTTGAATTGGCAGAAAGCGGTTTCTCAAAAAATTCATAAATTTTAAAAACACCGCCCAAATTGGCGTTTTGACTAATGGACAAGCCCAATATTAGTCTTTTAACACAATCTGTTTCCGGTAGCGACATATATTAACGCAGACGTTCATGTTGATGTATGTATACTCTTGATATATGGAAAAGATACTATCAGACCACTTTTCTATTAACGGAACATAACGACTGCTGTTTGGTTGTATTTTTAGGTAAATTGGGTTAATTACTTGGTCAAACCATAAATAATTTTGTTTTTGGTTATAATGCTTTAAAGAAATTCGAAGTAGTTTTAAACTGAGAAAGAGCTATGGTTATAGTTATACTTGAATTTAGGTTGTACTGGTCAAGTTCGTGTTATGGTAGAACTAGAGAAAAGCTAGTTTTAGGACAATGCAGGCTTAGAGCCAAAAACCAAATAAGTCTACTACATGACCAAAGTAAGACAAAACAACTTTTTCTTATAACTTTAATATATGTTGCTTTATACACAAAAAACTAAATCAGATACTCAAATATGATGACCAAGTAAAACAGAGTACACTATTTACGCTAATTCAAATTGTATAAAGAATTTTAAGTTTTCCTTTAGCGCCGTACTGAACAGACGAAAAGATGTTAGTCAAGTTAATTTATTTCAAAAACTCTCACAGACCGGATATATCATAAAATAACTTGGAAATGAAAGAACCGAAAACAAAATTACATAATCATACAACTTAGCACGTGCTGAAGGAAAAACATCTACTGATATGACGATAATGCGTTAATATAGCGATAAAGCTGTTGATGTGGTGATAGTGATGTTATAGTACTTGGTAGCTGACGAAACTTGGAAATTTGACATTTGTTTATATATGTATGTTGAAAATGTCAACAAATTAAAAATGTGATTACTGTAATAAGACGATAGTACACATATAGTACAAAAACAAGTATAAAAGTAGAATATACTATATAAATTTTATAATACCACAGTAACTTTTAAAATAACAAAATAAGTATGTTACTATAGACAGTTCAAAGATAAGTATAATCAGTACGAAGCTCACTCTATTAATAAACCCTACAGCCCATAATTACCTTTACAGATGTTTGATGCCAGCTATAGCTGCTTAAAACAATGTGGTACAGCTTCGATATACAATAGGGCTTCTAACACAGTAAACACTTGCTCGTGGTAATGCTTTAGCTAATCTAAAACATCTTCTAGAAACCTACGTAGCAAGATACGTTTGAGAATGTATGGTATCTTTCTTAATGGTTTATGAAACTTTAATTTATGTTTAGCTATTATTAACGATGGAAACATTTACGGCTTGAGTAACACACTAGTTACAAGAAAAGTGGCTGACCCGCCCTGCTCTGATTGGCTTCCAACTTTTTATATAGGAAGATCATGTAAATATAAAATATTCAACAAAATACTAAATCGATATTTATCACAAAAAAACCAAAAAAAATTAAATTTTGAGTCTCCCGCCAAATTGGCATTGTGTTTCAAGCTTAAAATCTTATGTATTTTTTGACTTTTAAGAATTTTTCTTTGATATACTAGTAGAATACCTTTAAATAAACCTACATTTTTAAATTTGCACGCGTAGCTTGGCTGGAAAGTCAGAGAAAGTGCTTGAAACACAATGCCAAATTGGTGGAAAATTCAAATATTTAAACTTTTAAATTCAAAAGCGCAAGCTAAAATTTTGTATAGGTACTATTGATAGTACAAAGAAGTTATATAAAAGCTTTGTGCTGATTCTGAGTGGGACAGGTTGGGTACTTTCCTTGTAAGAAGAATTTATATACCTTTTGTAATATAAGACATGTTATACCAACATTTGCGGCTTACTGTATAAATTATTTACAATAAAATAAATTTTAAATTTACAGCAATTAGCCATGTTTTTACTCTAAACTAACACAATGTAAAATAACACGTACTCAAATCGTATCTTCTGCTCTTCAACCCCAACGCATTAACCTATATACATATGTGTTAACTATGTTAATGACGTTCTAATCTTGTCATTTCTTATCCTAATCTTTGTGGATATATTTAGCTTTTGCGTCTTCGTTGATAGTAAGATTACCAACGCTTGGATGACATTACACTGTAATTTAAACTAATCTTGTGATCTGGATTAATCTGATCGAGGCTACGTAAACAAACTTAATACTGTACGGATTTGTGTAATTACTTTGCTGGAATTCTAAGTTTTTTGCTTTAAATTGAAGATTTTAAATTAAAAATTTTAATTTTATTTTGAGAATTTAATTTACAGTAATTAGCTACTTGTATAACATAATATCTTTTAGTATGTAGCTTTTTGAGCTATATATAATAGAAGCCCTTGTCAACATTATATTACTCTTAGTATAAAGTGTATTTGCTTTATAAGCAATCAAAAAGTCTTGTCGTCAAATTGTGTATATTTACATAAGAAAAAACACATAACTTTTTAAGACCTCTGTAAACGTTTAGAATACTTAGTTTTGTCGTATTTTACAATTTACCTTGCTTTCTACTGCGATAACCTATTACATTGATATTAATAGGCCAGCCAACAATTACCGTGCTGTTATGAAACGAAATGACGCATAATAGAGACCAATGGGTCAGTTCGGAAGAGCCGCGTAGCCGCGCGAAGTCAACAGAAACGCTCAATGTTTACCAACAACAACACGCGCTCCCTCTATAACACTTATATATAACATCACGGCCTACATCTACTACCATAACTGTAGTCATCTTGAAGTTGATATCATAGCTATAGCGGTTAGTAGCACTATATTCATTACTCTACCTTAAGTAATAACTGTAATATAACTATAGTTATAGCTACTACAACATAAAAATAATTTTAGCTTTAACTACAGCTTTAACTAAAACTCAACTACAAACATGTCAAAACTGCTCTACATTACAGTAACCATCCTAATATCCCTACTCTATGTAGACAATGTAGATGCAGGTTGTTGTGGTTGTTGTCCCTGCTGTGGTTGTTGTACTCCAATGCAGCCAGTCAATCCACCATTGGTAGTGAAGATGTCACCAGTACGGCCACCATGCTGTCCATGCCCATGTTGTTGCGGCGGATGTCCGTGTTGTTGTAAGTGGCTAGATTAATACGGGGGTGGGTGGAAGCCGGAAGAAAACAAGATTAGAAAGTTTGACAGAACCTTTTGCATTAATTGCAAAAAGATATTGTAGATTATCTTGTTTGTAAGGAGTTTAGATTGTAGGAGTTTTTTGTACAATATTTAGCTATGTTTATATTGTGATTGGTAGTAATGATATAGCACTAATGTAAAAAAGAACTAACAAGGAAAATGTCTGATCAGCCCCACTCAGAATCAGCACAATTTTTTAAATATAAATTCTTTGTACCACCAATAGTACCCGTAAAAGATTTTTAGCTTGCGCTTTTGAATTTTAAATTTGAATTATTTTGTTTTTCCGCCAATTTGACAAATTTGGCATTGTGTTTCAAGCACTTTTTTGACTTTCCAGCCAAGCTGCACTTATAAATTTAAAAATCTCGGTTCATTTAAAGGTATTCTACTAGTATATCTAAGAAAAATAATTAAAAGTCAAAAACTGGCAAAGTTATAAGCTTGAAACACAATGCCAATTTGACGGGAAATTCAAAACTTAATTTTTTTGATCTTGGTTTTCTCAAGATTTCCTTGTAATCGCTACTTTGCTAAAGATCTTACATTTATAATACATGATCTTTCTATATAAAAAGTTTGAAGTCAATCAGAGCGGGGCAAGTCGCGTACTTTCCTTGTAGCTTTATATTATGATTGGTGGTAATAATATAGTGCTAAAGTGCAAAAGAAATAAGTCTTTCAGGTGAAACATATTCAAATTTTAAAGCATTTTTATATTAAAATTTTTAAAACCCGTACTTTATATTGCACTACAATGTCAATTTCTAGGCGGCTGTCCATGTTGTGGTGGCAAAAGAAGGAGAAGATCTCTACGCTTTCTACAGAAACAAGTCAAGCCTTTTGGAGCCAGTAGGGCTACCAGATTCTGTCCTCTGTAAATAGTACTTGTTTTTGTTGAAACTATAATAACTGGTAATAAAACGTCGTACTTAAGGTTTTGTTTATTAAAATAAGTAGTTGCTAGAAGGTAAAATACGTACTTAGCTGTACTTAATTAATAATAGATCATAAAACATAAATCAAATACTTTTTTGTAATTACCGTTAACATTGTAACTGACTTGGTACAAAATCAAATTATAAACTCAATTATCAAGTTGTTCAAATAATTCTGTGCTCCCTAATCTCAAAAAATTGCTTTGAAAAAAGGCACATAATTAATTGAACGATTTAAGATTTATATACGTAAGAAGAATATTGCCATAGCCAAGTGTTCTATACCGTTAATCACATCGAAGTGTGTTCGTGGCCTTGAGATACTCGTCACACTCGAGGTGTTGACGCCGACTGACAGTATCTGAAAAGGATTAAGTTTGGTTGTAAAATCACAAACTTAAGCCGTCTTCTCTCACCCTAATCCGATGGTAATTACAAGACTGATTTGTCACTCTGTAACACAAGATACCTTGTATGTCTATGTGAAGTGACATTATCTAATCTCTACTGATATTATACTCTAAAAACTGTAGATCAGCTACTCTGTTAAGCTCAACCTACTAATGCTACAAGCTGTGATATAAGCTTAAAAACCACAGTAAGTAAGATGACATTAATATTGTAGTAGGGGGACTAAAAACTGTAGAAAAAACCCACTTCCTGTTTGATTCTTTAATCCGTATTCATGGGCTATTCTGGTCGATGTTAGTATTTGGCCAGTCTTTGCCAGAATATCAGGGTCTGTCGCCAAGCTGACGACACATTTGCCCACGAATCGAGGATGTTCAACATCTGTGTACAAGTCGGCCAAGAACTGGAATACTATTATTAGCAACCTTACAATATTCTGTAGAACCAAGTCTTGACAAGGAGAATAAAATAAAAAAATATAAAAATTTTTAATTTTTGAAAAAAAAACAGTTTGTTCAAATAATTATGTGCCCCTAACCCAAAAAATTTGCTTTGAGAAGAGCACAGAATTAATTGAACAACTTAATATTTAAAAAAGTGGTAAAAACCTACCGGATCATCGCTTTTGCCAAGTAAATTGTGATAAAGTTCGGTAGCGACAGCTCCAGGCCAAAACGAGACAGATGTGATTCCTTCTTTCTTCAAGTCGTATGCCATATCAGCTGCCATACGATCACACTGAAAATAGTAAATTAAAATATATATATATATATTAGGTTGTTCAAATAATTCTGAGCTCTATTTCAAAGCCTATATTCAGAGTTAGAGAGCACATAATTATTTGAACAAGCTAATCAATGAACAGTTAACCAATACCTTAACAAATGTAAACTAAAATATTTTAAATTGTCATAAAAAGTTAAATCTAGACTTACTGCAGCCTTCTGAACTCCATAGAAAGTGTTGAACAAGAACCTGCCCCCGCCTTCACTGCTGACTGTCACTATCAGCCCTCTAGTCTTGTTCTTGATCATGAGTTGAGCAGCCAAACTACTGCACAGTAAATGACTCTTCAGACCAACATTTAAGAATTCTTCAAACATACCAGTAATGTTCTGCAGCTCGTAGAATCGCTTGTTGGCTATCTTGGCACATGTCTAAAACTTCTTTATATTTTATGGTAAATTTACCTCCTTGAAAGTTCCAACTTTGTTCCAGCTTACCTCTTACTTTATATATACAATAATCAGGTTGAACTTCAAGGTATTTAGTCGCATATAATATAGAAGTTTATAATTTTAACGTAAAAACTTGAAAACTCACAAAAGAAGAAGCAAACACATTGTTGACCAAGATGTCAATGTTGTTGTAGCCATTCTCGATGGTCTTGAAAAGCCCCACAACATCTTCGTTCTTTGAATGATCACATCTGATAGCCACACATTTGCCTGCGTAAATTGAACTTATCTAAAATTTTAATTAGCAGTTCGTCTGAAAAATAAAAAAAAGTGCTTGAAACACAATGCCAAATTTGCTAAATTGGCGGAAAACTCAAATATTTTAATTTTAAAACGCAAAAGCGCGAGTTAAAACTTTTTGTGTGGACTATTAGTGGTACAAAGAAAACATATAAAATTTGAGTTGATTCTGAGTAAGGCAAGTTGAATACTTTCCGAGTTAATTTTTTAAATTTTGTATTAGCACAGTAAAATGCTACAACAATATTAAAAAAAATTTTTTTTTAAACTTACTCTTTCCGCATACTCTTCGAGAGATTCGTTTGAAAAGACACTATTTCTAGTCTCGTCAGGTCTTGAAGTGATGATTACAGTAGCACCAGCTTCACAGAACTCTTCAGCAATACCCTTGCCAACTCCTTTTGAAGCGCCAGTTACCAAAACTATCTTTCCAAACAATGTCATTTGGAAATGACTCTACATCAACAGCACAATATTATCCTTTTGTTATATGGAAATTTGGAATATAGGAAGACTTCTTGTTGATACGGATCGTGCGTCAACATTGTAATTGGCCGCGATCAATTCTATCTTTGGACCAAATTTTGTTGTTTTTATACGAGCTTTGTAATGCCTTTGGCAAAGAATTGTATAATGTTTTAAATATTTTATTTTGAAATAAAGTTTGACTGCAATTCAATATTGTACTCACTGATAACTTCCTACTTATCAGACCATTCATACCACCACACAGTAAAGACAAAGTTACGTCATAATTACTCTACAAAACCATCCTTAGCATAGTTAGGTAATTATAATACTTCAAAGACCGTTTCCGTCGTATCTTCCTATTACCGTGTTTCTTCCTTTTATTAATATGGTTTTTGTCGCAAATTAAGTGGTAACAACAAACCTGTAATCTAATACCTTGACTGTTTATATAGGTCTTTAATATTTGGACTGGTTATATGTTTTTGGTTTTTTATATAACTAATATCTTTGACATTTGAATTAAAATACTCCTTTTTCAACTTTTTATTTTTTTAGTTTTAATAGTACAGTAAAACGACTGATGACATAATTTTTACAGAATAACTATTCTTTACATAGACTAATGAGCAGTATTAACAGTATTAACTAACCAGTAGAGTTTGTGTTGTTCATCATGTTCAACCACATCATACGTTGTAGAGGGTCAAGTAAAGGTGCTTGCGGCATCAGAGATGGCATATTTAACGTCGGCATTACATTGGACATATTTATGTTGGGCATAGAAGTAGTAGACATATCCATGTTAAGCATAGGCATAGCAAACATAGACATATCGGCCAAAGGTACACTAGACATATTCATGTTAAACATGGGCCCAGTAGACATAGTCATGTTAGTCAAAGGCAAAGTAGAAAAATAGTTTGGCATCAGCACACTATTCTGTAGCATAGCCATGTTTTGAAGATACGACAGAGTATTTAAATCAACATTGTCAACAGTATTAAGACACAAACTGGGTTGAACATTAGCCATAGACTGTGTTGCTGATAATAGAGCCGGTTCCTCTGAATCCTGTTTATTTGAACTAGATGCTACTTCTGATAGTTGACTGTCTTGGCCTTCTGAATCTGTCACTCTTTGGGAATCAACATGGTTAGTAGAGTACGAAGTTCCAAATACTTGTTCATCACAAGTGTTGAGTTCAGGAATTGCTGAGTTGTTTGAAAAGCTGCCAGAACTTGATGAAGTTGAATCGTGCAGTAATGCCGGAGCATTGGTAGGGCTGGGGGTGGATAGTTGTACTGCTGAATCAGCAGATTCCATCTTTATATTGGGTTCTGGGTCTTTTGGCCTTAACTTCAAAGTTTTCTCGATTCGGTTGATTTCTAAAATAGTAGGTATAGTAAGTATATTTATGTTGTAAGCATGGTAAAAATGACATATTATCACATATAACATGACAAGTTTTCTAAAATTTTTTTGTTTTTTCTTAAATTAGACCTCTTATTGTAGGCTTATATCCTTTTTCTTATGACATTTTTTAAATATATTACTTTGTAAAGTAGAAGATAAAAAAGTTTTTACAGTGTAAAGTAATATGTAAAAAAGTTACCTCTTTTGCAAAACCGTAATCTGTCGGACTTTCTCTTGAACGTCGTTCTGAACACTTCCAGGACGTCATTGAACTCCATTTTGTGTTGCTGTGAGAAACTTAAACAATTTTCCAGCCTGGTCTTCATCTCGCTAGCGGCTTTGTTCATATTTTGACGACGCTGCGTCTCACGGCACTTCTTGTGCATTTTCTGAAAAGTAACGTTGTTATACATGTAATGCTTGAATATTACAAAATGTAAACATAGTACTTGGGCTTAGGCTATTTTTAGACAGCTCTAGCTCAGCCATAGGTTTGGCCTCAGTTTTTAATTCTCAGGCTTAACCTGTTTTTGATGGCTAGTAAAGAGAGTGAAAAAAAGAAGAACAGAAGAAGTTATAGTCTAGTCTAAGAGAAAGAGAGCTAAAGTTCAAAGCTAGAAAAGTAAGAATATACCAACGAGTAAGCAGTCACGTCTGATGGAGTTTCTAATTCTACTAGTATCCATTTACTGATGAACTTTCTAAATCTGTAAGACTTACCTTGTCTTCACAAACTGAATCCTGGCTTGGCGACATCACAGTTTCACAAACTATCTTGACCTTACAAGTCTAGAAAGAACACCTTATATTTGCTAGCAAGAACAAGTTAATGATGAATCTAGCACCAAAACTCGGGTATTTATAAGGTCTTGTACTCGCACAAATTTATGTTTAAGTTATGATCCTTAACTTGATCTTACTTAATGGCACCGGAAGCTTTAATAACCGCGAGTAATTTGCCTAATGCTTTTTGAAACAGTCTGTCTTATATCTCTACGACCAGTGCCTGTCTTTCCTTAAAAAAAGTGTTGCGTCAACGGAAACGCTTGATAATAAGGCGATACTCACTCAAATTTAGTGCAGATTTGTACGCTCGGTGTTAGAGAGCGTAACACGATCCGGTTTGATTGTGTGTAAGATATGTGTATGATATGGTTATGTAATATAAAGATTGTAGAGAATTTTTGAACTTTTTGAGGTTTAAAGTACAGTCTGGATAAAATGTATAGAACATACATAAAAATAAGATTTTTTTTCAAATTTTATTTAAAAAATAAGAATATTCATTGTTAGAACATTAAGTAAAGTCATTTTGATTAAAAAGTAGCTGTAATTAGGCTTAACATTTAAATTACTGAGCGTTCTATAACTCGATAATTGATGACATCTCCAACAATTTTTAAAATTGGCTTTTGCAGTAACTTTTTACACTCTTTCATCCTATACAGGTTTCATTCTAAAAACTAAGAGATATTTTGTACAATTTTCTAGTCTGTAAAGTCATTTTAATCTAAAAATAGATGTATTTTGGCTTAAAAATGAACTCATTTGAAAATCAACTTCTTAAAAAATAAAACTTAAAAAGTTTTCACTTTTTCATTTTGAGACTATGATATTTTTAAATTTACACTTAAAAATTTTTAAATATTTCAAATTTTAATGTTTCAAACGTACCAAAACCCCCCAAATTTGAGTTAACTTTACTGTTTTTTTTTCGTTTTTATGTAATCTTTTTCCATCGACGACTTTCCTTGACGAAACGCCGACGACCAGAAATAAAATACTGGAATCCGAACGAGATTCAGAAGGCGAAAAAAGGAAGCCGGTTTCGGATCTCGACGCCGCTTAAGGCGGGATTTGGTTGGTCGCGATCGCTTAAACCCTCAGGAAATGTGTTTAAACAACAAGTTGAATTTGAAATTGAATAAATTTGCTTAAATAACAAGTTTTATTTTGATTAGGGAAGTTGGGGTTAGCATATGTATGAATAAGATTAGTTAGCATATAGTTGTTTGACCTATTTTCATTTTGCACTTTGTCGCCTTCATTAAGTTGCAGTTAATTAAGCCCTCTTCAGAAGCGCCGATTTTGTACAAAATTTTGAAATTTGTTGTAAATGTTTTTGATTTTTAAATTTTATATTAAGTCGTTAACTTAATTCTGCGCCTTCTCTTAAAGCAAATTTAAATACTTGATTAAAGCTCTTTGTTTATAGAGTTTTGTCTTTACGCGTTTTTTCCTTAATTTGAACAGGTAACATAATTTTAACCTGTGCCTTTTCAGACTAATGTCAGCTGAAACAAGCCGTGTCATAGTTGCAACATTACTTTTTGATCTTTTTATTGTAAATGGTAAGTTATGAGATAACATTTATTTTGATTTTTTTAGGTTGTTCATATAATTTTGTGCTCCTTAATTTTAAAAATTAGGTTTGTGAGAAAGCACAGGATTATTTGAACAACCTAATATTATTTTTTTAAAATTTAAGTTGCTTTTTTTTAGTCTGTTTAAATAATTCTAGGCTTTTTTCAATGCAAATGTTTGGAGTTAGGAGCACAGAATTATTTGAACAACTTAATATGAGCTTTTTAATGTTTAGGCTGACAATATATAATAGTAAAAACTTCAAGAGAGTCATTTTCAGTTCATTGCCAAATAAATGGAGTGTCGAGTTGTGTGGATTCTGATGCCAAGTGTCCGTTATGGGCTTCACAAGGTGAATGTCAGACTAATGCTGTGTGGTAGGCATTTCTTATTTCTTTTATTGTATAGGGTGGGTAGTATGAAACCACAGTTTTTAAGTTTTTAAAAAAGATCTGGAGGCGAGAGAATGGGGAGTACTGACTAATCTGGGTGTAGTGGACTAGCTTTTTCAAACTACTTTATATTTTTCAAAAATTTTATTTACAAGGAAAGTGCCCGACCTGCCCCGCTCTAATTGACTTTAAAATTTTTATATAGAAAGATCATATAAATATAAGATGTTCAGCAAAGTACTAAATCGCGTTTTCAAGGAAATCTCGAGAAAATCAAGATTAAAAAATGACATTTTGAATTTCCCGCCAAGTTGGCATTGTGTTTCAAGCTTGTAACTTTGTCATTTTTTGACTTTTAATAGTTTTTCTTCGATATACTGGTAGATAACCTTTATATGAACCAACATTTTTAAATTTGTAAGCGTATCTTATCTGGAAAGCCAAAAAAGTGCTTGAAACACAATGCCAAATTTGCTAAATTGGCGGGAAACCCAAATAATTTAAATTTAAAACTCAAAAGCGCGAGCTAAAATTTTTTATGGGTACTATTGGTGGTACGAAGAATTCGTATAAAAATTTTGAGCTGATTCTGAGCGGGGCAGGTAGGGTACTTTCCTTGTTAATTTAGATATCAATGGTTGTGTGGTTTTGTAAAAGAAATTAAAGTTAGATTAGTTTACGACTTTCAGGATGATGTCAAACTGTCGTCGATCGTGTCAAAGCTGTCAAGGTGGTGATCAAGCATGGAAGTTGAGATCTCAATTAACACAAAATTATGACAATTCTACTACGAATGCGACTCGTCTTGTCACGGTGGAAAGTGTCCGGCTAAATCATGTTGAAATTGTAAGTTACTTATATAATAATGTTTTTATCAATTGATTGTCTATTTAGGTCATTTGTAATACTGGTTCACATAAAACAAAGAGGTTATGAATAGTTTATATTCTATATTTGTAGGACGAAGCACGTCAATTAGTACGAGTGTTTGGCCGAATGGTAATGTCCTGGAATGATACGAAGATAACTTGGGACAAAGACCAGTGGGGCATCTCTTGGCTCAACTTCTACTGGATTCAGATCTGGACCCCTCAAATTGTTCAGATCAATGCGTAGGTGACTTATTATTACTATTTTATGTTTATGTTTATATATTGTTATCATTTAAAGGTAATCACAAACACTTAATTCTACTACCTTCACATATTGAAACTATAATTTTAATCATACTTTATAGTGTAATATTCATTCCAGTCCCTCCACCACTCCCGGCACAGTCCAAGGCAAGGTTTTAGCGGCCAATTACACAGGCCAAGTCTATATGTGGTCTGACTTCAGCTTCACAGCACCTTATCATTTCGAGTACAACGACTTCCCCAACGATTATCAGAAGATTTGCTACAAGTTTGATGATAAGAGATACTTTACAGTAAGATTCAAGGTATCGTCCCAAGTTCAGGACAGAAGTCGTGAAGCCATCACGGAGACTCACGTTACTGGGTGGAACGTTGTCGACATGACTCTTACTGTAAGTGTTTTTTTATTGGCATAGTTGATGTTTAGCTATTGTAATGCCATCTTAAATCTAATTTTTAAAAAAGTTTTGGTGGAACTTTGAGTACAGTATTCCTACCGTAATCTCAAATTTAAAAAAAATTTTGATTTCAGGACTCCCAGTACGTAGTCCAAGTGCTCGGAGATTGGAAGAAGAACCCCTTCGACGTGCAGACTAACAACTGTGAACTTTGTGTTACCTTGAAGCGTAACGCTGTATATTACCTGGCCGAGATGTTGCTGCCAGCTCTGGTCAACACCATGATTACTATAAGTTCTGTCTTCTTCCAATTATCAAAGGTTCAACCAACTTTATTGGCATTCTCAATCGGCACACAACTGATCTCACTGACCCTAATCAACAGCAGGTTACCTACCTTCAGCAGCTCTACTCCTACTATCTGTAGGTTTATATTGTGGTTTTGGTGGTTAAGACTTGGCCTAAAACAATTTATTAGCGGATTTTGAACTATTTTTTGCTTAAAATGTTCAAAAACAACAAAATTATAGGCTTGAAGCACAATGCCAAAAATGGCGGGAATTCAAAATTTGAATTATTTTCAAAAAAAAATTTTCAAAAAAAAAGAAGAGAAAACGTTTTAAAATGTTGCTACTACAGTAACCACTTATCTTTAAAAATCTCGTTTCAGTATCCTACGCTTCCTTCAACTTGGTAATAACTTCAATTCTCTTTATCGTATCTTTGGCGTTACGTCGTCTATCTCAATCGACCACCAACATTCCTCCTCCCAACATCTTCAATCGTATCGTTGATCTGGTTGAAACCATTTTACCCATGCCTCAGCCTACCAAGGATGCTGGAGACTCTCAGGTCGGACATTACAGTAGGATAGCGTATGTCTTCAACAATCTGATCTACGGCTTCGTGACATGTCTGTACATTGTAGTCATAGTGTTCTCATTCGTGTTTTAAGGGCTTGTTAATGTATATAGTAATATTTGAATAAATATATATGTTATGAAGGTGTTGGGAGTGTATTTATGTTGTTATAGGTATTGTAGATGTGATTATATAGGCTATGATGTATAGATGTATACACACTAATACAAATTATGTATATCATGGTAGATACCATACTAAAATTAGGTTAAAAAATAGATAGAAAAGAAGATTTTAGCAAACCAGCTTCCGCCGTTCTCACATTTTTTGAAATTTGGAACGTTTTGAAGAAGATCTCGTCGCTCCGTGATCACTTTTTATCACTTTGTTTATATCATAATCGATCAAGCTTACTCATATCTACAAAGCAGACAGAGCTAAGCGAAATGAAGTTGCTCTTGCTTCTGTGTGCTGCCATTGTACGTTCTGACAACAGTTTTGAACCGTGGAGTAATGGTAACAAAGAAGTTGGAGATTGCTTTCAACCAACTGGATTAAACATTGTTTGTTGCCCTCAGGCTATGAGTAGGTTTGTATTGATTATATATGGCTATTTATATATCTTATATAAGGTTAATATTGCCTTGTTTTGAAGGATATTAGGCTATATTATACTACCATACAATATATTAAATTGTTCAAAAACTTTTGAGCCTCCTAATTCCAAAAATTTGCTTTGAAAAAAGCGCAGAATTATTTGAACAACCGAATATAACTCTGCTTTACTTTATTTTTTATATAAAAAACTAATCTTTTGGCCGATATTATCAGTAAAATTGATAAGAGCTACCTTTTTCTTCTTTAAGATCAAATTTAAAATTCAGAAGACGCCCTAAACTTGGCCAAAACCGCGATGAAAAGACTTGGCAAACCTTCAGAAGACGAATCTCTTGAAGAATATGCTACACGGTTAAACAATAAGATGAATTCAAATTACCCAGTGTCAGTTAGACAAGCTGGTCCAACATATACACTACGATTAGACAACGACAAAGCCTGTGGAATTCAAAAAGAATTTGGAAACTTTGAAGTTAATTTTGACAATGAGGAACTAAAACAATATATTAGCTCACAGACTCGAATTTTGTAAAATAAAGAAATATTTATGGAGTTGTAAGTAGCAAAAATGAATTTGCAAAACGTAAAATAATTGTATTTTAGCATTAGTAAGATTCTTTGAGGAATCTTATTGTAACCGTGTTCAGCATTTAGTACAGTTACGTCAGTGGCGCATAATTAATATTAGTTAAGCAAGATTTCAAGAAGAAGTCAGGCAAACAGGTAGCCAACCCCGTGTAAAAACTCTCGCTGCTCGAAGTAAGAGAGCATGCCACGGCGGTAGGGCCACCTAGCATGCTAAACAACTATGAGAAGAGTTATCTCGTTGTCCCCTGATATCCATGTTGTTTCAGAAGCCAATCACGGCCCGGAAACCCCAAATTCTATGCTAAATGACCCTAAGGTGTTAACTTTAAAATTTCGTAGCTACCGCAGGCCCCGCCAAACCGCAATAGCATGTAGTTATACCAACTATCGTCAAAAGTTTATCACATGTGAAGTTTTTTTGAGAAATTTTAAATTTCGTAAAATTTTCATGATTTTTTGGCAAATTTTAATTTTTTTCAATGCCTTCCGGGCATAATAAAAAAGTTTTCAACAGATAAAATGAATGTCTTACAGTGACAAACAATTTAAAAAAAGTCTCATTCAATTCTGACATTTAGTACAATAGTTACAAAAAAAAGTTTAAATCCTACCGTACTCCTAACGTAACCCAAATTTTAAAAAATTTTTTATATTTTTGCATTTCTATGCCTAAGTACTAACTCTAGTCAAAAAATGAACAACTTTAAAATAGTTTGAAATTATTGAACACCCCATGTCTGATTCTTGGGCGAACCTTGTTTTAACAAATGCGGCCCCTCCTTGATGTGGCCACCTAAATTTGGCACCATTCCTACTGGTCCCCCTTTCCCCTTCAAACAACCTTTTGCTTGATTTCTTCTTGAAATCTTGCTTAACTAATATTAATTATGCGCCACTGACGTCACTGTGCTGAACGCGGAATACGGTTACAATTAGATTCCTCCAGGAATCTTACTAAACTACGCCTTCTGTAACGGTCTCTGCTTTCATAACACCCATTATACTCAAAAAAAAACAACTTACCGGCCTCGTCCATCTCTTGTTGGTGTTCTCTATCACTTTATGATTTAAGTCCACTTCAAGTTGAATAAAATTTTTAAAATTAAAATTATTTGTCAATTTTACTTTTTATGAGCGGTCGTGGCTTTTGAGCGTTGTCTCTAGTTGTCTACCCATCTTGAATCATCTTTTCCTACGACATGGGCGATCGCTTGTTTCAGCTTCAACTTCAGCCAAAAGAAAGGGTAAGGTAAAGCTTTGCATTTTGTTGTTACAGTATCATTTATACAATGTAAAACTACTGTCATGGTGAAGCATACTTTGAAATATATAACTATGACCTTTCAGATTACATTCTCTGGTGATCTGAGTGCCGAGACGACTTCTGTCCTTCGGTTGACCAACAAAAGCGATTCTCGTCAAGCCTTCAAGGTGAAATGTTCTCGGAATGATCTGTTCAGGATTAGGCCAGCCAAAGGGATTCTAGACTTTGGCCAAACGATAGATGTTAAGATAACTTTCAAGTAGGTTTCGTCTCTAAACATGGCTTTTTTAAAAGAATCTTGTGGTTAATAGATTTAGTATTCTATTCGTCTAAGTTGTGGTAGTGTGTTCATTTACAAAATTTTAAATTTTTTAAATAAACAACAGTAAGCCTGTCGTATTTTACCAAAAAATCATTTTTCAGACCAACACCTGACTACACGCCCCAATCAAACCGTCACCATGTTGGCATCTACCACATCCCGGCTCCAGAAGGCTCAACTTGTACTGGCGCATGGGCTGAACACTACGGTCCAGCACAAGGAGATACTCGGATAAAGGTCTTTTTCGAAAAGTAAATGACATATTCTAAATACAAATAAACTGGTTTCTACTGAACTTGGCTTTGATTAACATATCGGTTACTATAACATTTGTTTAAAAAGTTAAAATTTTATCATATTATACCTTACCTAAAATATAATATGGATCCTATAACAATACCTTTACCGTAAAATAATTTTGCTCAAAAAATAGTAAACTTTTTTCCAAATCACAAAATCTTTTGAAATTTGCATGTTATGACATTTCAAAATTCACAACATAGTCAAACCCTACTTCAAAGTAAAAACTGTCATTCTTTAATCTCTGTCACCGCCGAACAGTCGGCCAACCACCAGATAACTCGTAGCATCGCTCCAGATCTTCAGCTAGGTAATGGAGAAGATATCGTCACCATCCGAAACGTGTCACAGCTTGGGATCAATCAAGCTGCCTGAGGATGTACTAACTGAGGTGTTTTACTTTGGATTCGTCACTCCGTAAGTTTGTAGAAGCATAACCTCTCAAACACGTAGACATTACTTTAAAAATGATGGCATATGTGATTTCAGAAATGATGTAGAAGCGTCGCTCGAGAGAGACGGTGAATTCGCAGTTTATGCAATCGAAACGACCGCTTTGGAGAAGACCTTCATCTTCAAGATGGCCTACAAAGCTAACGCTAAGGTAAGAGTCTTACATGGTTAAGCATTAGGTTGTTCAAATAATTCTGCGCCCTTTACGCTCAAAAATTTGTCTTAATAGGGGCGCAGAATTATTTAAACATCTTAAAAGTAAAGTGAAACCAATCATTTTAGTTTTCAAAACTGTTTATTTATGTAACTATGCTAGTAATACTTATAATATCTGAAGTGTTACAGTAGTATAATATTTGGATGTTCAGGTAACTCACCTCCAGATCAGGACGACTCCAACCCTCGAGTACTACTTTGATGATAAGCGGTTCAAGTCAAGGACAGCTCAGACTATCAAAAAGCTGGTTAAAAGCTACATCAACTCCAAAGAAATGCCACTGACAGAGCCTGCCAAGAGACCGGCCATCTTCATTCGCAATGATAAGGTCCAGATCAAGCACCGAGTTGGCGAAGGTAGGATAATATGACATTTGTATTGTTTTGGAAGATCTTTTGAAAGAAGGAGCTACGTGTAGAGTTTAAGATAACTATTGTAGTATAATATACTACATTTCAGGTAACTTCTGTTTCGTATCCAAAGCCGTGATGACTGGCACCAACAGGGTCCTGAAGAACGTGGCCGTGAAGAACTTCAAGGATTCTGAAATCACAGCCCAGACCCACGCCGAGCAGAAGGAGATGATGACTGAGATCAGCTCGTTGTCCGCCACTTACCACGTCAACATCATTCAGTTCTATGGGGTGTTATGTGATGTGCCACCCATCAAGGTAAGTATTGTATATTATCTTTTACCAATTTTAAGCTGGTTTTGATCGTTTGAACCATACCATAATGTTTTTTAAAGTTGTCAAGATGCCACGCTGTAGTATTATACTGTAATATCCCACAGTAAAACCATCGTGTTTTAGTTGGTCATGGAGTTTTGTCCAGGAGGAAGCTTGGGCTCTCACCTCCTCTCCCAGAAGGACGCCATCAAGATTGGAGAGCGGATTCTGTACCTTTTTGAAGCCGCCAGAGGCATGGAGTACCTCGAGGGCATCAGCATTGTCCACCGAGATCTGGCCGCGAGGAACTGTCTGATTGCCATTGACACGACACTCAAGATCGGAGACTTTGGCCTCAGCCTGACGACCCAGGAGCTGAGCGAAGAGAAGATTGACGGTAACTTCAAGGCCCCGATCCGCCTTCTGAGCCCCGAAACCATCGGAAAGAAGCCTCTGTTCTCGCACAAGAGCGACGTCTGGTACGTTTGTTTTGTTTGTAGTCGAAAGCAATGTTTTAATCTGTTGTTCTTGATAGTCTTTGCATTCTGATCGAGAAGCGATCGACCAACCATAGCTCAGTTGGTAGAGCGGAGGACTGTAGTTCAGCGGGAATCCTTAGGTCGCTGGTTCGAATCCGGCTGGCTGGAATTTTTTTTTTGATTTTTCAGTTTAAGTCTTATATTCTATGTACTTTGTGACCATTTTTTGATCGAGAACAACTGTAACAATCTGATATTATAGTAGTGTACGATAACTTTTAACTAATCTTAATTTTAAAATGATTTCAGGGCCTATGGCATGCTTTGTTGGGAGATCTTCAACAATGGCCAGAAACCATGGCCAGACGATGAAGTCAAGAAGATTGCCAGAGACATTAACACCGGCAAGATGCCCACCGTTCCCAACACGATGCCCCCAGAGGTGAAGGCGATAGTCAAGGCGTGCTGGAACAAGGACCCAGAGAGTCGACCAAGCTTTTGGGATATCTTGCACAAGCTTCACAAGCTCGTCAATGGCAAGTACGCTCCTCCACCACCTCCTGAAAGGTCTACCACCAGGATCAAAGGAGTTTATGCCAAGTCGCTGGACGATCTCAATCTGAAGGCCAATTCGCCAAAGGGGCGGAAGAAGAATAGGCGGATCTTCTCGGTTAGGGTAGGTTAAACTTTTTTTAAAAATTTATTGGTTTTTATTGATTTTTTTCGCTTGAAAATGTCATTTTGACAAAGAAATAGCCGTTGCAAAACACAAAAAACAATATTAATATTTTAAATTTATTTTTTCTAATTTCAGGACGACGATGACCCTCACCACAGGCACAAAGACACTGTCAGTCAGCAGTCGAATGCAACGACGACAACCACCAACTCTTCGAGTGGCAAAAATAGTGGCGCGGCTCGAAAGAAACGACCGGTTGGAAGCGTCAACAGGACTAATTCTCTTGGCCTGGTACAGTAGGTTTTGAAAAATTACAATTGATATTACAGTATTCATTGTTAGTAGTCCATTTGATATAGTATATAACTATAGCAGTATTCCAGTTGATTTAAATTATATTGTTTTATGGTTGATATCAATTTTATTATTGATTTTACTGATTGAGTACTAATTGGTTTACTTTCAGACGTCGCAGCATTACCTTACCTTCGAAAAGCGTTGGTCAAGAGCGTTCCAAGTTCAAGCGAAAGTAAAATGGACAAAACTTCTAGTATATGGGTTTATGTTTGTGAATAAATCGTTGTAACGATAATTTGAAATGATTTTTAATTTTAAATTTTATTAAATTTGTTATGTTAATATGTTGCTTTAAAAGTTACTGTAACGTAGCTAGTTGAATAACAGTTTTGAGAATCAAGGCCGGTCATTACAGAAGGGGAGACAAAGGTAATGAAGACTTGATTCTTTGTGCCTTTGCTATTACAAAACAGTGGCAATCGATCCTCAGTAACTAAATTTAGCTTGAGTTGCTTTATGTATTATTAGAAGGTTGAAATAGTAAATAAATGAGTCACAAAAGTTATTTTTTATCAAAGTGACACGGAGATGTTACTTGTTTGGCTGTTACGATCAATACACGAAAATAACAATTATTTGTTTACTTGTGACATTTGAGTTTACACGGAAATCCGGGGACATACGAATTCTTTGATTATGTTATCTTTGACCTTACGAGTATATAAACTCAAGAAAATGCTCATCCTTTATCAAGTTCTCTGATCTTCTACTCGTTGGTCTACTGTTAGTTATTATAGTTATGACATTGATTTTTTTTTAATTTTTGAAATCAAAAATACTTTTTATTTGCCAAAGACATGTATATATTAACCATGAGTTTTACTTAAAATAATTTCAAGTTTTAGGTATTAAAAATGAAAACTGTTGCTATTATTGCTCTTGTTATCGTATCTGCTTCTGCATCTACAGTAATCTTCAAGAACAACTGCAAAGATGCGTTTGATGTTGTCAGAACTGAAAACTTGAAACTTCCGGTCGTTCAATGCCATCTGAACCCCCGAGGCGAATGTAGAGGACAGTTTGCTAATAACAGATCAATGAACTTCAAACGTGGATGGGGCGGTAACTTTTTATAATTTTACTATCAAAGGATGAGTTTTAATGATATAACAGCTATAGCGGTGAATAGATCATCCTCAAAAACTCATGCTAGCCTTACCCAGCCTAGCACTGCCCATCCATTCTAGCTTCACCTAAGTGTACCTCTGCCGATTCTAGCCTTAGCCAAGTAGACTTCTGCTTATTTTAGTCCTGCCCAAGTATACCTCCGCCTATTCTAGCCCTACTCAAGCCTAGCCTTTTTGGGTTTACCCCTATTCTGTCCGGGTAACATATCCCAAGGAGACGCTATAACCTAATAGTTTTAAAAATTTTTAATTTTTTTTTGTATTTTTATTTTCAGGCAAACAAACGTTAGCCGAGTTTACTTTTGACAACCCAAAGAAGAGAGACTTCTTTGACTTGAGTGTGGTTGCCGGATTCGATGTTCCTATGAGTTTGAGCGGCAATCATTATAAATTGAAATGTAGACACCCGTAAGTAAAAAACGTTTGCAATATTAGGTTGTCAAAATATAAAACTTTCAGTAAGTATCATACTCAACTATCATATTATTACCTGTATACTGTAACAAAAGACTTTTACAGTGATAATTATTTTTTAATTTTCAAAATTTTTCTTATTTATCTATTACAACTTATACTCTAAGAATATCCAAAATGATCATTCATATTTGTGATAAATAGTAAGGCAGAAAAGGCCTAGTAGACCGATGCCAAACAATTGTAAAACAATTTTTTAGTAAATGCCCAGATGCCTATCTCTTCGATCGTGACGACAAAAAGAATCATGATGGTCCGACTGGTGCTACATACCACGTCACTTTCTGCTAAATTCAAGTTAACCTTCAAAGAGTTGTGATTGAACCTTCTCCGACTTAATATTTTACAAAATTTACAATTTTATTGATATTCATTTTATAAATTTAATAAAAATAACTTTCTAGTGGTTTACAAAGTGCGAAATTATACAAATTTTTCATTTAAAGTAAAAATAATATTCAAGGTATTTTTAACTAACAGTCCTTGTTGGAAAGTAGTACCTGACCTGCCTCGCTCAAAATCGGTTAAAATTTTTTACGGTTTCTTAATATTAGCAGTAGTACCCATAAAAAACTTTAGCTTATTCTTTAAATTTTCAAAGTAAATATATTTGAAGTTGCCGCCAATTTGGCATTGTGTTGCAAGCCCTTATTTGATGTTATAGATAAGGTGAGCTAACAAACTTAAAAACGAAAGTTTATTTAAAGATTTCCTATCAATATAACAATGAAAAATTGTCAAAAGTCTAAAATTAACAGTTTTACGATTAAAAAACAATGCCAATTTGGGATTGACTGGAATGCGCGAGTTAGTACTTTGTTCAAGATCTTATATTTACGTGATCTTCCTATATAAAAAGTTTAAAGTCAATCAGAGCGGAGCAGGTCAGGCAACTTCTTTGTAGAGGCGATTTTATAAATATTGTTTTAAGGACAATAAACAATCTCGAATGTTCCACCACTGTCTGTAGAAACTCTTTTGCTGGATTCTTTATCGTTACGCAATGCTTCTGGGCAAATGCTGAAAACGAAAAATTTTGACAAATTTATGTTATATAATACTTTTTATACTACACTATACTGATATATACTATAAACTGGATTTAAAACATCAAACTCACTTAGTGTAACATGTAATATTAACAGCACCTTTTTTCAATGATCTGATAGACACTGACTGATCAAACCCTCTGGCCAAGTTGATGCCATAGTAGTCAGTGCCACTTTCAAATTGATTTACCGACAGTTCAGCCAGAGATTTACCTGAAATGGAGCAAATGCTCTGATATTTTATATATACGTTTGTTGCAACTATTATTATATAACGTACCATCCTTATTAACCTTCAGGCCAAAGAACTGATCGTTGACATTAAACTTGTACTCTTCGTCTCGAGGTAATATACATTCGAGAGTATTATTCTGATTCTCTAAGTAAGCATGCTTGTAGATATGCATTAGTCTTAAGCATTCATTTCTAATTAAGATCTCAGTAGATAATACAGTATACGCAAATATTAGCAGTAAAATCAACTTCATTTTAGTAAATGTAAAGTTTATTTTAATCATATTTAAATTGATTGTAAATTGCAGTTATCTTATCAGTTGTTTGTGAAACTTTTACCAGCGAAACGTTTGTTGTGAGCACGTTTTTAGTGTTTAACTATGTGAACATTAGCCGGCTTAATGTTTATTGATGCAATAAAGCAAACATGGAAGTACACAAATATGAAAATTGATTTTGTGTTAATATTGGAACTGAAGATCAGCCACAAAAAGTCAAGGTATAAGTGACTCCACTTGGACCACCATGAGTCTTACTGTTGTCGCCAGGATGTTGATAAGCGTCTGGGCATCCTCTGTAACATATTATGAATTGACTTTTTAGAAATCCCTTACCTATCACGGCACACCAGAGTAATACCATTTCCTTCCAGCACCATACCCACATCAAAACCGTCAACCACACTCAAGTCCCAGTAATCGTTGTTGTAGCCACCGTTGAACGTGAATTCAGCTAAAGTTCGGCCTGTAAACGTCAATTTAGCTCAATAAAATAGGTTTTACATACCTTGCCAACCCTGCTTAAAGTTCATTCCGTTGCTTCCAAAGCTTCCACTGCATCTTTGACCGCGCTCCAAATGGCATTGTACTACAGGAGCGGCTCCATTCTCAGTTCGAATAACATCAATTCCGTTGCCACATTGATTCACAAAATTGACAGTTGAAGCTGTGGCAAATGACAGAGCCAATAAGAAAACAGCGACCCTGAATGCAAGAAATGACATCTTTAACAATGAATTGTTGTTGGATTCAGTGTATATACTGTGCTTTAAATACTGTTTTTGATAGTGGTTTAAACCAATCAGAGCCTTTACGGACCTCCGGGTTTAACGGTAAATAAGCCTTGTAAAGCTGATAACTACGTCAATAATATTTTCAATTAACAGTACATATGCATAAAAAAGTAATTACGACACTTTTTAAACCGGAACGATTTATAAACGTTCTTTGATAAAGGTTTAACTTTATTGATTTGTTATTAGTTTACAAAAGTAATCCTAAATGATGTGCTACGATATACACCTAAAAATAGCCTAAACTATCCTGCTAATGACAAGATTGAGCCTGTTGGTATGATTTTTTTCTTTCTCGGCTAAAAAACCGAGAAGTATTTCAAAATTAATTTTTTATTTATCAAAACCATAATAAAAAATGCTGTTGTTTGAGATATTGCTTAATACATTGTTTTTTAAGTTTTACCTACCGATTTCTGTTACCTACAGAAAAAGTATTTTACTTGTCCCGCTCAGAATTAGCTCAAAAATTTTATATGAATGCTTTGTACCACCAATAGTACCTACAAAAAATTTTAGCTTATGCTTTTGAGTTTTAAATTTTAAATATTTGGGTTTTCGGTCAATTTGGAAAATTTAGCATTGTGTTTCAAGCATTTTTTCAACATTCTAGACAAGCTACGCTTAAAAATCTAAAACTGTAGGTTCAGTATTCACAAAATTGTAACAGGAGGTGAATAGTGAATATATATGAACATTCTAAAACAAAAGGGACCTGGACTAACAAAGCAAAAGCTTCAAACTGTACTTCCAAACGCAACATACACGGAAAGTAGGTACTGTTGTGCTATGGTAACATCGGGATGATGTCCCTTATTTTAAGCGGTTAAAACCTAGTAAAACAGTTACTACTGTTTGTTACAAACAACAACTAACTGATTTGGAAAGACTAGTAATTATTAAATAAGGATTGCTAGCAGGGCCGGGCGCGAGGGGAGGAGACGGAAGACCAGAAAAAAATTTTTGAAAAATGTTGAACGTGGTCCCCCCTGTGAATTTTCGGAAAAAAAAATTTGCAAAAAATCGGCACTCTACCTGTGACTCTACCTGTGCCGATTTTTTGGACCCTTGCCCCCACACCAAAAGTCCCCGCTTGGCCCTGATTGCTAGTATGGTTTTTTGACTAGTCTTTGTCAGTTGTTGAAAAAAACGCAATTTCATGGAAACTGGCCTATTTTTACACATGACACATTAAATTTTGTGACACATTCTACAGTTTTAAAATTAATCTTTAGTCGTTTGCAAAGCTAAGTTAATATACTATAATATTGATAGATCTGCAGTCTGTCACCCGCATAAATTAATATAGTATTTCTTCGCCATTAAAGCTTGAATTTAAATATGAATGGTGATGCTGACGGTGATATGAAATTCAGAAGTCCATATTCATTGAATCGTTTACAGAAATGTTTAGACAGTTGGCACTTTTTATACTGTGGCTAGTATGTCTGCAAGGTTTGTTTACATCAATCTGGTAATTTATAGCAACAAATTCTTTACTCCTCCTAATGTATCATAATTAGCATGAGTTACTAATGGCCTGAGGTTTGTAAAAATCGTAATAAGGTTTTATATTAGTTTGTTCAAATAATTATGGGCCCTTAATCCTAAAAATTTTCTTTGAAAGAGCACAAAATCATTTGGACAAACTAACCTTTTTAAAAAAATAATTGTACCGTTAGCTAGACTAGACTAAACAATACTTTACGCATTATAAACTGGAATTGAAACTTTTTATTTTAGTCAGATGCCAAGCCCAACTACCAGGTTTTTCAAATCCGCCAGATTTTAATTCTGGACCATTTCTGTGAGTACTTAGCTGTAATACACCTTTGGTAAATGACTTTTTAAACTAAAAAACTAAAAAAAATATTTTCTTTGTAGAAACCCACCAATGGACGTTGGTATGCTACCAATACCTCCAGTACCGCCTATCAACTTGGACGACTCAAACATAGAGCAAAGTGAAACTGTTGAAGGTAAGAGTTGTAAATAAGTAAGAGTATGTTTGGTAAGAGTTTTTACTTTATTGTAAGGAAGATAAGAGTAGATAGGTCATTATTTTATAAGTTATGAACTTTTTATAATCATGATACTTGTAGTTTTGAGAAATTTTAGAGATAACAACAGAAGAGTAGTCAACAACAGGCTTGTCACCGCTTGATTGTAAACCATTTACAACTTCAATAAAGTTTTATCATATATTTGTGAATTTATTGAGCATTTTATAAAAAAAAATAAAATTTGCTTTGAGAGGAACACAGAATTAATTGAACAACAAAAGTTTTTTATTACATTTAAAATGTCATAATAAACTTATTATGCTATTTATAACACTTTTACACCTTATCATCAACAACCACGTTGTATTTGAGTGTAAACCAAACAAAGTTCTACTTTCAATCAAGCCTTGTTGACTGATAAGACTGACGAACGGCTTTGCATTGATCAAAGCATAAAGAACCAAGGTTACTGATAACATCAACATACGAAAGGTGTTTTCCCAATAATATCGTTTAACTCTATTTATTTACTTTCCTGCTTATTGTGATATGGGGCTCACGTTTTGGTAAGTTGATTAAAATATGACTTTCTTTTCTTAATTACTGTAAAATCTTATAAAAAACCATAATACAGAGTCATTTTATATACACCATAAGGTATATATGAAATGCTATAGTCTGTATTACAGTAAGATTTTCTTAACTAAAGCACCGTAGTATATCATGTCTTTTACCATACTTTTTGTTATCAGCCATTGTGTTTAGGACAAGTTTTGTGGCCTTGTTGGCAACCGGAGTATACGTGTACGTCAGCAAAACGCCTTTTGAAGAAAATGTCGTAAAGTAAGTTGATTTTACGTTAAAGTAAGCTGATTTTACACTTTTTTGCTAATATCTTTGTGTTATAAAACCATATTAACAACCACAAAATTCAAACTGCAAAATTTTAACTTTTCTCTTTATCTTATCATAAAACAGTAAAAACCAAGCTTTCAGACTCACCCCTCAACGAGAATTGACTGGCAAACTAGCCCAAACCCCTCAAAATACTTTGAAAAATATTGACATCCTAGTCAAGGGTGAAGTTTATGGCCCAGAGTGTCAAGTGTTACACAAAGGTGCTCTCTACTCGGCTAGTCTGGATGGGTCGGTGGTTAAGATTATAGATGGAAAGGTTGCCAAGAAGCTTGAAGTTTACAAAAATAATCCTAAATGTAGTAAGTGGATGTTTAGTTTTTTAAAATTATGATTTTACGACTTTATGATTTGGGGAGAGAGACTTAACACGTGTGTTTTGATTGAGAGAGTGAGACTTAACCCGAAAGCAAAGTTTTTTTACAGAAATGAAGCTGACAAAATTTTATTTCGATTTTACTTATATTTTTAAAAAGATTGTTTTAGGAGAACTCAGATGCTCTCAGCCCTTAGGCATCAGACATTGGAAGGAAGAAAAGTTTGTCTTCGCTGATGGAGCTCTCGGCATCTTGGTGGTTGACTTCAAAACAGGTAAAATACGAACGAATAACCATTTTTCAAATATGTTTTAGCGTTGTTTTACTGTTTATGGTAAGCATGAGCTTTTTATAGACTAAAAAAGTTGTATACTATCTGAAAAGTGAGGTTAAGACAATATTCAAGGTTAAGGACTTAGAATTATCTGAACAACCTAATATTATACTAGATTTCTGAGATCAAAGCGGTTTTTTCACTTTTTTTTACATTTTAGAACAATTCGAACAAATCTACACAGCTGGTACACTTGTTGGCAACTGGGGCATCGGCTTTGCTGATGATTTTGACTTTGTTGGTGAAGATACCATTGTATTCAGCGATATGCACCCGAAGTGTGGAATGCACAACTTTATGCAATGTTTTGTAGAGTTCTCACGAGATGGACGGTATGTTACTGTAATGTTTGGGCTTCTCAGTTTTTATATCTCAGCTTATCTGTAGAAAATATTGGAGATAAGCTGATATATAAGGGACGATTTAGATTTACCTTAAATTTAAGCCTACTACAATATCGTGCAAAAATAAAATTTTAAAAATAAGTAATTTTCAGTTTATTCAAACTTAATTTGAATACTGGGGAGTTCGAAATCATCGCTGACAATCTTCTGGCTCCAAACGGAGTTGTAGCTCACCCAGACAAACAATCTGTCATCGTATCATCTTCCAGTGGCTCCCAGTTACTTCGAGTTTACTATGCCGGAAGTAAGAAGGGCGCAGTAGAAGTGTTTGCAGATGGACTACCTGGAATGCCTGATAATCTACGTCAGACTTCGAGTGGAAAGACCTTCTGGATTGCGTTTTACCGGTCGAGTATTGGTGGAAGGTCAGCTATTCAAGTGCTGAGCGAGTATCCGGCTGTCCGAAAGTTTCTTAACATCGTAAGTTTACTGAGTTAATATTTAGAGTATTATTATTTACATAACTTATTGATTAGGTTAAATTGTTATACCTCTGTTTGACCAAAGCTGTATTACCTAAATCTTCATAATACTCAACGTTCTGATTATAGTTCGGCAACTTACTCATGCCATTCGACATGTTGTTTGGAAAGCATGTAGTTATAATTGAAATGGACTTTGAAGGCAACGTCGTATCTTCTATTCATGATACTGAAGGGCGTTTGAGGGCTTTGACTAATGTTATTGATGATGGAAAGTACTTGTATTTTGGAAGCTTCGTCAAGGATTATATTGGCCGTGCTTTAAGGCCATAGAGGCTTATCATAATTTCACATTAGTATACTAATATTATTTGTATAAAAAACAATAAACGGTTAAAAAGGGTGAATAAGAAAACTTTATTGATATTTTTTTGGATTTTTAAAGCAAATTGACTTTGGATTACTATTGACAGCTTATCCCTTGAAATTTTTAAAAATGTTTTAAAGTTTATATAAAATGGCACAAATGAGTGTGCATATTATAACATTAATTAGACCGTTTTTACTAATTTTTTGATATTAAAAAAGTTTAATTACGGCTATAAAAACTTGCCATAAACACTATAACCATAAAGTCATATTATATTATTAGCATTAAATTATCCTTGATTAGCATTGATATTGTGATAAGAAAGCGTTCCAATTGTTATTCTTAAGCCATTTTCTATTTTAATTGAATTATTTTCAAATTATTTCAATTTGCATTCGAATTATGACACAATATATAAAGCCCCCAAACCGTGGTAAATCTGTGTCTTGCCAAGATGTTCAAGTGGACGTTCCTTGTGGTGTTTGTGCTGTTCGCGCTTCTTCAAGGTAAATGTAGTGTTCTTAGTATTATTATTGTAAAAAGCGTTAGATTTGTATATGTAATACGGAGTCTTATCTTTGTGAATTCATAAACTACGTTTCTTATATTATGTTATTTTAGGTGGAGTCAACGCGAATGACTCAAAGCCTGCCAATCATCATCGTGAGTTTAAACCTATTTATAACCGAAAAATATAATGTGGAGTAAACTCTCGTTATAAGAAACAGTATATTTTACTACGTATTTATTACTAGTTAAAGTATCTTTTGAGGTGTGAAACGCGGAGGTCATGGTCACGGTGGAGGTACCCATCATCACGCTGGTGGCAGCGGCGGTGGTTTCCTCGGAGGATTGTTCGGATAAATGTTACGAACCACAAGTCCTACTATACCACAGCTAACATTATCTTATATCAGCTTGTTTTTAACGCTTTTTTACTTACAGCTTCATAAACTTTATTGTAACATACGGTTAGAGGCTTTTGCTTGTTGTAAGGCTGAACACTCACTCATAAAAATATTATAGTATACCTATGAATTATACTACAATACAATTACCCTTTTTCGTAAAAGTTTATTCTGTATAAAATTGACAAATATAGTGTGAGATACTGTAAAATATCCATGTGTTTGAGCAGATGAATTCACCAGATAGAAAAAGTGATTTTGAATAAAAATAGAAGTATATGTACTGTAGCTTTATGTTATCCTTCGAATCGAGGCCGCACATTCTCGATTCTGTTTTCAAGTTCTGATACACAATCGTCCAGGTTAGATTGTTCTAAAACATTAAGTTAACTTACACTTTCTCGTATTTTATCTCCTTCCACACCAAGATATTATTACCGAGCTCCCGCTTATGCATATATATAGCATTATACATCTTAAGGCAATAATATTAGGTTGTTCACATAATTCTGTGCCACTAACCCAAAAAAATTTGCTTTGAGGCACAGAATTACTTGAACAGTCCAATAGTACTTGATAAAGCAATATAACTCACGACTCAGTAGTTCAATCTGTTTGTACTGCCTTCTGATCTTGCTCTTCAATGAAGCATTCTCGTCTCTCATGGCTTCCATCTCCAGAATTACACCACGATATTGTTGTTCCCAAGTCTCCCCAATAGTGGATTGAGATCGCTGCAGTTTATTCAATTGCCCAATCTCTAGCATTGCTCTATCCAGCTGGCTTCTGGCTTCTTGTAGATCGCTCTTCACTCCTTCATTTGCCTTTTGGTTCGACTGAAGCACGTGTATCTTGTTATCGTACTCGTCCTGCATCTTTGACATCTTGTCCATTAGTCTTCTTCTGAAATGAGGCATACAAATGAATTAACAGATTTAGAGACCAAAAACCCTGCCAGGATATGTAAAACGACATACCTTTCAGCCATGATATCATTCTTGCTTTCTGCGATCGTATCTTCAACCTTCTTCCTCGAGTTTTCCAAGTCTCGTTGAGTCTTTTTTAATTGCATATCTAGACCTTCAGTCTTGGTCTCTTCTTCTTTCAGTGCCTTCTGAGCTTGTTCCAGGTCTCGATTAAGTTGTTTTAGATGTCGAGATTGAGTTTCTTTGCTCTAAATTAATTTAAAGTTAATAATATTTGAAATTTAAATTTAGATATAACAGAAAAAATTAATCATTCAGCTGTACTATACCATTACTTATGCTAGTCCTCTAAATTTTATCCTTTACCTACCATTTCAGCCTCTTGCAACGATTGTTTGTAAACCTCCAATTCTCTTTTAGCCAACTGTAGGTCAGTCTTCAACGTCTGAAGCTCTCTCTCCGTCTGAGCACACTTTCTTTCCACATTCTGGAGGTTGGTCTGGTTAATCGAAGAGTTTGACATTGATCTTTCGAGATCGATCACTTGATGCACATTACTCAACGTGCTCTGTCTGCTAAGCCTATGAGACGATGGACTCTTCGGAAGATATCTCGAAGATTCAGAATAGCACGATGAAGTTAGACGATCGTCGTCGTTCCGTCTACTGCGAGTGTATGGTCGAATAGAAGATCCTATGCCAGAAGAAGTTGCTTGAGCTCCAGATATTGAGGATGATGAGGTTATAGAGTAGATAGAAGTGTTCATAGACACACGAGAGCCAAAACGGCTTAAGGCACTGCCGGAGCGAGCTAAAACAATATAATAATGACTTTAAAACTCGCTTTATCATATAATTCATAAAATATTAGAATCAGAACGTATCAAACATTAGAATCTTAATTTACTATAAAATGTTTTCTTACGATAATCCGGTTCCAATGAGGTTTCCCTATCGTTCTCCAACTTGGCCTTCTGTTGCTTATTTTCTGATTCCAGCTTCAGAAGTCTTCGTTTGCAATCATCCAATTCGTTTTGGAGTTCAAACTGTTTGGATTTGTGTGACTTCTTAAGTTCGGCTATACAATTATCCATTTCAAACTTCTTTTCATCCAACTGACGTTCCAGTTTTCTGATGGTGTTGTCTTTGATGCGGTTTTGTTCTTTCTAAAATATTATTATTATTACTTTATTTTTCTTTTTTATGCTACTCATGTATTAGTAATGACAAAGAACGACCATTTTTATAATAAAGTAATCAATAATATTACAATAAACAACAAAAATCTTTAAAATCGCCAAAAGACCAGTAATGTTCATTAACTTACCGTAGCATCTCTTTGAACCGTAATTTTATCCAGCTCTTCCTCCAGTCTAGCCACAGTTTCTTCCAGTTCATCGTTCTTTATCTCAAACTGCCGTTTCTGACTTCTTTCATTGTACAGAGAGCTTTCTGCCGTATTCAATCGTTCCTAAAACAATTTTTTATACTACATCATCAAATAGCTACTAATATCATAAATACCAAAAACATATACACAATCTTCTTCCACCTACATTAGCTTCAGCCAGATCGTGCTTCAATTCTGTGAATTTGCTTTCAGAATCCTCCAGCTTCTCCTCCAATTTGAATATATTCTCCATCTTTTTGCTGTTTTCATTTCGAAGATGCTCGAGTTCTGGTCTGACATCGTCGTACCTTCTCTCCAGCTCCTCGTTCTTCATCACCATGTTCTCGTACTCTTGTTCTGCATTCGTTCTTAATGTTGTTTCAGCTGATAGATCTTCCTTGATTTTGGATAATTGAACCATCATCTGACGTTTTTCGGCTTCCAAACGTTCCAAAGTGGCTACGTTCTCTTTTAGTGTTGTGTTTAGCTTCTGGAAATAGATAGTCCAACTTTCTGTGTATGTACATAAGTATCACTAATTGTTGTAACCATTTTTCAAAATGATTTTACTCAGTTTTTAAAAAATAAAAAACTCATTCATTTTTCGGCTCTTTGTATAAGACACATAACTAAAATTGCTGTAACTGTATATTATGATATTAACCTTACCATGATTTTAGCGTGTTGTTCGTCAAATCGTGATTCCATGGCTTCTAGAAGCATTTCATTGCGCTTCAGTTCATCCTCAACGTCGTGCTTCTTGTTTCTCTCAGCTTCTCGTTCCTTTTCAATCTAAAGACAACCATATCACCCTTAGTTTAAACATAACAATATTGTAATCAAATTTTTGTAATTCAATCAAAAACATTCAATGGTTGAAACAACTGTAACATACTATACCACTTTATATATAATACAGTACTCTAAAGTATTACCTCCTCCAGTCGCTCCTCCAACCACTGATTCCGGTCGAGCAGAACTTGTTTTTCGTCTTTGACCACATCGCAAAGCTGTAAGTAATAAAGTTTTATGTCTATGATATAACCCCACCTTCTTCATGGCATCGACGTCCTTCTCCAGCTGGACTAGCCGTTCCTTCTCCTTCTTCATCGGAATTAATTGTTTCGTTTTTCGTAACAACTTGATCCAAGGACACGAGTTTAGGGCCACAACTTGGCGAATATTGTCTTGGACTATAGTTACTGCGTCCCTGAAGGCATTATAGCTTACGCTTTATAATTGATATTAATTTTAAAGAAAAATTCTACAAAAGCCATAAATATAGCGTATTACAGTAGGTTTTAGACGTTATATTACTTACATTTCCTTCTGTTTCTGAGAAAATCTTTCCTGTTCCAGATGCCATCTGATTTGAGCTTGAATTTGAACAATACATTCGGAAATCCTGGCCTTCCTTCTATCTTCTAGCTAAAAATAATCAAAATCAGAAAAATCAATTTTATGTAAACAAAATATCAAATATACAAATCATAACAATAAATCAAACCATGAAGAACATAACCATAACTTACATCAGACAAAAATCCGCTTTTACAAAACAATTTCGTTCGACCAATTTGAAACTTTTCTAAATCCAGATTCAGTTCTTCTACCATTTGTACTACTTGTTTCACCGAACTGACGCTTCGGTCTATATTAGGACACAACACAATATATCGATCGACAAATTCGTTAAAGAAGATCCTTGAAGGATAGCCACGTTGACAAATTCGTAGGCCTAAAAATAATGTCTTAAAACAACTTCAAAAGCAGATCATAACATCTAATTTTATTCTCCATTAACAGCAAAACCATGTCTTCCTTCCATTTACTCTGCTATAACATACCTTCAAGAACTCCATTGCACTTCAATTGATGCAGCACCAATGGTGCATCCATTTCGAATGCTCTCCTGGTACTGTTTGGTACAATACATCTGATGAAGTGTGACTGAGTCTTGTGTAATGTATTCAACAATCTTCCCAACTGCTCTTTGTAGATATAGGATACTGTAGATTGAGCCAAAGATCCCCTTCTGGAAACTTTTGACTCGTTTTTCTTAAACAGTAATTTGAGCAAGTTATGAGTAGAAGTGCTCAAGAGTTCGAGGATGGAAGTGTCAACCTGATCCCGGTTCTTCTCCAACCAACCATCTACATTGTAGGCCACTTGGCCAGTATAATGTGTTAGAAGGAAGTGATTCGTGGATTTGTTACTAAAATTATAGATAATAGTTCAAAAGTTAATTATAGATGTAAAACTGAGTAAGAAAGTATTAAAAATAGCCAAATCAAGCAAAAAATACACATTAACTTACCGCGATGACATTTTGACCTTATTAAACCCTTCTTCAGCTCCCAGGTTCTCTACCAACTTAGCCAGTAAAGTTTGGTCGCTGCTGTTAGGTATAATACACTCTTCTTGTAACAAACTAAGCAGTCCCATCGGCTATAACAATATAAATTTTAAAAAACTGAACATACTAATAGTTTTACCCATAATGTGTTATATTGTTATATAACACCATTAAAACCAACCACGCTAAATAATCAAGCCCGATAGCAAGTTAGTTTACTTTATCTCTCATTAGACCGGCTATGTCATCCAAACTATCGAAATTGAGTAAAAACGTACCTTTTCAATCAGCTCAATGGTCAACTGTAGATCATTGCCAAAGTCCATCTGATCCCATTCGATCCCTTCATTAAAATACTCATTTTGCTCCTTTACAAACATGAAATGATTGAAGAACTGTTGCAACTTTTCATTGGTAAAGTTGATGCAAAGTTGTTCAAAGCTATTTGTTGACATAATCTCGAATCCTGCCATATCCAACACACCAATAAAGTTACCATCGTCCTTCGTATCTTTATGTCGGCTCTTTTGGACAATCGTTTCGTTACATTTCTGAAGAATATATTCGAATAGCTTCTGATAAATGGCTTTGGCCATTGCTGCTACTGATAACAATGTCTTCTTCAGATTTTGAGAACGACGAATCAGACGTTCCCCGACTTTGAATGAAGGTTCGGTTACAGCGTCGACGAGTTTGGAAGATCGTACTTGAAGAGCGGAAGATGCGACTTCAATTTCTGAAGATAGGGATAATGGCTACATTACATAATATATTATCATAAGTTAAAAGTTAAAAAAACCAAAAAAAAATTCAAATTTCTTTGAGGTCAGACCTTTTTTAGCGTTTTAGACACCAAAGAAAAACGGTTAAATCAAATTGCAATGCACTCTTAAAACAGACTATAAATAAGTTTCAATTCTGACAAACAACAGTGTAAACTCACCGTCCATTCTTTCAGGATAACTGACATCCATTCCACTTCTTTCCCCAAACCTCATTTCTCCAAGTAAGATAATCGAAATAATCGCTTCAACGACTTCCAAGATCTCCTTGTCACTGAACCCAATTCGCTTTAACGCATCTATTGTCGCTTCTGAATTCTCCAGATCGTTCATCCCAGAATACGCTGACGATCCACCTTGATTTAGATACTTGTAATCATTGAACTTCTTCTTTAGACCAAGCTTATTTCTGACGGATTCAAAGGTATTATTGGCGAAGATTTCATAGAATATGTGGAAGTTTCTGTCCCCTTCATTTTGCGATACTACGCGAGACTTTTCAAGAAGATCTAAAGAGTAAAACCTTGATTTTAGGTTCCACCTTCTCAATTCATTTTATATTTTGTTTTTCTAATATAAAGTACTACAAAGCCGTTCAAACTTACAGCATTCGATGTTAGCACTGGTGAGTTTGCTTTTGATATCAAAATCCAGCTTTATAAACTTCCCCAACCTCGAACTGTTCGAATTATGAATTGTCCTTGCATTCGAAAAGGCTTCTAAAGCAATTCCAGCACTGAGAATAGCTTCTTGAACTCCAGTAGCTTCTTGTGAAGTGCTCGGCAGCTCATTTTGATTGGCAGCTTTGATCAGGTATTCGATTATCTTCTTGGTGTTTTCTGTCTTTCCTGCTCCGCTTTCTCCTCTAAAATAAGGTAAATCTGGTAGTTTTTTTTACTAAAACCTTTAAAAATGTTAGAATAAAATAAATTAGTATAATTTTTTACTTTTACTTTAACTTTAACCATAAAAACAATTTAATCTACCATCAAAAACCCGAAAAAATTCCAAAAACAAAATTTTGATGTCCAAAAAAGCGGTCGTAATGACACAATTTCTGAACCAAAAATAAGAAAAAATAAAACAAAATTTTGTCCACTATATTTTCTGACAAAACCTACGTGATTAGAATGCTTTGATCACTTTTCGAAGCCAATTTGAGGCCTTCATACGCGTTCTGAGCAACTGCATAAACATGAGGAGGAAGGTTGGTGGTGTTGAGCTTGGAGTTCATGTACAACTCCATCATCTCGGTCGTATATAGTGGCACACGTTTCCATGGATTGAGAACGACACAAAACAACCCGGAGTAAGTCTAAAGTATATGAATATTGATTTTGTTGTAAAATACGGATGGATCTGTGTGTTATCATAACATTTTTTTTTATTTTTTCGTAATATTAACCTGTAGCAGATGGTTAGAAACTTGGAAATTTGAGTGATTGTAGATTACTTCGTTTGTTATCACATTTCATCAAGAATGTTTTGAAATTGACGTTACTTTCAAATTTAAACTTACATGAATGATTTGCTGTTCGTATCTTGATCGTATCGTGTGTAATGCACAGGCTTCGTTGAGTTCGGTCAAAGTGCACATATCGGCACAGTAATGACTTACGCTTGTGCGATGTACTGTACATTTTTCAATTTTCTTCTGAAATTTGTGGCTTTAGCTTTATTATGTTGATATACATGTTGATGTAGGAGGTATAAGATTTTTGAAAAAATAAAAGCGCTATTTTTAGACAAGCTATAAGTATCTTTCTTATTTTTATATAAAGTTGTATATTTTCGTTTATACGTTGCTTGATCTTCATGTCAAAACAGATAAGCATGCACTAGAATACTATATCCATTAATCAGGCACTTTCGTATTGCTTCGTTGTTCTGAGCGTGGCAGTTGTGGCTTTGTTCTTTTTTATGAATTAAAACAATAAAGAATGCCCGTTCAAGTCGGTCATTCCCTCAGGCACAATCTTTTGTTTTCAAAAAATGGCAGGAAATTAATTGTCCGGAGGGTGCAAACGAATAGAACAACTGCCAATCGAGCTGATCTGCACCGTTTTGTGGATAAAAAACAACAAATTGTGACGTTCTGACTTTGGCGGTTTCGCAGGTTAATTGGTAGTACTTTTACACGTTTTAGTGTAGTAATATAATGAAAGGCGGCAAGTGCAATAAAATCATATTGACTTCAAAAAATAACAATATAGGGGTGTGTGAAGCAAACAACGTCACGATTGGGGCGCGTGAAAAAAATCGTATTTTACCTGTTTATTGAAGCCTTGGGGATCTCTGTACTTGACTGTCAATTCTCGGCCTGTATCTTCGACCACAACCGCCAGTCGGTAGGAATGATCCGGATCGGGTATCCATACTCGGTTCTCCAATCGCTTCAGCTCATCGTCAATCAAGGTCTGGGGCACTGTCAGCAGCCTAAAATGGAAAGCATAGTTTTACGTTTTGTTAAGTGTTACAGTTTTTGTTATCACCATTGAGAGTAGTCATCTCAATGACTTTTTAAAAAATTTGTTTAGTTCGAATCATGCCCAGTTTTTTCACGCCTATTTTAGTACGATTACTAACCTAAAATTTGATTAAACTTCTAAGTTCAGCTAACTTTTTGTTGTCATTTTCAACTTACTTTGTTAGCTCTTCGACTGCTGTCATCGCGGCATTAACTAAAACATTTGAAAAGTTTGAAACAACTTTCAATCACGACATAATAAAGATAAATAAATCACGACGATTAAACTTTGTAGTGTCCAAATGTTTTAGTCACGTGATCAAAACAAATTTCAAACTGTGGTTTAAGGTGGGCATGGATAACATTATGAAAAAATACGTATTTTATAGAGATTTTAATGATTTTTGATTCGGAATACAAGTTTACAGTAAAATCTTAAAAGTAGTGTTAAAAATGTTTTTAAATGTTTGAAAAAGTTGCAAATTTTATATTTCAAAGAAATTTAAAAAATTAAACACAGATTAAAAAGCCATGCCAAAACGCCTTGACCTCTATATCCACCCCCATAGATACCTAAAATGTGGAGTTGATTAACAACAAATCCCCGACTAATTCCCAATGTAAAAACGTTTGTCTCGAACAAGAAAATGGGTCTGAGAAAAAGGGCTGGGCGGATCAACCGGTGCCACCAAAAGTCGAGTCAGACTTGTGGCCATTTCGAAAAAAAACTTTGGCCAAACGTTGGCTCTTCCATTTTTAAGACATTAAAATCTCATTCACAAGTCATCACTTATAGATAAGCCGGATGATAGTCATGTAATCAGTCATAATTTGCTTTAATCAAGACGTTTTTTATGATTCTTTGGCCAAAGCTTTGGATAACAGGTTGAGCTACCAGAAGTGCAAGTTTGATGGCTTTAGATGGTTTACTTTTGAAAAGCAGATTGTCGAGGTTAGGGAACACAGAATTATTTGAACAAACTAATAGTTCTCATGCTTCTATGACAAATAACTTGTATGTTATTATATAGCATATTTTGAAAAACAGATCAGTAGCCGGATATGAATGATGATGTCACTGTCTTGAGCCACTTAGGAATAACAAAACATAATATTAGTCATTGCAAGTCACTTTGTCTTATTATATTTTTAGGAACAGAGCATTTTTTATATATTTTTATATTGCAGTAGATCAAAATCCTATTCTAATCACATATACTTACTAGATCATGATTTTGTAACATAACACTTTTTTTGATATCAAAAGCCTGTTTATAGTCTTAATTCGTAAGATTGTAGACTCCCCTTGTTAGGAATACTGTTTTCAAAAGTCAAAACAATATCTGACACCTGAGAGCGGTGATCAATGTCCATTCCCAGGTTTGGAACAAGTGTCACTCGGAAGTGTTTAGAGGTTCAGATTTCAGCTATTTTTTGTCGATTTATCAAAAACCTGTCCGAAAGCTGTCAATACCACTTAATCATAGCCAAAAACAATTCGGAACGGATGACCAGCACTTTTATCTTGACTTTTGACCAAACTTTTTCTGCATTAACCGAATTAATCATTTAGATAGAGGTCTTGAGTTAGGTGAATGATATTTTAGGTGCACCTTTCTACATATAGGTGGCCTGTAGCTTAATATAAAATCATTCAAACAGACGTTTTTTGCAATTGATGGATGATGCATATTATTTAAAGTCTTAGTATAAGGAACATAGGTGCTTAAAGAAGATGTATCGTACTATATATAATGTTGATTTAGTTCCTTGGTCATTTACTACATCCAAACTACGTTTTTTTAGTCTCATGTCGTTTCAAAGTGTTAAAAAGGTATTTATTGGAAGTAATACACGTAATACGTCATTTTTGGAAGAGATAATAATTAAGAACTGTGCTCTTTGTTCGCCATCACAGACACGTTCTCCAACAACCGTAGCGAAGCCATGTAGCCGGTCAGGTAGTCATCCACCAAATACGGTAGTTTGTTTTCCTTGCAGAACTGTTTGACCAGTTGAGAACATCTGGTCAGGTTGGGTCGAGGCATGGTTGGGAAGAGGTGGTGCTCGATCTGGTAGTTCAGTCCACCCCAGAACCAGTCGATCAACGGGGAGGGGTGCATGTTTCTGGTCGTTAGAATATGGAGACAGGCAAAGTTGTTCAACAGCCGAGAGTGTTCCGGGAACTTTTCGACCGAGTTGTGGTTGTAGGTAACGACGACAGCTATCATAAGACCGGACAAGATCTGACTGACTAAAAAGTACATCAATCTAATGCCATTTGAAGGTAGCAAGTACAACTGGAGGAATACCCACGCCCAATGTCCCATCAAACTCAATTGCTCAATAGTGGCATTCTGCTGGTCCTTCTTGTACTGAGAGCCTGGAGCAGCGAATACATGGATCAGACTCTGGGAAGTCCACGATACCCTCAACAATGGCAACATGAAGGTGAAGTAGAGGTGTTGGTAGGGGATGAACTTCAAGAAGAACTGTTCGACTGGCTGCTTGTACTTCTTCAAGTCGTCTGGTACCATAGCGACCAATGGGGCCAAGTCGATGTCGCCGTCTTGGTCGATAATGTTGGTAGCAGCATGGTGAGTGTTGTGTTTGTCCTTCCACCAGTCTCGAGAGAAGCCTTGGACAAAGTTACCCAAGAAGATGGCTCCGGCATCGTTCAGTCGACGGTTCTTGAAGGGTTGGTGATGACAAAACTCGTGGGTCAACCAGCCGAGTTGTTGCCATACGATGGCCATGAACAGAGCGGAACATAAGTACCTAAGAGAAGATGATAGTGGTATTTCAAGTAAACTTACAAGGAAAGTGCCCGACCTGCCCCGCTCTGATTGACTTCAAACTTTTTATAAAGAAAGATCATGTAAATATAAGATCTTCAGAAAAGTACTAAATCGCGCTTTCCAGAAAATCTCGAGAAAATCGAGATTAAAAAATGACATTTTGAATTTCCCGCGAACTTGGCATTGTGTTTTAAGTTTGTAACTTTGTCATTTTTTGACTTTTAATAATTTTTCTTTGATATACTAGTAGAAAACCTTTAAATGAACCTACTTTTTTAAATTTGTAAGCGTATCTTGTCTGGAAAGCCGAAAAAAGCGCTTGAAACACAATGCCAAATTTGCCAAATTGGCGGGAAACTCAAATAATTTAAATATAAAACTCAAAAGCGCGAGCTAAAATTTTTAATGGGTACTATTGGTAGTACAAAGAATTCATATGAAAATTTTGAGCTGATTCTGAGCGGGGCAGGTAGGGTACTTTCCTTGTTAACAGGATGCGGTTAGCTAACAAATGAAATTTAAAAAGTATTAAATGTTTTACAAATTTCAAAAATCATAATATTTTATTTTAAAAAATGCTAAAATATTGAAATTAGAACAAAAATCCATAAAATGTTGACTTACCATCCTACATATTGCAAATAAAATGACATTGAGATAAAGAATGCAGCTTCGGCCACTTTTCTGTAGTAGTACATTGGACGTTCGTCCATTAGGCCTTCAGCGTCGATCTGTCTCCGTAGTTTTTCAAAGTTTCTGACAATCGTTTTCTCCTGAAACGTTGCATATTAACTTACATATATTGTTCTATAAATAAACGTTTAAGCTTATATTATCATAAAAATGTCAAGATTTCTCTATATTAGTCAAAAAGGATGCTGAGAACGCCTGGTTCTTGTTAAGGCTGGCTAGAAGACTATGTCGTCCATTGCCAAACTCTAAATGAGCCGGGCCACAAAGCCAAAGACTGGCCAGCCTTACCTAGGTCTATTTGATTTAAAATACGAATTCTAATCTCACCTCCTCAATTGTGTATTCGTAGGCTCCAACGTTGATTTCTGATGGCTGAATCGAGCCCTTGAGAGTTGGATCTTCTCCTGGATACTGAATTTGATTGGTCTTCTCCACAACATTCAGCTGTTTGTAGGCTTGGGACGAGCCTTCATGGAAAGCGTGAAAGATTTGAGTGGCATCGGCATCTCTGAAATCAAATAACTTTTGTCATAGTTTGTGTTTGATTTTGTTCAAAACTAGGTAGAACCACGTTTGGAAGTTTAATTTTATCGATAAAAGCATGTTCTACAAACTTTTTGACCATTTGTTAAAATTATAATGTGGAATATGTTTTTAAATGTCAGCAGAATTAAAATCTAGCTACTACATGATCAATGTAATGTGGGTGCATTTCCGCCGGCTACACTATATTCGAAAGGCTATTACAACATTGTTCTTGCAACGGCGCACTTTGATCGCCATTTGTAATTAGTTTTGATGAAATTGTAATACTTTATCAATTCCCGCTCATTTATCATATATGTTCCCTTGGTATCGTCTGTTATATGAAAGGGATTTTTATCAGAATTCGAAATTGGCTTTTACAATTACTGATAAGAGCTACTTACAACTCAATCTCTAACTTTAAAATGTGTTTTTGAAAACGTGTTAAGTGTAACATAAATTTAAAAAAGTGTCTGGCTTTTACATAATGAAAGAGGTACTTTTCATCCCTTTTGATGAATGGGGGGGGAAGAATACCTATTGTAGAGAAGGGCGTGGTAAAAAAAGGGGATTTAGCAACACTCACTTATATTGGTTGATGACCGATCCTCCAGGATGAGCAGCCACGAACTCTTTACTCAGTAACAGCCATTTGTCGTTGATCTTTACTCTGATGGACTCCAGTTCTCTCTGTTCGAATTCCAAATCTCCACTATCTTCTTTCACACTCATTCTGGCTTGTGGAAGACAGATATAACCCTGAAAGTACATTTTTGAATTGGCTTTTTACAATTGTTAACTTAAAATTGAAACGAGCAAAATTAGTTTTGGCATTTGAATAATATGCATAAAAATGTAGAGTAATCAGAAGTGTAATTATAATATTAGGTTGTTCAAATAATTCTGTGCCCCTCTCAAAGCAAAGTTTTGTATTATAGTTATGGGCACAGAGTTATTTGAGTAACTTAATAAAAGCACATGACTTAAAAGTATAACATTTTAAACTAATAATAGTCTATTTTAAAAGTGTCAAACGATGCTATTTGAAAAAATAAGTAGCAAATTTTTGAATTCTGTAAAACTTTAAAATAGTAATATTCAATTCCAATGTTTTCATTTTACAAAACAAGGATATTTACACAAAACAGAGATAAATATTTAATCCGGCTAGTCTGTCAAAAAATAGGACATCAAATAATCAAGTAAACAATCTAAAGTTCACCCACATACTGTTGATCTATTGGAAAAGCTGGTTTATAGTTGGACCACCTAGTATAATAAAAACATTAAACTTATGTCCTATACAGTAATTTAATTTATATTCCTTGTAATTAAAAAAAAGGGTTTTTGAAACAATAAAAACGTAAGATCAAAGTCAAAAAGTCTACTAATACTTAATACTTGATATTATAATACTAAATAAAAAATATTAATAAGATAAGCGTGTAGTTTGAAAAAGGTTTTGCAAGTTACAGCAACAGATTTGAATTTAAATTACAAAACTAATTTATTCGAATAAATATTTTAATTTTTTATCTTCTAGTTCCAAATTGTAAGCAGATACGACCTCTCTTGTTTGGCTTTAAACTTTTGTAAGTTAGTACTTTATAACGAACAGTTTCAAACTCCTCAACAATTCGTTATATAGGAGTTCTATTGTAAATGGGTTTGAACGAAATTTGGCCCAATTTGAGTCGGTTTGGTATAATCTCCCTTTCGAACCAGCCTTGCGGTCGTTTTTATTTGATAAAAAATTGAAAAAAAAATTCTGTTTGTTGTAACCACTCTTGAAATTGCAAGTTACGTGATAAACAAACCACGGTCGAATAAAGTCGGTCAAACAATAAAAAAATAATAAAATCTATACCAAACCACAAAATTTACTTTAAAAATATTTAAACTTTAAACCTCGCTCAACCTTTCTGATAAGTACAGTAAGAAAAAGCCCTGCCCTGAAAAGGAAGTGAAAGTCATGTAGAATGTAGAAAGCATTGCCTCGAGGGCCCTCCCCTTCTTTTTGCTCCGAATATGGCGTGATCGCTTTTTTAAAACTTAACAAATTGCACTCTCAGACTTGATAAAATTCATAATTGAGAGCAGACCGAGATTACATGACAAAGAAGAGGCTTGTCAAACCAAATACCTCAAGATATTGATTATGATATATGTTTTGTGGATGCTGCATTACAAGACTTATCACGTTTTTGGGACCACCAACGATTTGAATTGTTTCATTTTCTATCGTATCACTTGGAATAAAGTGCAGAAACTAGACAATGGTACCTCTAATTACATTATACAAGTTGAAACAGCAAAATCTTATAACGGTAATACAAAAGGTGGTAATATAAAACAAAATGGCTCTACTTTTAGAGTTGTATCCCAATTACGCGGCTCCTATTTATATTACTATACCCTAGCTATGGCTTTAACGGTGGCCATATATCTAACCATAACCCTAAGCCTATCTTTCATTTACCCTAAGTACCCTACCCTACCCTAACCTACCTTACCCTACCCTGCTATATCGCAACTTACTTTACTGCTCGCCTAAGCTATTACTACCTCATCTTACCCTGCCCACCAATTGCAAATTACATATTTGTAACAGCTGTAACAGTAATCAAAGTAAAACAAGTATATTATGTTAAGTATGACGGCATTGTATCTCCTCCATCCTGGTTTTATTTATTATACCACAAAGACGATTATGGTCACTATGTTCTTCCGGTTTTGTATTCGCAGTGACATAATCCTTGTCATGTTTATAAGCGCGCTACTTCACGTTGCCTACATATTATTGTGACTGCTCTACTGTTCGAGTTATGTTTGTAGCTGTTATTCGTAAGTTTGTAAAAGGTATTGCATCTATAATATACTCTGTTTAGTCGCAATATTGTGTGTAGGTAGTGTCAATGGACAGTTGGGTTGGCCATTCAATCTACTGGGTATGAACTACGGATATGGTAGATGTTGTCAAAGTTACAGTAAGTCAAAATGTAGTCTTGAATTAATAAAATGTCATGTTTATATGTTATAGCACAGAATTGTTTAGTAATTTAAATACAATGGCAAAAAATTAAATTACCGTCTAAAGGAAGGTATGCAACTTAAATTACCGTATAAAGGAAATTATACTATACTGTAGAAAACGAAATTTGATCTTAGATCCGTGTATGAATCCATGTTCATATAACTATGGATACGGTGGATATAATCGCTTCGGATACGGTGGCTACGGTATGCCAGGATATGGTGGTTATGGCTATGGTATGCCAGGCTATGGCGGGTACGGTATGGGCTACGGTGGAATGGGAATGATGAATGGGTAAAATAATATTTCAATAACTCCAAGTCGTATATTCTTGGCTTCAATTTTAAACATTAGTATTATGATCGTTATTAGTCTGTAGAACTATTACATATATACGCTCAGTAGTTTATATTAGACTAGTTTAGAAGCCTTTGTATTTTATCTCAAAAAAGTGACTAAAAGTACAGTATAAGTGTTTCTAGACTAGGCTATGGCATCGGAATGCCTGGAATGTACGGTGGCCTTAACAACATGTATGACAATGGAGCTAGTATCTTCGACAACCCAGGCCTCTACGGAATGAACTATGGTTATGACAGTGCGACGCTAGGCAGGCCAGGTCTTTTGGGTCAAGGTAAATTAAAATTCATTGATCAGCTCTATCAACTAAAGCAACGAACTAAAAAGTATATTATACTTAACTGTTAGGTTATTCAAATAATTATCTGCCCCCTAACAAAGCAAAAGTTCGGAGTTAAGGAGCACGGAACTATTTGAACAACCTAATAAGATACAGTCCTGATATCAACTAATTTCAATCTCTTGTATATACCTTAATGAAACTTCTTATTACTGTAACAACAAGACATTATAGGTATTGCACCATATGGCCTAACCCCACTGAGGTACAAAGAGAAGAAGTCAGTAAAACCAGAAGAACTCGAGAAGAGTTCAGCTGACTCTGCTATGATCATATCCATGGATCATCTTCTTCAAGATACGAAAAAGTAAATTTAAATTGTTTAGGAAAATAAAAAAGTATACCTCAATCAACCTTAACTTCAGCCTGAAAATACAGTATTCATAAATTAAATCAGTAGATACTATTGTACCTACTTATATTATTAATTGCACTAATTTACAGTCCCATTTAAATCTTAGCCATATAGTAACTATGTATCCGAAAGTAATATTTTCACAGAGTAATATATTGTATTAGTTAACCAAACTTATAGTACACATTACGAATTCGAAACGACAACAGTTAAACTTTATAACGTACAATTTTGAAAAGCAATAAGTTAAAAATGAGAAGTACTCGTATGACATATATTAACATCAGCTTGATGGACTAGGAACCCTTGTAAAGACAACATATACAATCATATAAAACATCCTATTTCACCGTGTAAAGACTTGGTAAAGAGTTAAACTGGCTAGAAATGAAAGCTACAATAAGATGCAATAGACTAATAGTACTAGTTTGATATCTCGTGTAAAGAATTTGTTATGAAGTACAAGATAACAAACTAATACTAACACCTGGCAATACCTACCCTTAAATGACCTAATACTAACAAAGAAAAGACAAACCACAATCAGTCCTCCATATTACAGCTCTGACTTAAAGCCCTTTCTCTGCAATGCTTCTTAAAGTAGTTGACCATGATCTTGCTGTATTCATGTACAATATGTGAGCTTGGTCGCTCCTCAAACTCCGACGTCAGACAAACCTTGATGAGATCGTTGAGCATAACAGAATAGCAATCTTCAGGTACTGGTGGATAGTCGGCGGTCTCTACTTTCTTCGATAACGAGTAACTGTTGTGTCGTTCGCCAAAGAAGGGTGATACGGCTGTGGCTAGCTGAAAGTAAGGTGTTTTATTGTTATAATAAGCTTATTTAGCTCAATTTACAGTTACCCCTTTTCTCCTTATTCAAATAAAAAGTTAAAAATAAGATAAAAGAGCTTTCCACACTATCTTAGTTAAGTATAGCCCCAGTGATAAGCCCGTTACTATCATTGAAGAAGGCACAAAACTAAAGAATATCCGCCCTTCCCACACCTACCTCATACAAAAGACACCCTAAACTCCAAACATCGCTTGCATATGTGTAGCCTCTCTGTAGAATCCTCTCTGGTGACATGTAGTATGGTGTGCCACAAACTGTTTTCACTTCTATTGTAGCAGCAGATCGCATTCTACTCAACCCGAAATCTCCAACTTTGACCACAAATTCGTCGCCGATCATACAGTTGGCTGGCTTTAAATCTAAAAATATATTTTTAACGTTTTTCTTAACAAAAAGCAAGCTCTCCTCAACCTTAAGATAAAAAACCTAAACAATGGCAAATTATAATTATATCAAACAAACCACGGATATCGTAAAACATACGGCAATATTAATACTGTCCTTACCCCTGTGAATAATCTTCTTCTCGTGCATGAACTCGATGCCCCCAGCAATCTGCTCAAAAATGTACCAAACTTTGAATTCAGGTATCAATTTGTTCTCGCCAAGGAATTCGGAGTGAATGTAATGTTCCAGATCTCCACATGGCATATACTCCATCACCATGACCAACGTGTTCGACTCCTAAAACAATGAGACCTTACATGTTACTGTTGTGTTTTTGAGCAATAATTGATCATGATCATCGGAATTATATCAATATTTTACAAACAACATCGAATTTACAATAGTATAGCAAGAAAAGCAAACTAATTTTAGACAAAGGCATGTAAAACATCATAAAATTAAAGAAAAATCTAAAAACAACTTACAAAATTCTTAAAAGTTGTAAAAGTCTGTACAATGTTCTTATGTCGCAGCAGCCTTCTCGCCAGTTCGTATTCTTTTTGAGCACAAGCCATTACTTCTTTGTCTTCAATGTTGTTCAACTAAAAAGTGAGGAAGTTAGTGTCTGTAACTAAAAATTCCAAAATAAACTAAATATCATACACAAACAATTAGTTTAACACTAAATATCAAAAGGTTTTACCCATTGTTACCTAAACAACCCAAAAAATTAAAAGTAACATCGACTGTTACCTAAACACAAACTCAAGAACACAAAACAAATGAAACCTAAAAAGTTTAAGTAATACCATATATAAGATCCATAAAGTGAACTTACATTGACCATTTTCAAAGCGACCTTCTTCTTGGATCGAATAGCTTCGGCCAGCTGAACCTTGGCGAAGCATCCTTCCCCCAGGTCCTCGATGATCCTGTAGCCTGACATGAGAGTTGGGTATCCATCTTCTTCGTATAGTTCTCTGTCAGAAGTCCCGAAACTCATTGCTTTCAACACACTGATCGTCAAGCCTTCAGGACTTCTCGAATGGCGAAACTTTGAGCGCGACTTTTGGCGACAGCGGCGAAACAGCTATTGTCATGAAACGAAATGCCACAAAATATATTGGTTTATGAAAAACAACAGTAATGGTTAATTTACTGTAATTTTCGTCGGAAAGGGAAATATCGGGGAATGCGTTTTCGGGGAGTCCATTTTCGGGGAGGAATTTTCGGGGAATAGTATTTTCGGGGAATGTAAGTTCGGGGAATATGTTTTCGGGAAATAATATTTTCGGGGAGTGGACTTTTCGGGGAAAAATTTTTAAAAAATTTATTTTTATGTAAAGTCCTAAAAAGTTGTGAATGACTAAAAACAATTTGATTATATTAACTATATCATTAATACATAATGTATAAGTAATATTTAAACCAAATAATTTAGTTCAATTGGTGGAAGACTAAATCACATATTCCTTATTACCTTGACTGAATCACATACTGACCGAATCACATGTGCCTTTAATTATCGTGAACGTGACATCGTACCGTGAACGTTACTATGACACTTTTTTGTATAGGTTTAATGTAAGGTCACATGATAAATAGAGTACCGTGAAGGTTATCGTACCGTGACGTGAACGTTCTAATTTTTATGTTTTCGAAGTACGATGATAACGATACTTACATTTACTCTATGATATTTTTACAAAACCATTACAAAAACAGTAACATTATAACGTTCACGGCGCAGTACAATAACGTTCACGATATTCTATTAATACTTATCATGTGACCTTAAATTAAAAGTATACAAAGAAGTGTCATAGGAACGTTCACGGTACGATGTCAACGTTCACGATAATTAAAGGCACATGTGATTCGGTCAGTCTGTGATTCAGTCTGGGTAAAAAGAAATATGTGATTTAGTCAGGTGGTGATTCAGTCTTCCACCAATTATACGTCATTCACAACTTTTTAGGACTTTACATAAAAATAATTTTTTTTAAAATTTTTCCCCGAAAAGTCCACTCCCCGAAAATATTATTCCCCGAAAACATATTCCCCGAACTTACATTCCCCGAAAATACCATTCCCCGAAACTTCCTCCCCGAAAATGTACTCCCCGAAAACGCATTCCCCGAGATTTCACTAACCCATTTTCGTCTATGAATAAAATGTAGAATATTGTTTTACGTGACATAAAACAATATTGATAATGTTATTGTATTTTTCAAAATTTTAATAACTATCGCATTTTTAACGCATAGAACCTTGTTTTTTTACATTTTAAGGGTTGTATATAATACTTCTTTATTCTCACAACCTAATCCATAGCAAGTTCTAAGAGGTTGTGCTTTATTTTTATGTCAGATATATTAATCTATATTTTGTTATAGCTTTTTTGCTCAAAATAAATGTAATTTTTAATGTTAAATCAATACTTTATCTTAAAGTTAGTTTCTACTTCGTTATTCTGCACCTAAAACGTTTCCATGGAGATCTCCAAATTGTGCTTTACTTGTAAAGGCAAAAAACAAAGTGTGGACAGACGAGTCAAGTTTCACTCGACTTTTCGGGCCAAGTCTTTCCTGTCTCCCCTACTTTTCGTCGTGCGTCGTTTTCCCTTCATTCCTTCCATTGGCTGGTGGCAGACGGTTCGTTTTTGTGTTTCTTTATTGATTTCGCAAATTTAGGCTGACACGAATGAATTGGCCTAAACATTGAATGTGAATATTAATTTTGGTCATGTGAGGGGATTTGGGTTCGGGAATATTGATTTTCTTACCTAAAAATTTCGTATTTTTAGTTTATATGCTTCTGCTTGTGATTTAGAGTATTTTTTAAAGAAGTTTTAGTGTTTTTTGGACTGGATTTAATAATTTTGATACCTAAAAATCTGTAAATTGGGTTTGTTGGTTTTTCACTTCGCTTTTTGATAAAGTTTTATTTTTGCGTGTGTATTATATCAATTCCTATCCTATATCGATTATTCAAGCCTTTAATTACAGGTTTCATTTGCCTTCAAACACCAGGGTCAGCAGTTTCCTCGAAACTAACAGTTACAAACATGGGATACAGAAGCAGCGGTGGATACAGCAGTGGAGGTGGTCGAGGTGGCGGCGGCAGCTATGGTGGAGGTCGCAGTGGTGGCGGCGGAGGCTACGGTGGTGGAAGCTCATACGGAGGGTCATCGTACGGAAGTGGTGGTGGTGGCGGCGGCTACGGGGGTCGTGGAGGTGGACGATCGGGTGGAGGTGGAAGATTTGGCGGCGGTTCTTCAGGTTCAAGTGGAGCCCCCGGATCCCGTCTTAGAAATGTTGACTGGAGCCGTGAGGATCTTCCAGGCATCGTCAAGGACTTCTATCAAGAGAACCCGGTTGTTTCGGCACGATCAGCCGCCGAAGTGTCACAGTGGTTAGCCGAAAACCAAGTTACCCTTTCTGGCCACAATATTCCTCGACCAGTCTTCGAGTTCAACGAAACCAGCTATCCAGCAGAAGTTGAAAAATGTCTTTACAAAAATTATCAGAAGCCAACCGTCATTCAGTCTATCTCTTGGCCAGTTGCTATGTCTGGCCTCGACATGATCTCTATTGCTAGAACTGGATCTGGTAAAACTCTCGGAGTAAGTTTTTTATTTTATTGTTGTTCTTTAGGTTTTCTTTAGCGAAGGAATTTAGAAACTATTGTTTCTTAAAAACTTTTAGTATTCTTTTTAATCTTATATTTTCAGTTCTTGCTACCTGGTATCATCCATACATTGAAACAAGGTCCAAGACCATCAGGTGGAGGTCCGTCAGTCCTCGTTCTTTTGCCAACCAGGGAATTAGCTCAACAAGTCGAAGAAGTAGCCAAGGAATATTGTAACGCCATGCGTCTTTCCTACACTTGTTTGTTTGGTGGAGCTCCAAAGCACGCTCAAGCTTCGGACCTCAGAAGAGGAGTTGATGTTTGCATTGCCACTCCTGGTCGTCTTTTGGACTTCTTGGAGAACGGAACCACGAACATGGGCAGATGCACCTTCCTTGTGTTGGATGAAGCCGATCGTATGTTGGACATGGGTTTCGAACCTCAAATCAGAAAGATTGTTGGACAAATCAGGCCGGATCGACAGACTCTTATGTTCTCAGCTACTTGGCCGAAGGAGGTGAGAGATTTGGCCAAGGACTTCCAGAACGATCCAGTATTCTTGAATGTTGGTTCAATGGAGTTGAGTGCTAATCACAACATTGAACAAGTTATTGAGGTTGTGGAAGAGTTCAAAAAGCAGCAGAAGTTGTTCACTACGTTAACACACATCATGAAGCAGGTATGTTATTATTTCTATTTGAAGAATTTTGATATTGTTCTTAAGTATTTGAGTATTAAATTTCGAAATTTTAGCCCGACTACAAGACGATCATCTTTGTTGAAACCAAGCGCAAAGCTGATGATTTGACTAGAGAAATGCGTAGGGATGGATGGCCAGCACTGTGTATTCACGGTGATAAAGAACAGAGAGAAAGAGATTGGGTGTTATCAGGTACGAACTTAAAATAATTTTTTAAAAATATAATTTATTTGATAGAAATGTTAACATACAAAGTTCTTAGAGTATTATAATCTGAACTAAAAAAATATTTTCAGAATTCAAAGCCGGAAAGACGCCGATTTTACTCGCCACAGACGTTGCAGCCCGAGGGCTTGGTAAGATTATTGAAGGGTTACCTATATGAGGAACTTATGGATTTGTGGTTTTCGAGGCCGTTTTACTTATTTTAGCGCTGAGCATACGAAGTGAGATGATGGATATCTACTGTAACCTTTTGGTTATGGCGGTAGATGTTCACAAGTAACAACATGTAGCCTCATCATGGCTCATCTAATTCAGATGAGTCATCACTCAATCTGATTGAGAGTATTTTTTCCTTACATTTGAGGTTTTCATGTGTTTGCGAGTGTTATAGCGGTCTCGATACGCTTTTATTCGAGATTTGACATGTTATGGGTCTAAACTACCTGTCGCTGAAAAGCGGCGGGTTGAGTGCACAGAATTGGACCAAAAATGGAAGAGACCGGTCGCTAATGAATGATTGCGGCAACTATAACAGTCAGAGAACGGTGACTGTTGTGAATTACCGCCAAATCGTTTAGAGGCAGCTGTCGTTGTTTATGGTAGGTCGGGTGAATGGTGGTGAGGCTCAGTTTTGAGCCGGGAACCGCTCGCTCCTCGACCAGTCGAATCCCCCCTTGGATAACGGCCGACCTTTGCTCCTCAATGGCATTGGATTGACGAGTTTCTGAGGAGTGGACTATCTAGTTTGTGTAGTTGGCCCGACCCTGAAGCATGTCTTCCCTTGATCGAAAGCGTCCAAAAAAATGCCACAGATTCAGAACTATTTGATATCTATAGCAATAGATATAACTGAGATTAGGTTAGGGGAATACGTTTGTAATGAGTTACGTTTAGATGTGAGTGACATTAAATTTGTTATCAATTATGATTACCCAAATAACTCTGAAGACTATGTGCACAGAATCGGACGTACTGGCAGACGTGATCAGAAGGTAAGCACGTGTTTATTATTGATGTTCATTTTACATTTCTTTTTTTTTTGTTGTAATGCCGCTTATTTTTGACAAGCTATATGCAATATATTGTGCTTTCAGGGTACGGCCTACACATTCTTCACTCCTCAGAACTCGGCCAAAGCCAAGGACTTAGTCAAGGTTTTAGACGAGGCCAAGCAGAACGTTCCAGACGAGCTTCGCCGTATGGCTGAGTCTAACTTTGGCGGAGGTCGCGGCCGTGGTCGGGGTGCTGGTCGTGGTCCACCATCGGGCGGTTACGGTAACAAACGCGGTTTCGAAAACGGCTACGGTAGCGGTCCAGCCAAGCGAGGACGGTTTAACGATGGTGGTTATTCGGGAGGCGGACGCTGGTGATTTGCTGCTAATGATCTTCATTTACTTTTCGTTGAACTCATACCACATTCTTTATATTTGATTTTTCCAAAATATCGCGTTAAAATAAATGTTATGATAAATTCAGATTTGCCATGATTTAAACGTTTTCAAGTGTTTCATTGTTTTGTACGGTAACTGTACTTGTTTCGGTATCATTCTTGAGGTCCACAAAATCAAGAGGTTTTTTGAGCCACTACAAAATTATTTTGTTTCCAAAAATTTAAAATTGCCGTTCATTGTAATATTAATAGATATATTGTAATGGAACGAACACATTATACATGGCAAAACAATGTCCATCCCTAACAAGTATACATGATTTATTAAACACAAGATTAAATAACTATCTATTACTATAAAACAATAAAATTAACAGACTCCAAGTTGTTTTCGTATCTCTCTATCTGCATTTGGGATAAGTAGCTTTACTGCCACTTTCCTCCACGTTGTGATAAGGTCGACCAAGGAGCTCAAGACTTGTTCGTTGGCTTCTCTTGTTAAGGCTTCCATCACTTTTACTGTAACCGGACTTTGGATGTCAGCTTTAAAAGGTACCAACTGTCCCAGTTGAACTGGTTGAGCGGGGTAATCGCGTGGTATCAGTAGACGGAGTGGAGGGACGGCATAGTCTAGTTTGTTCATTTCTTTCTGAAGCAAGAAAATGAGTTTTGATAGATGTTTTCAGTAAGGCTATTCAAACTTTCATAATTTGAAAGCATAAAATAATTATGTCTACTGAACAAGTTAATATGCCTAACTTACCGGTTTAAAATCGACAATCACTTGAACATAACTAGAATTGTCAGTAACTGGAAGGAAATCAGGATCGACATAGTAGTTGTACTTCTCTAACTCTTCAAACATTGCTCGTTTCACTCGGATTTTAGCAGCTTTAGGAGTGTGTGACTTCAGCTCGTACACGGCCCCTTGATCGTCATTCTCCACCTTAACTTCAGTCATCGTAGGAGCCTTCCGTTTCCTCCGTAGCCGATCTTCTTCCATCGCCTGTTTGATCGAATCCCTCATTCTTTGTGGTACCCTGATCTTGTACTTATCCATGGGATCCCATTTGTCAGGCAAATAGTTGGATTCCAACTCCGCTGGTACCTTGTTTATCCTACTGACAAAGTCGATCAACGCTCTAGTCGGCTTATGTACATTGATCGAATGCTTCACATTTCCCAAAAGTCTTTGCATCAGTTTTATGTCAACGTCTTTACGTCCATCCATTACTTCGATCACTTTGACTAGAGAGTTCTCCAGGTTATGGTGACGGTCCAGCTTTACTCGCTCCAGAAGTACCGTTATCTGAGGCCGCATAGACTTTAGCTCATCCAGTACGGCCTTGTACTCCGGCTGGTCCTTGTCAGCCGGGGTTGGGGTTTGACCTGAACATTAAAAGTTATTCATACGTAACGATAATCCTTTATAAAGAAGGGTTACATAATTAAAATTCATATTCAACAGTAATAATTTACCTGCTCTCCTTTGAGTGTTCGGTGTGCCAGCTCGTTGACTTTGTACACTAGGTGGCTGTTGACCAGCATTCGGCTGAGAGCTCTGATTCTGAACTCCTGACCCAATCACTGTACCTGGAGATGGTGCGTACTGCATCGGTCGGCCTTGATTAACTGATGGTGGACCTCCTGGTCTCTGAATAGTTTTGATCTGCCCAATTTGTTGTCCTGGGGGCATAGGACTATGGTTCTTAATCTGAGTGGCTTGCTGTGGAGTGCCAGGGCCATTCACAGACGGCCCACTTTGTTGATATTGGCCTGCGAATTGAGGCGATGGTTGAACAACGGCTTTCACCGATCCTGGACGTTGAACAACTTGAGGCGAATTCTGTTGCCCAATTTGGGGCTAAAAATATGAAGTAAATACGATAATAGACCAACGATAACATATAAAGTTAAAGATAATATAGTAATGAGTAACTTTCTTGAGACACATGGCTTTATAAAGAATACTAATGCACGCAACAGACATTAATAACATAATTGAACGATAATTGATTCGTAATTCTAAATTTTGAGGTTTTACCTAAATTGTCAAAAGAATTAACAATAACTTACTTTTTGTTCTTGCCCCAGGGCTGGTTGTCCCATAAACTGCTGTGACCTCATCTGTTGGAACTGCTCATGTTGCTGGCCTTGCTGAGGGAACTGTCCTTGCTGTCCCATTTGAAATGAACCTTGTCGCTGAACTTGTTGATGCATTTGGTTCTGCGCCGCCTGCCGTTGGTGATTATGCATCATTTGGCTCAGACTTTGAGAACTTAGCTGAAAATACTCCGTTTTAATATTTTAAAGTCGTGTATGATCATCTATATACTAATTACTTCAACAGTTTTCTTTTTTGATGTATTTTAAGCATTATTTTTGTCAATAAAACTGTAAAAATAACATTAACTTACAGAATTCTTGAACTCAGTAAGAATTTTGAACTTCTCCGAGCTATCTTTAGCCGCATCAAAGCGTAGCTTAAACTCTCCGTTCAGATTGTGTGCCAAGACATTGAACAAGTAACGTTGCTGTGGAGTCAGTTGATTCATCGGATGTGGAGCCGGCTGTCCTTGTTGATTCGGGTACCTTTGCATGTGCACCATGTTCTGGGATTGCATTTGCTGATTTGTCATCTGAAAGTAATTCGTTTTTGTAGAGCATAATCTGTCAATTCCGTATTTTAACTTTGAAATTGGAATTTAAGTTTAAAACCTCGAGAACTTGGAAGTGTACAAAAAAGAAAAAGTTCAAAACATTTCCGAGCTTAAGTATTTAAAATATAGCATCAAACATACCATACGATTTCCTTGCTGCATGCCCATACGATTTGGCTGGCCACCTTGAACGTAGTGTTGTGGATGCATTTGACCGCCAGGGCCTTGATTGCCATAATTTATGTTGTTCATGACGGAAATATAGAAATTTATGCAGCTAAAAGCCTCTTAGTATATTTACAATGGAAATGCACCAACTATCAACGATCCATTTGCGCACAAAAATCTATAAATGCATTCTTTAATTCTCGGCTGAACACTTGACTCGAAAAAGTTTCATGTCAAGACTTGCGCTTTAAAATATTTTTTTTATAAAATATATTTTGATATCTGTTTGACGCTTCTAGAGCTGGAAGAAGGACATGAACTCAAGGTAAGGGAGATATAGTAGTGTTTTATCATTAATTTTAGTAGATTCTCAACTCCGAAGTCTTATCCACGAAGCGCCAGAGCTGAAACCCGGAACCGTGCCAAAGATGAACTGAAAAGGGTAATAAATGCCGTCGATAAAGTGCGGAAATGGTAAGTTGAAGTCTTTGTTTATCGTATTTTCTCTTTTTAGGAAAGCAATAAGTTTTATTATGGTATTTTAGGGAAAGACGTTGGGTTTTGCTGAAGGATAGCACCATCTACGTCTACAAGTGGGTGCCAGGTAAGGTTTTGATAGTTGTTTTGACTTCTTTTAAGATCAGTAGCTAATGACCTTTATATTTAAAGTTTTTATAATACTTTTTTGATGCGCTAAGTTAATTTGCTTTTAGTCAGTGGTCAAGCTGCTCCAAAAACGATTGTACAAAAGACAGCTGCCGCTATCTCAGCGTTGAGCAATTCCAACGAGAACTCTAACGATGCCACAAGTAGGTTTTAAATTTTTAAATCAATTAAGCTTTTAGTGTGTTTTACAAGATTTTTTGAAACATTTTATGCTATATTTACTGTACCACATCGAGTAATTGATGAGTATACTTTATTACCTGTTGGAAAACATTTACTACTCTGTAACTTTTGAATGTTAAACGAAAAATTGCTTCAGACACTAACAGTCAATTTGGTCTGAATGAAGAATCAAATACCGGCTTTTCGGAAGCCGGCTTCGAATCGGATTCCCAATCGAACCAAGCCATCTCCAACCTCAGCAGCCAACAGAGTGTCAGTCAGATGGGATCTACTGACTTCAGTGCCTTGGTAAGGGAAGAAAAGCAGAGCAAGGGAAAGTAACCTCGACAACTAATGATCTTGATTAACTACATCTCATTTTGTAAATAAGAATTAACTTATTTTGATTAATAAACCAATTTCTTACGTTTCGTAATATACATACTATGGTATACTATTCATAATCATCCTTTTGTTTTTAATGTCGATCATACTTCAAACCATTTTAAACTTAGAATTAGATGTTTAGCTGAAGCTGGTAGCCTTTGTTTAAAACTATAACTTATATGTATACCTAAAGAAACTTTTTAAGCTTCAAAATCATATAAATGGTTTCAAATGCTTGAAGTTCACCTGGGGTTTATTACGATAAATAAGCTTACAGAAAATCAACAATATTGTATTAGAAGTTGGTGGGATACTGGAGTAAATATCTGAATTGTGTCGTTTATAATATAAACCTAATATATTGCACAAAACTTCTAATCCTAGTTATTGGAGAGTTACTTTAATCGAGCTCTACATACAATAAGTACAATCACATAGCTAAGAGAAACATACTGAATCATAAACCTGAAACAAAATTAAGACCGGATCAACAATTCGCACCTTGATTAAAGTCAACCGGTTGTCGAGAAGCCTAGGGTTAAAAGAAGAAACGGTTCAACTAATAGTTGTTAACAACATTGTCATAAAATGTTATTTTACAACAAAGTCTACGAGAAAGATCTTTGACCAAAATAGCAATGACAATGTAAGAAACAACTGTAAAAAAAGAAAATTACTACAAAAACGACACAATTACCGTACTTTTGGATGTTTGTTGATTGAGAGAATGTAAAGACAAAACTGAGCGATTCAAGAGACTTAAAAGAACGTCAACAACGTGATTCTTCTGATACGAATCCACCCGTAATTGGGACTGTTCAACCACGGTACCATTAAATGCACTTGTGTAGGAAGTATACCACCACCTCGTACGCTCCCATCGTGATAGCCGTGTTGGGGACGGAACGTAGGAGCTGTAATATGCAAGCTTACAGTCAACTCACAAAACGTTGTGTTTAAAGTACAAAATTTTCATTTTCTTTATTATTAGACTGTGCTTTGAGATTTATACTGTAATTATACTGTGTATTCACAACATACCTGAACAGAAAGACCTCTGTACAGCTGTTTTGTTCCTCCTTCTGCATACAGCTGCTTTAGTGTAGTGAAAAAGCCCTTTGCTCTACTGTCTTCTTCTCGTAGTCGGGTACGTACCACTTCTAAAACAATATTGTAAGCACGATTTCGAAAATTTATAAAATAATTTAATTTAGTTTAATGAGATAATCTAGAGTTCTAGAGCTAGCACTAACTAGGGCCCTTTGGCCCAATGAAAATATTTTTTTACGAAATAAATTGTAACGCTTTCCTATGACATAACCCCAGGTACAAAGTCAAACTTGTGCCTTTCTCTTTCACTTACCATGCGGATAAGTCATAACACAAGCACAGAACTTGGCACCAGCTCCGGCCAACATAAAGTTAGCGAATCGAGTGTTTTCCTGTGAGAATTCGATGCCATCGATAATAGATCGGAAGTGCTCGTACAAAACGAACTGGATTATTGTTTCTGATATGCCCATATACGAAGCTGTGACACCTTTGTAGAAGCCCTTGATTCCTTCAGTCTTGTAGATCTTTTTTAGACAGTTTCGCACGGTCAAAGGGCCTTCGTGAAGCTGAAGCCGAGTCTTCACTAACCAAACCGGATTAATCGCGGTAGCTGTTACAAATCCTGCAAAATTAAAGTGTTTTCATGGCCATTAGAGCTGTAGATAGAAGCAAAGAATAGAACCTATATTAAAATGTCCAAAAAAATAAAAATTATGGTTATGTTACTAAAGTACACATCTTATCACCTAAAAGCCAAAATTCATAATTAAAAAACTAAAACTTACCAGCAAAGCCAGCAGATATCATGTGAGTAATAGCACTATTGGGAACAAACGTCTGAGATTCATTCATAACTCGTTTACCCGTCGAATAAGTGTAGAAATATATAGCTTTGGATGGAGCGACCCCTATTAGATTTGGCAACAATCCTTTGTACAATGCTCGGATCCCTTCAGTTTTTACTATTTCACTAAAACATTGCTATGAATACTTGTTAACCTTATATATAAACTAAATTTAAAAAAGAATAAACGTTTGGGTAACTTACGATATAATCCGAATAAGAGCGAATGTTGTAGAACGACTAGGACCTTGTGTACTGTAAAATCTTAGGGCTAGAGTTGAAGACAGTGGATTTACCCGTTGAACTAAAAATAGTATTCGTTGATGAGTTATGTCCAGATTAAAGTAAATAAAACAACAGTACACTGTTTCAGAACGAACGATGAAAAAATAGAAAAGTTAGTTTTAAACTTCATAATAATACCTAAATTCATAAGAAAAACCAAACCACTTACAATTAGGCTGAGTAAAGACCATTCCGTTGTTAGACCTTACAATAGCGCCATAATCTATAGGATATTTGGGCCGTATAAATCGTGTTGTGCCACTTTCTGATGAAGTAGAAGGCATCGAACTTCTGGCTGATCCTTTGACTCCATCGCCCGTACGATTAGGGTGTTTAGAACTTTGAAGACGAGTTTTGATAACTTCTAACGGACAAGTAATACACGTACCAAACGTACCACCAATAGCACCACCGATAAAATGAATTAAGGCCTCTCGATCCATACAACAGCTACCTAAAATAAAAATATACACTGTAATTTATCGAGTTTTCTTTAATTTGACAGTAAACGTTTGGAAACGCAATCTTTAGGTATTGAGCAAAGGTAACAAAAACAATAAAAATCAATCAGATGTAACACTTTATGTTAGTTCCCGTACGCTAGAACTTTATTTACAGCTAAAACAACATTTAAAATAACTTATTACCTGCTAATAATCAAGAAGTTACCCACAAAAACATCTAAAAAGATCGAAATACCAAAACAAACATGAATAATGTTCTTACTGCTTTAATAAAACCGCAAAAAACGTTCATAAAATCTCGTAGTGACCTAAACCAACAAAAAACAAATCTAAAAGGCATTTAACCCGTCTTTAGCTATCATTCGAACGACCAGCTAGCATAAAAAAGACGAACAAGTAGCGTGCGAAGCATATGATTGTGCCTGATAAAAGAATCTGCTTTAAAATACCTTTGAATATCTATGGCTAAAAAACGTTAATAGTCGTAAGTATAACATTAAGAAATGTCAAATATATCAAACATTATATTCTGAAAACTGGGCAAACAATAAAGTTTTGTCGCGAAATCCTACGCGGTGCAGTAACCAAAGCTCTACAGACTTTTTGACCAAAATAAAACAAAAAAAGTAAAAGAAAAAGAAGAAGCTGACTATTATGATATAAAATATAACTACCTTTTGAAGAACACCTTTTTTTTTTATAAACACTTAAATTTTCCAAAATTGGGATTTCCGCAAAATATTTTCGTCCAAAAAATACGTCATCTAGTCGCATTAATTTGTTATTAAAAACGTTGCCAAAACTGCACGACATGATTTAAAGCTTCTTTAATTTTGTAACAATAATATTGTCATGTGAATTCAGTATTTTAACCCTGTCATGCTGACACAATTTCGGGAACCTTCAGAAATAATGAAAATAATGACATCATTTCAGACTTATTGTAAATTTAACTAAAAATGGTTTTGTTAAACTTAGTATAGGTGGAAATGAAACAAAAAACGGAACGTTATCAATTCTGATAACATTTAGCTGAAGAAAACTCAAAAATCATCGGCGTTCCAACCACGTCAACGGTTTTCACATCAATATGTTGGTGTAAAAAGGCTATAAATAAAGTTAGTTTGTTGAACAGTGTAATATCGTCATACTTGGGTACATTCAATCAAAACAGAAGGAATGTTCTTAAAGATTAAGGAGCAATGAAGTCTCAGGTTTGATTGGAGTGGTTTATATGAGATGATTTGTGGACAAACTTTTAGTATAAAATTGAAATAAAAATTGAAAAAAAGTTAATAGAATCATAAATATTGACATTGGTTAACTTAATTTATAACTTTCTTTCAAAAAGGTTTATCATCTTATTTTTACTTAAAAAATATTACAGTAGTTTCAACGTATCGAAACAAACTCTACTGAAACACAAAAATTTCAAAAAAATTTTACAATTTGTAGTATAGATGAAAAGTGTAGATAGTTTTAAAATAATTGTCTTCAAAAGCCCGTTTTTCTTTCAAAAACTAATTGTAAACATGAAAGTCATCAGATTAGTTATAAGAAGTAAACAATCACAAGTTGCGATTTCATGGTACACGTATAAAAACTGGCAGCCGAGACGCTACTGTTCAATCACTATGTGCTCTTGGGTTTCGAGATTTGAAAAAGTTGAATTTTAAAAATTTAAAATTAATTGAAACTTCGAAGCCTTTGAAATTTGAGTTTTTTCATTTAAAAAAATGTTTTTAGTTATTAACCAGGTTCAAAAATCTTTAAGAAGGTATTGCAATTCCCTTCTAAGTTTTTTACGTTTCATAAAAAAGGCTAACATTATCACCACTCTCAATGTAAAAACAAAAATTTTCATCAATATATTGTCCTAAGTAACTATATATGTAAAAATGCAACAAAAAACTTGCTAGCAAAATTTAAGCATGAAAAAGGTCAGCGGGTGCAGACTGGAACATTGAAGAGAAAGAACGGCCGGATCAAAGAACATCGGGGGCAAAAGCGTTTCTCTCTTGCAAATGGCTTTCTCCTGACCTGATATTTTGGTTCTTAACAGTGCATTCACGTGATCGCCTCAGAGATTGTTGTTGTCTTAAACTGTTAATCACAACGTGTTCGATTGTAAAAACAAACTCATCGATTGTTTCAGAAGGCTGACAATCCTCGTTTTACAGTGGAACTATCGAAAAAGACTATTCGCCTAACGATTTTTTGAAAATTAAAAAAAAATTGTGTCCGCTATAAATATAAAGTTAAAATATAACGCCAAGTATTATATGGTACACCTATACACCTACAATTACTTAGTAAAGTAATATTTTATAATAAAAGGGTATAAAACACTCTAAAATCTGTTTTTTTAACTCAACGTTTCTTTAATTTATGGCCACAGGATTTAATTATCTGCTGTGTACTCAAACCTTTAGGAGATCTTGCACAAGGCTCAGTACAGAGCAAAAAACCAACAACATTCAATATTAAAATTAAGGCTTAAATTACCCTTTACAGCTTCACTTCATCTTCTAACTTTGATATCTCTTTTTCCAACACAAAAAAAACATAAAAACCGTATTTTATACAACAACGCCTTTGTTTATTATTAAAGAAAATTAATTATTTAACAAATAAATATATTCTTCAAGAAACAACTCCAACTACTTCGAAAAAGCAAATCGTAGTAACTCCACAGAGTGAGAAGAACAATTCCACCGTATACAAGACAGTCTCACGTGGTAACCAGTACTATATTGTTTTCTACCAGCTAAAGACGAGCAAGTAGACAAACTTTATCTATAATTATTGTTTGGTCAAAAATTTGTAAAATTCAACTAAACTTTTTGACCAATCAAGTTAAGAATTGTACGGTGTACCAGTAGGACTAGGACAAAGAAGAGAGAGGGTACCCGTAGACGTTCTAAAAGGTTTTCTCAATTACAAGACATGACCCTATCTATTCTTTGGAGGCACTATCAATATTAACACACTAAGAATCGGGTTGGCATAAGACAATAAATAACACAAAAGTATATTAAGAAAATCAAATATCAATGATAATACTACTAATTTCACAATGCTAGAACATATTTTTTTGTTTTTACAATTAAAGTAACTCTAGAAGGAAATTCATAATCAATAGTGTTAAATAAAACAATATTTTTAAAAACAGTATTTGAGTACTTAAAAAAATTAACGAAAAAACTATATTACTTTCAAAAGTAAAGTATAAACAAATTTGAAAAACTATTTTAATTCTTAACGGCACCATTAAACTCATTGCTAGTCACACTGTATACCTACTGAAACTCAAATCATGCCACTAGTTCACCATGAAAAATAAAAATTTGTATTAGATACAATTTATAGACAAATATGTTTAACAATATAGTGTAACCTTATACAGGTTAGAAAGAAAACGCACTAAGAGTACCATACAAATAATAAAGTAACAATACAAAAATACTACGGTAATAAATACCATAATCATTACTATAACATGTACTGTAGGTGTATTACTGTAACAAGTACAAAGATAACGCTATAATAAGTACCAATGACGCAGCGTTGTGTATACCAAAAGCTTTACAGATACCAATAAGAGGAATCTAACTTTAACCGTCGCATATACAAAAACACTCCGTTGAAAGATACCATGAGTATATGATTGTAATGCCACAAAAATTAACCTACAGTAACAACATAGAGCAAAACATACAGCCATACCCGCCCAAAATCATCACGATAACAACTTGTAATTACTATATGTTAATATCCAAGACTAAGTATTAGAGTTGAAGAAAGATGCTGTAGATATAAATCTCCATCTGATGCTAAACGTTCTTTCCGTTCTTCTGCTGTCTCAACATGTCTTCCATTTTCAATTTAAGAAGGTTATTCTAAAAAGTTTAGAATTATAATGTGTAAAGTAATGTAAAGATATATCAATGTTATGTGCGATTTTCATATTTTACTTTGTCATCCAAAATAGCCTTCGATTGTGTTATTTTTATTATAGGCTTAAAATTCAAAAAAAAAATAGAAAACTCACTTCATTTTTTACATTCAAAAGCCCGCGCATCACAAAGATAGTGTGCATGATAGTGTCCGAGTGTTGTTGATTTGGGTTCCGAGCCAATTCCATTAAACGACCAAGATGAAATTCATGATCATCTGAAAAATAGTTAAGTTTTTTACAATATGCCGATGCAACGTACCTTTTTAGATAAGTAAAAACATACAAAACTATTTGGAATCCTACTTTAACATCGATAAAAAAACTTCATAACTATAGTAAAACTCTAAAACAACTTACATGAGGTAGCAACCCAATCATCGACCAATGTTCTCCTAAAGTCTGGGTTCAAATGTGCTTCATCACGAGTTTGCATTTCAAAGTGAAGACGATCAACATCCATAAACTTTAACTCGTACTCAACGTGTTTAATAGATTCCATCAACGCCTGCTTTTGTTGTTCGTTAATGACATTGCCAGAGTTGGCAGAGCTAGTTGAGGGACCATTGGTAAGAGAGGTTTGCTTCGGATTGATCACGCTGTTGTTCTGAGAACAGACTTCATCCGTTTTTGTCTTTGAAGTGGATGTTTTTGGGGTAACTGCACCACTGTCACTCCTGAAAACAATTTTGTAACGCCACATGTATTTTTTCTGAGCTGTGTAAGAAACAGTAAAAAAACTTTCTCCTTGTAAAACTACTACACCATATCCCTCCCTGTAAACCCATTAAAGTGCTTAGAGGATTGTGAGTTATAATTTTTTAGATAACTATCGACAAATATCAAATTAAAAAATTGCATGTTTAGACTTTCCGATCTTCAAATGCTAAACTTTTTCGTTCAAGTTTCAATCAAAAATAATTTTATTTCTTTTCAGAAAAAATAGGTATTTGGGCACAACGGGCCAAAATTCGCACAATTCATTTTTAAGCCACAAATCTCCATCCTCAAGAAAGGTGCCGCAAGTCTCACTCAATCTAACTCAACAATACCGAAAGCCTCAATCACATCAATATATACTACTGCGCTCTACGCAATTTACGCGACTACGACGTTATTTCCAAAACGGCAATGAAAGTCCCAATTTAATTCATCAAAGATGCCGAGAATCGACCTCGCAAATATTGAAAGTCTCAATCTAAAGCAGCATCACAGAAATTCTATGTCTACATTAACAAAACATGTTCGAAGCTTCTCTCTGCTGTGCTCTGCGACCTGTGATTTTACCTAGAACAAGGCAAATATATTCAAAACTTCTCACACAAACTGACAAGCACTGGATATTGGCAAAAATGTTAATCATCTCTTATCTATCTATTGTATAAATTAGTGAAAATAAATGCGCCCTGTCATTTCAATTTGATAGATAAGTAAATTTTTTTAAATCCTAGGTATTAGACAGTTTTTACATGTTTTTCAGACGTATCAAGACGACAGACGTTATAAACAGGAGATAGACCAAAAAATTAGATTGAAACAAATGAAAAATGTATAAAAAACTTACATGTTTAGACGTTCCGATCTTTAATATGCTACACTTTTTCGGTCAAATTTCAGTCAAACATAATTTTATTTCTTTGAGAAAAAATCGGAATTTGGGCGCAACATGCCGAAATTCGCGCGAGTCGTTTTATACGCAAAAAATATATACTTAATTTTTTCAAAACGCGTTTACTTTAATTGAATTTTTTTAAAAATTTAGAAAATAATATCTATTTTTACTTCACAAGCTCATTTTACAATATAAATTCTAAAGTATTTTATAATAAGCTGAGTCTGGTTAATATAAATTAGTGCAAAGGATAGGTCTTATGCTACGCGCCAAAGCCAAAGTCTTCGTCTGTTTCTAATCAAACTACAAAACTAATCAATAAAATCACGTAGAATAGCCCAAAAATGCATTTTGACACCTTCTTATGATACATCTTATGTTATAAAACCACTAACTAATGATAGTTTTGCTTAAAAGCTTCAGGTAATTCATTTAACAAAACTTGTAGATCTACTTTAAGATTCAGCTTATTTACCTAAAAATCCAAAACACATTCTTAAACCCTTACTTTTTCGAACGCCCACGTTTTCGCTGAATCGGCTCGTTCTCATTGACATCCTTTCGCTTTCTCGACGTCTTACTATCCATAAGATGCTGTTCCAGAATGACGTCCAAATCTTTGTCCGTGTAGTTGATGTTCTGCCGACATTGCCGACGTGGACGACCCGTTTCTGACACTTCCATCACCTGCGGCACCGTTTGAATTTCCTCCAATGGAGCAGTGGGAGAATCCGGGGTTTCTTTCAAATCGACCAGACCTGGAGATGCGGCTAATACTCCGTTTTCAGCCAAAACTGGTCCAACATGCATCGAGGCTCTTAAATAAATGGGCAAATATAGAGGTTTGCCCGGAAGATAGGTGGAAGTTGAAGAATATAAAATGAATATAAGGCAAGGATGTCCAAGCAGATGCAGATTTTCTTTTTGAAGTGATTCCAGCACCGGGACTTCCGATAAAACCCTCAAAATTCGAGATTTGTCTAAAAAAACAATAAATTCAAAACGAAAATTCAATATCAAACATGCAGATTATAAAAATCAATCGAATAAACCAAATGATAAACAATAACACTATATTGAGCACAAATGTTGTAGCACTTCAGCCAGTATTTGAAAAAATATCAAAAAAAATCTCCTTCAGACTCAAAACAAATCAATAAGTTAAACGATTAGCCCTCACTTGATTAAAATAACACTAAATATTTAATTTAAAACAAAACTGACAAAAATTAACTATAACATCAGAATTAAAAAATAGTATTTGTCTAACACTCTCGTCTAACATTGTCTATGATTCAATAAACCTTCAAAAAAACCTTCGAAAAAGTCAATAAAGTCTGCGGATTTTCAAAGTTTCAACTCCACGCGGTAGAGCAATATAGTTTCTTCAAAAACGTCACAATTACTGTAAAAATAAAGCAAAAATATATCTAGATAATAGTGGAATTGTTACCGGATCAATGAAACAACTTACAAGCTGTCCTTTCCTTTTGGGTCTTGAGAGAGAGACGAAATAAAAAAAAATAAAAAATTGTTTGGCATTCCGCTTCAAGCGAAGGAAAAAGTGCGGAGTTCAACTTTGAAACGAGAGTTTTGAGAAATTGGTAAATGGCAACGTCTTTGACAAAGTAAAGAAATAGTTGTGGCAATAGAAATTTTTTAAGCTTTTCATAAGTTTAAAAATAAACCATTCACTTATCTACCTCAATATTACAATTCATTTCGTGGTGAAGTGAGGCAAAAGGTCTATAAGATATAATGAACGAAAATTAAAACTTAAATAAGAGTAAAATATGAGTAACTTTGCCAGGTGGTTTTGTGTAAAAAGGTAAAAAATGGTTTGGTTTAACCACTGTTCCGTGCCGTGAATAAGATGTTATCTACCGTTTAAAGGTTCTTTTTTTATGGTTTCGTCAAGAAGTAAAATTTTCAACTTAAAATTAAGCTTAAAAACTGTGATAAATAGTTTACAATAATCTAAACTTTGTGAGCGAAATAAGACTATTTTTGTAGACATGACTTTGATATTTCATAAATTACGAATTAAAAACCCAAAAACTCCAAATTTATGAGCATCAAATCTGGAGACTATAATAAACAATACTCCCTGCTGATTCATTAGACAGAGTGCTGTTAAATTTCTTTTTGTATTTTAGACGATAAAGAGCAAGAGCCTTTAAAATTTTGAAATGAAGAAGAAAAATCTTATATTGCATCATAAGGTATAAAGCTAGATCTGGCCTTGTTCGGTCTATTTCTATGAGACCCACGATTTTCTTTAGTCTAACCCGATTTAAAATGAAATATATTAACTTTAAAAACTGCCTTATGATGATGAGATACATCACGTTGAATTGTATTTTCTCAAAAAAGGGTGAATTTCGTAACTCAAAAAAGATTTTTCTGTACAGTACTTACTGCGAATACCTTAACAACTAACTTTCATTGACCTGTCCACCCCATATTTGATGACAAAACGTATGGATTGAACAAGATTTGAGAGAAGTTGCGACCAGCCTTGAGCAAAATAAAACCCCATACTCTCCCCATAAGTTTTGTAAATGCAATTCGATGATTTTAACGGAGAAGCGAACCGAAAAAGAGCTTCTGATCTATTCGTTTCAGACGCCGAGAGAGTACTGTATGCGAGGAGACAGTAGACAGGATAGAGCATGCACAACTAAGAGAGTTACATAGATTAAATGTTTCGAAAATTTATAAAAGAGCGACAAATTCTTTGAGAAATCTCGACTTTTTTCTTTTCCCATCGTCTGCGTTCTCTTCAGTTCGCATGCTCTCTCTGCCAAAGCGGTAAAGCTTTGAAATTAATCAAAAACGGTTAAATTAGTGCTTTTAGACTGAAATCTAAGAGATAAAAGACGAGGAAGCACATGGGAATGGGGTTTGACAGGTTGGCAGTTGGGATTACCAGGGGTGCTGGTGCAAGTAATTTTTGGCTGCAAATGTAACAGTAATAAGAATTTAAATTCTATGATAAAGTGTACAAATACGCTCTAGTCACTCCTACTGTAATGACCATACAAAGTTCAAATCATACAGTAAGCCGTTTGAAATTTTTAAAAATTGAAGAATCATACTGTGCTATACGGTATAAAGGATCAGATAAGATTCTATGGTGCTGTCGAAACAAAAATAAACCAAGGAAGCATACGGTAGCACTTTTCAACATACCAAAACTTTCTAGAACGCCCAGAACATTAATTTGAGTAATAGTAATATCCAAATTAATTAAACGATGAGGAAACGAGTACTACTATGTAAAATGTAAATGTAATCATTTCGGATTTAACGGATAATCCCACAATGTTCTATCATAAATGGCACGGAAAGTGCAGCGTTAAATGTACAAAATTTTTGAAAGAAAAAAAGCAAATCATACAAAACAGTATATGAATAGTACTTTTCGTTGAAAATGTAGGTACTACAAAGCAATACCCCTCTTTGTATATCTCATCCTTATCTTTCTACTCCTAAGCTGAAACAGTAATATGTAAAAATAGCATAGTACATTCATTTTACTGTACTTTACTTACTGCTACAACAAAATATAAATTTAAAAAAAGATGACTTAATACCCAGACAATAAACCACCACGACAACAACTACAAAAACAATATTGTTGTTGTTGCAAGGTATAAAAAGTAGTGGGAATGTATGCATCCCCCCCCCCCCTTCTTTTCGAAAAGTTTTACGAATTTTCTCTCTATAACAACCCTCAGCACCTCGGGTGTCTAGACAAAAAATAAAAAAATTTTCTTTTCTCTGTCTCTTCGTGTCTCCCTCCTCTGCGTACTCTCTCGTTTAATTCGATTTCGGACGTTTTAAGTGCATTCAGTGAGTGCAGAATGGACATTCAACGAGTTTAAATTAATGGAACGCTTCATTGTTGCAATATCGGCTTCATTGACGCACAAGGAACGGCGAGTCAAGTGCTACAAGGTTAACGTGATGTAACAACGATAACCAGCTATGTTCACAGCAATAAACAGCTACTATTTTAATTTTAGGTAACAAAATAAATCTGTTCTGGGTGAGGTAGTTAAAGGTTACTACAGAAAGTTCAAAAGTTCGATTTGCTTTAGGTTTAAAAGGTCAAAAAAAGATTTTTTTTTGTTTTTGTCACTCATTTTTAAAAGTTGAAACCTAATAAATACTAATTTTAAAATTTCGAAGCTCTTGTTGTGGCCTTGGTTGTAAAAAACAGCTTGTTTTGTTACCCAGGGCCTTTTCTTAAACAATGCATGCGGTTTACGAAAGTTCAATCAATTTCTAAATTATCTTATCGTATGTTGAAAGTAACACAAAGCAACATATACAACATTCCTTTCCTAAATCACTAAACTTTTAAACTCTGCGTTCCTTTTTCGCCGTTCCCGTGTGTGATGTTGGTTGTGTGGTCAGATGAGTAATGCAGCCACCCAGACAGCCCCCCCCCCTTCCAAAAAACCATAAACTCTATAAAAACGATCTCCGACTGACCACTCTGACGTGTTTTTTGTCCGAATCCTTTATTTTTTCGAAGGAGAGAAGCGTTCCGCTCTCCCTTCTTCTCCGTTCCGTATGTATTATAATATTCGGATGACACAAAAGTCTTATCGTTGTGTGGTGCAAAACTTTGAAACTTTACTGCGCACTTTGTGCTGCACATTGGGTTATATGTTATACCTTGTTTGAAAGCCCAGAAAAAACTCTACAAATAAAATGTTAAAAAAAGTCGTGTCGATTTTGAAAGTTTTGTCATAGATTCAAGTAAAAAATGGTCAAAAACAAAACAAGAGTACTTTTATTAATTTACCTAAAATAAAAATTTAGACTTGCTAATCCTACGAGAAAGTTATGTACGGCTATAATGTCTTTAACAAGTCAACAACAGAGTCAAAAAGACGTCGTAGTGTATATCACCCAAATTGATCCCCAGTAAGCTAAAAAATTTACTTCAGAATAGGCGGAAAGTTAATTCTAATTTTTATTGTGGACTAATGTACTACTTTTATAAAGATATCAACTCAAGTTACTTTAATTTGTTAAACAGAAACCATGTTCCTCTACAACAAAATAACATCGGGATGCATAGTGTCAAAATATCCAATCACAAGTTAAACTAGGTGGATGTTAGTAAAGCAAGGCATTGCGCATGGCCTGCCCTTGCCTAATGTCCACTTTTTTCAAAGCGTCTTTTTTGCTTATAACGCGTTAGTTTTGAATTACCACAGCTCTTATTTTGCTATTTGAAACACTACTTTGTGTTTTGTACAGCGCTATGAAGATTTTTGTACAACTTTTGCAGGCAGAGGTAAGTATTTTGCTTTTATACAAAGTTAGTTTTAACTACACGTCTAAAAACGAATAATTAAAGTTAAGCTTGCTTGTTGAAATGTAAATTAAAATTTTTCGCTACAATAAATCCAAATAAAAAGCAATTTAGTTGTGGTGTAAAGTCGTGAAGCATCTGACAATAGTAGATGATACTTGTTCTTTGGCTGTGGTGAACAAATATTTCTACAAACTTGTCAAAATGGATTTCAAACAGTTATGTTACCACCATGTTGTGTATCGTTTAAAGGGCGAGACTTGGGCGTATGCGTTTTCGGAGTATGTTTCTTTTATATATAAGTCAACTAATTTTTATATTATCGTTATATTCAATGAGATTAATTCATATCTATCAAGGAAACTACCCAACCTGCAACTCTCAGAATTAGCTCAAAATTTTTATACGAATTCTTTGCATCACCAATAGCACATACAAAAAATCTTAGCTTGCGGTTTTAAGTTTTAAAATTAATATATTCAAAGTTCCCGCTAATTTGGCAAATTTGGCATTGTGTTGCAAGCACTTTTTTGCTGTTCCAGATAAGATATGCTTATACACTTAAAACTGCAGGTTCATTTGGAGCTTTTCTATCATTATATCATTCTTTCCCGAAAAGAATAGTCCATCTGCACAGTCCCTGGGACAATCGCGCCCTTTTTATTCCGCTGCACCGTGCAGATTCCCCCCCCATCCCCTCACACAGGTGCACAGTGCAAGCCCCCCCCCCAATTGTCCCATTGGTCGGTTGTCGCAGAAACCTGGGACTTGCGACAGTCAAAAGAAACTTGTCGCAAGCCTTCCACTGAACACAGTGGTGGCTTGATCGTTGCAGGTCGGGTACCTTCCTTGTAAGAGAGATTTTAAAAGTAAATCTACCTCAATTTAGTCTTGGAGTTCGTTCATAAAACAAAGTACTTGTGAAAAAACAATTCTACAGAAAAAGCGTTATTTGTTGTCCGTTTACGGGAAAAATAGCTTTACGACTTGACAGCAGTTACGTTTTACTGACGAATATTGATTTCGGCCTTAAGGGGTTTACTATACTTGACTTTACATCATACACCGACCAAATTAAAAAAGTCAATATGATAAACCGAGGAACAGAGCTTTTAGTTTATACTCCCTCTTTTGTGATAGCGTTCGATCTTCGCGCCAAGAAGATCACGTCTCCTTTATATTACAACGCCGACTCTTCGGATTATCAAATTATTGGAGATGATATTATTTTTGATCTATACACAAAGAAAAAATTTCTAATCAATGCAAGGACTCCCATTGGATTAATTACCTACATCGACAGGCATGATAACTCTAAATATATTGCAGTACATACAACAGACAATAGGCTTGTCATAATTGACAATGCCACAGACGAAAGATATGATGTTTGTGAATGGATGAATTACATGATACTGTACATCATTAGTGAGAACGACTCAGTATATCTTCAAGATTTGCCAGGTATATAGAAAAACGCCAGAAAGTAAAAAATCTTTCTTGCTTCTAAAAATGGCTATAAACCCGAAACTTAACATGACAGAATATTAGCTCAAGCGGTTTTATGTCCGAAAAAGTTTGAATCTTTAAAGTGCATATTAATTTTTTAATGAATTTTAAAAAACGCATTTTTACTCAGAAATACCAATATTTTTAGTTGAAAAAGGTTTTTTTGTTCAATTTTAGAAAGTTCGTTGTGTTTTAAAAGCAACTGAATGTACATGTATTTTAAAACCATTTAATCAAATTTAGGTCATAAACTTGGATCTCGAATATATAGTATCAAAAGAAGGCAATTGGTATTTGACGAATCAGATGACGACAATTGGTGTTTATTTAATTCTAATACACTGTTTCATGAAGTGAATAGTCATTTAAAGTTTAAAAATTAATTTTTTATTGTATGTAGTGTTTTGCTCCCACCGGTCCGATTTTCAAACTTTAAACGTTTCTGTAGCAAAAATCGTTAAAGTTACAGTACAATTGATTTGAAACGTACTACACTATATATTATTAATCCCGAGTTCCAACCATACAAATTTGAGTTCCTAAGTAAGATAGAGCTCGGTCCGAAACAAATTGAAGTTTCGTTTACCTTTATTAGTGTTTTAGGGAACAATAAACGAAATTTATTTTAAAAATATCTTGGAGAAAAAAATTGCAAGGCAACCGCCAATTCCTTTAATTAAACTGTTGGTCTTTTTTAGTTTTTGGTTTACAACAGACATGAGGACAGCTGGAAAAAAATAAAACCAGATCCAAATCTTCATTTGGAGCATAATTATTATTGTTACTGTACCCAGAGATTTGTGGCATTGCCAACTTATAAAGTCATGGAATCTTTTATAAATAACATTTCTCGGCATGTTTTTTTGCAATTTGAAAAGGTAAGCTATATTGAGATGATATTTTATGTTATACGCCTTGCAGTGCCTCTCCCCTCCCCCCTTACAAAGATTGTTAGGTTCCCGCTCTTCATTTTTCGGCCCTAGTGTTGATTATGTAATAATTTTAATTTTTAGGTTATATCCGGGTGAAAACGTTCAATGCAAAATTAAAAAATTTTCTTACATTTGATGACTTATATCGACATCTAGGCAATGACAAACATCAAATCTGGCAATTATCAGAAATAAAGTTTACTGATTTACAAGAAAATTCCGACCACTTTCATATCGGTCAATTAGACATCGCTAAACCCCGCGTTCCAATAATTGACGCCGAAACTGGATCCACAACATATTTTGACTTTAATTTTTAAGTTATAAAAAAACTTTCGAAGGGTTATTGTTAGTATAATTTAATATTGTTTAAAAATGTAAAACTGCTACGGTATAGTAGGTTTGAGTACATCCGTATACGGAGCCTTAAGAAGGGTAGAGCAAATTTAACTTATGGTTTTATTGGACTAGTTAAAGAAAAATAAAGCCAAAGTTTAGTCTTTTTAAAAATTTTAACCTAAATTTGAAAACATTTAGTACTTTACAGAAGGTAAAACACAACTTTTTTAATTCGGTTTCATGTCATACACTTAATGTCACGAAATTGACGGCCTAAAAATCTGACAACTGTAACATTTTGACAGTGAAAACTTTGTCACAATAGACTCAACTTGTTTTCACAACAATAATATAAATAATTTATTTGCTACAATCCCAAAAACTTGTTCGGATAGAACTTGACCCCGGCAATCGTAACATCTCGACACAGTTTGCCACTATTTTCAGCGGCCAACAATCGTTCATTTGCCAAAACCACTGATATGCCTAATAATTGAGCAAATTGAGCCTTGTCCAACGTTCCGTTCAGTTTTACATTCTCGTATGTCTCGTCTATTGTCTTCGGATCATTGGTGGACTTGTTTATCATTTGTATCACTTCAACGCCTGATGGGAAGGAGTGCAGTCTAAAAAAATAATAATTAAAATTATATCAACTTAAAATAAAAACATTATGTTTTGATATTCTAGTTAAATATCCTAAAAAATCTTCTTAATCTAACATATATAAGACTTATCACAGTCTCACTTTTCGTATGTGTCGGTCTACACAAATAAACATTTTTAAAACATAAAAATTAAGTACCAAAAGCTGTAACAAAATAACCATAAAACGTACCTTATAGGCAGTCCTTGACTTTCAAACAAACGTGCTGCCCGTAACAAATCTTCTGGTGATATTAATTTCGTTCCTCTAGCCCTATTGATCCTACAGAAAGCTTCAGGTAAAGTCATCGTGCCTCCAGAACTCTAAAGTTAAAGATAATACATTCCAAAACTCAAAAATATCAATAATCAACTGAGTACTCTTGCTAGTATACCTTTGATTGAAAGATATAAAACGAAATAACTTACCCTTAGTGGATCTAAGACAACATTGCAAATCTCTTTAGCCAAAAGTTTAAAATAGTTTGAACTAGAACCAGCAGCTTCTTTAGTGACTGGTTCCTCTACACCGAGCGATAGCAAGTAGGATTTGAATTGCACTGTCTGAAAATGTTAATATTGAAATAAAAATAATTACAACTCTTTTAAAAAAATACTAAGTAAGTTGAAAATTTATGTGTATATAGCTTATTCATTTAGCCCACTAAAATATCAGAAAAGTTTTTAAATTTCCATGTTGTAGAAGTTTCGATGATCCTATGTTACTCCTGTTTTTGAAAAAATGCCTTTATAAGTTCAATTCTTAAATTGATCGATGTATACTCTGTCAAAAATATCAAAACTGCTAATTTATTCAACCTTAAACCTTATTTAACTCACCTCATCTTCAGCCAAACCTTTGGCCCTCAACTTTTCAGTGATCTTCTTAGACAAAGCTACCATTTCCTGCGCCTGACCCATCAAGACGTTAACATCTTCAAAAGACTAAAAATATGAACAATAAACACGTTAAACACCCATACCTGATTAATAACTTGTTGGTTTCTCTGATCATTCTGGGCGATCCTTCTTTCTATACCTGATATTCCAATTTGACGTCGCGGTGGATCTCGTGGAGGCTCTGTAAACGTTGGTCTGACTTCTTGACGTTGAACTGGAGCTTCAGAGACAAATAAATTTTTTAGTTTTTTCATATTTATACGTTTTTATAAATAGAAAATAGTTTACTTACAACAAATTTTACAAAATTTTGTCTTTCAACAGAAATGTTAAAAAAGAAAAAACTTGACTCGAAAGTTTGTTGTGTGTCAAGTCGTTCTGTTTACAATGAGGAATGCATGGATAAAGCAAAACACTATTCATAACGTATGAATATCGAGTACTATGTCTAATAGAATGAATAAAATTATTATTGAAATATAGTATTAATTTAACAACTTAAAGTTGGCTAATTTTTAATAATTTTTTTTTAAATCTTTAAAATTATTTAAAATTAATGGTTTAATGCTAATATTTTTGAGCTTAAAGGTTTCTAATTTTTTTTTATGTTGGTATAAGTATCATTAAAGATTTTAGACACTTTTTTCGTGACCTAAACATTTACAGTATTGTTATTTGCTTATAAACTGACAGGAGGGGAAAGACGGTTGTTACAGGTGGAAGAAGGGGAAGAAAGCTGTTTTTGTTTGTTGTTCTGTTAGACTGACTCAATGCCAGAACACTACCCATTTTTCACTTCAACTGAATATTATGTACTTTTACTGGTCACAATGACGTGATTTTCGATTATTTAATCATTACCTCTACGAATACGGGTATTGTAATTGTGATCGTTATTTTAATAGTATAATATTATTTTAAAATTTATATTAAAGGTAAGTTTTAGGATGACAGAAACACGAAAAAAGTCGTCCGTCTTGGAGATGGAGAAGCTGACACAGATTCTGGAAGAAGGTATACCAGTCCGTCGTATAAAGAATAACAAAGTAGATGGGATTACTGTGCTGGCAGTGGAAGGTGCAGCTCTGTTAAAGTACAAAGCGTTTAACTCGATTGTCAATAGGATTCGCTTTAAATGTGCTCCAAAACAGAAATTGGTGGATGTGGATAATGTGATTGAAGTGAGGGAAGGTTACAACTCTGATGGACTTCACGCGGCTTCGAAGCATTTCAAGTTTCAACAGCGATGTCCAGTAGGTTTATAATTTAAGTTTTAATGAGGTTTTGTCTTTTACATTGTGAGAACACTATTTAAGACACAAAAGTTATCTACAAATGAGGTATGACGTATAAACTAGCACAACACAGTGAACAATTAAGCTGAACTGTCTTCATCCGCATATTATGTTAACTTTTTTTGATTAAACTAGTAAAATAAGCCAAAGCTAATATTTATACTGATATATTGTAGGAATCCAATTGTTTTTCTATTATTTACAAACATCCAAAGTTTGTATGCAAATCCATAGACTTTGCTTGTGATCACGGCGAGAGTAGGACGTTGTGGGTTAATTCATTCAGAACCTTCTTGGTCAGACGGCCCAGAGATGCGGTGACGTTTGATGAGAAGTTATGGCTATCACGCAACTTCAAAGAAGCTGATCTCAACAAAAATGGTAGGACGTTGTTTTGGAGATTTAAATTAGGAAAAAATGGAGTATTGTTAATTAATTAGACTTATTAAGTTGTTAAAACAATTCAGGGTATTATAGCTATGCAAATTTGCTTTGAAAGTGGGTACATAATTAGTTGAACAATTCGACAGATAAATTATAATAAATTTTTCCAGGAGAAATCGCATTCAGCGAGCTATGGAAGCTATTGAAGCAACTGAACCTGCAAATGAGCGAACAATATGTCAAGGCATTGTTTAAAGTAAGCAGTTTGAATTTAAAAAACTTAAACATGAATCATTTGTTTATATTTGAATGAATTTGCATTAATTTTCCATTCCAGCAAGTACTTGAGACAAAGCAAAAGCACAACAAAGCACTGGACGAAACGGAGTTTTTCGAATTGTTTCGTATCTTAACCGACCTGCCAGAGTACCGAAATGCTTTGAGACAAGCGAATCCAGATGGGGAGGAGAGTTTGCACGCCAAACAATTGGCAGAGTTTCTGAAAACTGAACAAAATGTAAGTAATGGGCTTTCGGCAAGCGCGTATTTTACAAAAAAAAATTTTTACTGTACTATATTTTAAAACTTTTACAGTTTGATGATGTTGACGAGTCAAAAGCTCTGGATATCATCAAAAAGTACGAGGTTATAGAAGATACGGAAGAAAAGGACATTAAGCTTACCATCAATGGTAAGAATTTATATTATTTACATTATTTAATGAATTTTGTTTGAAAATGACAGTGATTTGCATATAAGTTTTATTAAAAGATTAAGGTCTTTACAGGCAATCATGAAAAATTTTATCTTCAGGATTCCGTCGCCTACTACAAAGTCGGTATGGTTTCATAATGAAGCCGAACCACGAAACGGTGTTCCAAGACATGGATCAGCCTTTGAGTCATTACTTTGTCAATTCAAGTCACAATACCTACTTGACTGGATTACAGGTCAGAGGAAACGCTACTGTAGAAGGCTACATAAGTGCTTTGAAAAATGGAGCTAGACTACTGGAATGTGAGTATATCTTGTGATACTATAAGGATAACAGGGCGATCAGGGAAATAGTAATAAGAGTCTCGGTTACATTGTTTATCACTATAAATTTTTATGTTTTTTTATATATATGTATGACAATGGCGTGTTTCAGTGGACATTTTTGATGGTGAACATGGAGAACCTCAAATTACTCACAAACGAACCCTGATAGCAGCAATCAGCTTGAGGAATGTTGTGAAATGTATTGCTCAATATGCCTTTGAATCCAACCCATACCCGGTTATATTAACCTTGGAGAATCATGCTGGTCATGCTCAACAGAAGGTCATGGCCGACATCTTTGAAGAGGTACCGTTTTCTACTCTGATACTAACTTATAGTAAAACTGACTACAGTATAGCCAATATATAGTACTTTATATAGAAATTGTGGGATAATGATCTTATACCTCGTTTAAGGTTTACCTTTAGTTGATATAATAACCTTCTTTTAGTTAGTGCCGTAGTATCAAATAACAAACGTAATATGTACAACAAAGCTTTACAGATTCTGGGCGACAAACTGTATATACCTCCAGAAGATGCGGCTACGAAGCCATTGCCATCTCCAGATAAACTCAAAAACAAGATTTTACTGCGCGGTAAAACCATCCAAACCCCAGTATCTACTCCAGAAGACGAAGAAGCAGAAACTCCAGAAGAGCAGAAGCTACCAAGATCTCCTATACATCCATCTATTGGAAGGTTGATAGCGTTACCTTCAGTAAAGTTGACTACAAACATCTACGCTGATGTACAGGATCGTAAGTGCTAATTTTTATCTTACAATTTACATTTACTATATTTAAAAGCGGCATCTGAATTTTAAATACGTTACAAAGCGCTATATATAAGTAAAAGACACTACTTTATTATTATTAAATCGATAACATATAAATATGCCTTCAGACCCCCTAAACGGATCTCCATCGTTATCAGAAAGCAAAGTTCTTACTCTTCTTGAAGCCGGAGCTCCCTTAGGCACTTATACTGCCAAGAGGTTTGTTAAGTCATACCCAAAAGGTATCCGACAAGACTCCTCAAACATGCATCCAGTAGCCTCATGGATCTGTGGCATCCAATCTGTAGCCATGAATCTCCAAACTACAGGCGAAGAGATGGACCTGGTCAGTGGAATGTTCTCTATCAATGGAAAGACGGGTTATGTATTGAAGCCGAGCCTTTTACTAGATGGACTAGATCCTAGGATTGAGTGTCAGTCCAGGAGTTACACGGTAATTAGAGTTGGAGTCATTTGTGCCCAATATCTACCTAAAGCCGAGCCTGGACATGACATTGTGGATCCGTATGTCAGCCTAGAAGTGTTTGGCATACCTGGTGACGAATATAAGGCAAAGACAAAGGCTATCAGGAATAATGGTAAGGATTCACGTGAGGTTATACTACTACGAAGTAGTATCAAATAGCAAACTTAAGATAGTACGACAAAGCTTTTTAGATATGTTATATTAAAGTACTCTTTTAAGATTCAAATTAAAACGTAAGTTGTGATGTAAACAATATTTTAGGCTTTAACCCAGTATGGAACGAGGATTTCACATTTAAAATCAAGTGCCCCGAATTGGCAATGATCAAGTTTACTGTGAAAGACTTTGACTCGACCAGTAGTAATGACTTTGTTGGTGTGTATTCTCTCCCTGTCTCAAGTATTCGACCTGGTAAGCAAATCCGTTTGTGTTATTGCTATTACATGACCGTTATTTTCAAGATGGCAAATTCTTATTACATATATGTCTGTTATTTTCAATATGACAAATTCAGGCTACTCTCACATCCGCTTGAACACTGGCTTCGAACATTCTCCAGACGACGCGGCTTCGATCTTCGTTAGAATCGAGTTTGACAAAGATTGAGAGCTACAACATTTGAATTATATTGTTACAATGTTATACGGAAGGTGAAGAAGCTACTAACTTTACAAAAAAACCTCAATTTTTGAGTGTTTTTATTATTAACGGTGATTTTAAGCTCAAAGTACTAATGTTTAATTTAATATGATTGTATATAAAGTATTATCTTTTCTTTTTTTATCTTATTACGTGTAAATAAATTTTAGCAATAACTTTCGTAATGCGAATTTACAGCGGTTTCGTTAATAACGAGTACTACACAAACAATCCTGTTTGGTCCCACCACGAAAACAAACGGCTTGTTTTTCTTTTTATCGTTTTCACGTCTCGTTCTCTGAGCGTTCGGCGTTTGTTGTTGTGTCTTATCTGTGCATCTAACCACTTTTGATTACATCCTACAGCTTTTCTGGTTACTTTGTACTATTTTAGATATTATTCGTGTTAATGTGTCCAAATTGAAACATTTTCCTTTCGTAAAAAGTCAATAATGTGTCTTGTGGCCATTCTTTCCTCGTGTCGGGTTTGCAACAGAGTCTCAAAAAAGAGAATTTATACTTTGACATTACTTTTTCCTTTGAATTCAAGCATTTGCTCGGGTTTCTTTTCAACTCAATCGCTTTTAACCTTTATGTTCTTGTAGGCTTTGAGTAGTTCCGTTTGTATTTTTTCATTAATTATGAAATAGATGTGTTCATTATTTAGATACACTTTGACGTGTTTTCAATTGTTTTTTGTTCGATTTTTTGGCATTTTGAAATGTAAACATGAGATGTTTTGAGAGAAAACCTCTGCGATTTTGTTGTTTTTGACGTGATTTGGTGAAAATAAAGTGATTTATTTTCAGTTTGTAAAATTAATTTACTTTTCAGTAGGTTTTCGTACAAAAAATGTCTCCACCAAGCTTCGTTGATCTCGGAAAGGCTGCCCGTGATGTGTTCGGAAAGGGATACAGTAAGTTTTGTCCTTGTTTTTGTTTGTTTTTAGGATTTTGTCGGTAGGGAGGAGTGATTTGGGTTGTAATATTGGTTTTGTCGGTTGATATGGTGTCATAATTCTAATTTATGAGTTTTTTTTTCACCTAATATTTTAAAGTGTTTGTACGTTGTTTTAAAAATTATCTTCTTCAGACCACGGCCTCGTGAAGCTCGATACCACCACCCGCGGCAACGACGCCGGAACCGTCGAATTCAAAACTAACGCTACTCACAACCTGACCTCGGAGCAATTGGCCGGTAATGTTGACATCAAATTCAAGGTCCCAGAACGCGGCATCACCGTCACCGAGAAGTTGCACACCGCCGGAACTTTGGGAACCGTCGTCGAAATCAATGATCAATTCGCCCGCAACTTGAAGGTCACTTTGGACTCGCTCTACACTCCCAACACTGGAAAGCGCGACGCCACCTTGAAGACCGAGTGGTTCAACGATGCCGCTAGAGTAAGTTGATTAATGATAATACGTTAATGTAAATTGTCATAATAGTTTTATAAAACATTCTTTTACTTTTTTTATTTTTAAGTCAAGTTTTGTTACCTAATTTTTGCTCTTTTTAGTTGAACATCAACCTCTCTTTGATCGGAGGTCCAGTCGCCCTTATCTCCGGAGTCGTTGGCCAAAACGGATGGTTGGCTGGAGCCCAAGGACGCTTCGACATCTCTACCAACGAGCTGAAGAACACATCGGTCGCTTTCGGCTACACCACCCCCGCCTACACCATCCACTCCTTCTGCAACGACGGTAAGGAGTTTGGAGGATCCGTCTACCACAAGGTCCACAAGAACGTCGAGCTCGGCACCCAACTCGGCTGGACCAACGGCGAGGATAAGATCCGCTACGCTCTCGGCTCTACCTACAAGATCAGCCCTGAACTTTTGCTCCGCGCTAAGGTCGACAACAAGGCCGTCGTCGGTCTTTCGGCCACCCACACTCTCGGCCCTAATGTCAAGGCCTCTTTGTCCACGCAATTCGGCCTCACCGCTGCTAACTCACAGAACAAACTCGGTGTCGGAATCGAATACACCCCTTAAGATGCTTCCAGTGCACCTTTAGAAGTAATTAAGAGATTGAGATCCCGGTCTTCGTGACGATCTCAAGTTTTCTTGTTTTTTATTTTTCTTCCAATAAATAGCGTGGTCATAACTTGGTGATTTTATGTTATTGATGTTAGTGTTCATGGATGTTTCATTAAAGTAGGAATCTTAATTTTTGGTAGAAATATTTTAAAGTCTTTCAAAAAAGTAGGTGAATTTACTGCAGTACCATAAGTAAAAATTTCATAAAAAGGTTTATTCAAAACAATGAATTTACGAATATCTTGAATATTTTGCACGGAACCCGAATAAAGACAATATCTAGGTGTTGATTACTGTAGTTGAAGAGTCGGGAATGGCGACCGAGTTTATTAGACGAATAAATAGCTGATTTTGAACTTAGCGAACGTTTTAAAAAAGAATGGCACTAAACAAAGCCAGAAATGTACACAAATTTACATAGTAAAAGGGACAACAATATATTGAGGAAGAGATCGGCTGGGAAAGTGATTTACATTGTGAAGGTGACAAAACACAACTGTGGTCACTGTAAATAGTACAGTGCAAAGGGGAAGACAATATAGTTAACACAGTATGTAGGCGGCGAAATATACTATAATTCAAGCACATAAAACACGGTGTACTGTAATACTCAAAATGCATACTGTAATAAAACTATAGTGCAAATTCAGTACATGGAATTAAAAATCAATTGCAAATAAAGTAAATTGTAATACAATCACAGTATACGCATGTCTTATTGTAGTGTAAAGTAGCTAATTACAGTAACCTTAGGCAGTTATGGGTTGAGCTTGTTCGTGTTTGCCGTTTTCTGATGTTTCTTCGACCTTCGTGGCATCAGAATCGTTCAATTCCAAGGATTCTGAAGGACCGTCGGCTTCTGTTTCTTCGTCGGTGAAGTCGTCACGGTCATCGTCTTCTTCGACGTCCGAATTGGCATTAAGAGCAGCCTGAAGAGCGTCGATCCGACGAAGAGCAAGTGTAAGGTCGGAAGAGGTCTGGGCATGTTCTGATTGGATTTGGTCCATCTCGTCTCTCTAAAAAAGTCGAGGTAAGCACTATAACTTATAAGTTTAATTAAAAATGTTACCTAAGCATCAAAATTTTTTAAAATTCTAACAAGACAGCCTTACGGGCCCCTACGACAAGGTCTAGAGCAATTCAAAACTATGAACTTTAATCAGCAGAACCACCTTTTGGTTAAAGCTTACCGATTTCTTGTACTTGTTGCTCATCTCCTCCTCTCGCTTCTTCAGTTCCCGGTTGACTTCTGCTTCGTTTGCCAGCTCTCTCTTGTGTTTAATAACAACTTCTTGTTGTCTCGACACTGTGCGCTGTAACTCGTTGATCTGATCCTCCATTCTGTCCACCTCATCTTGCAGTCGATTAGCTGACGTCTCGTATTTTACTTTTTCCGCCTTCTCGTACTCGAGTCTCGACTTCACATCGACCAGAGAACGTTCCAGCACGGTCAGCTTGTGACCTTCCACGAAATGACTCTTCAGGTAGGCAACTTGGCTTTGGGCTTCGGCCAGTTGTTGAGTCAGTTCTTGTTTGTTGGACTCCAGCTCTGCAATCATCTGACTTTGTTGGGTGATGAGTCTGGAGTCAGCTTCGGTCTGAAGGACGGCGTTACGGTAATCTCGGAGTACTGTAGCCAGCTGTTCTTCCAAGTCTTTGCTAGCAGAAATAACGTGAGATTTCTCATTGAAAAGGTCGCGGTTCTTCTCTTCCAACACCTTTTTGGCCCCTTTTAATGTGTCAATCTAAAACATTGTCATCAGTTACTATCTTACCATCAATTTAAGAAAGTATTCTTCACATTAGTCTTAATTTAAGTTTCAAAAGTTAATGATTTGATCAAGAATATTAAAAAAAACAAAAAAAACTTTTTAGTTTAAAAAACACTATTCTTTACTTCAAAACTGCTCTATGACATCTTCAAACTTCTCAGAAACAGTTACTTTTGATAAAAAGTAACTACTATTGAAAAACAAAAAATATTGAGCTAGCTAACACATGAATAACATCTATCTTATAAAAAGAATATTAATGTCTCCTCACCTCTAAATTAAGTTCCGACAACTCATTTTCCAGCGAAAACTTTGATCTGACAGCTGCCATCTTGCCTTCTTCGGCTTCGTCCAGCTGTGCCCTCAACTTCTTTATCAGCAAAGCCTTATCAGACTTCTGCCTCTCCATGGCCAACAAGTTCTGCGTGTCTTTGAGCATGGCGGCCGTCTTCTTGTACTCTCTCTTGTAGTTATTCGAACTCTGAGTCTCGAAAGAGTACGTTGAGTGTGTTGTCTCGAACAGGCGGCTCTTCTGCTCCATCTGCTTTAGCTGCCGTTGGACATTGTTGTAATTCTCGGATAGGTCCACAATCTGTTCTTCGTATGTTCTGACTCGTCGCTGATGTTGTGATCTGAGCTCGTTCAACTCCTCTTCACGACTGTTGGCTTCTCTCGAGTTCTCGTTCTTCATCCTTTCCATGGCCAAGTTGAGTCTTGTGACATTTTGTTCCAGAAGCTCGTTCTTGCTCACAACTTCATCGAGTTCGTCCTCAAGTTCTGCCAACTTTTGCTCAAGATCCCGCTTTGACTTTTTAAGTTGAGATAGCTCGGATTCTGAAGCTGTTCTCGTCTGATCATCGGCAAATTCTGAAAGCTCTCGCTTGGTACGAGAAACTTGATTCCTCAACTCGGAATTTTGTTCTTTTACTTCCTGAAATGATCAAATTTTTTATTCCTAACTGGTATTATGTTTTAACACCAATATTTTCTAAATCAATTAAAATTTTAAACACAAAACTTTTCCCACAGGAAATATTGATATTATCCATAATATTGTTCATTAAACCCATAAAAGACTTACATGTAATTCAGCGCTCTTTTTATTCAAATTGACAGTTGCCTCCTTCAACTGTTGTTCCACTTTGCTCTTTTCAGCTTCGAGCTGATTGAGTTTGGCCTGGAAGACGCCGATTTCATCGTCGACACTAAAAAAAGGGTTAATCTGATGGATAATACATTTTCGGTCCCTCAATATTAAACAATAACACAAAAACAGTTGTAAAACACTCTCAGTATCTCAATAATGCTATGTTACAAAACGAACTATTTTTTACATAAAATCTAACAAAGACAAAAATTAAAGAAAAAATTCCCATATAGCACTTCACCCCCTATTACCTAAAAACTAACAATTAAAATAACTTACGTTGCTCCCTTCTTCTCCAGAAGATCGTTCCTAGCCCTGAGATTCTCAATATCTTCTTTGAAGTCGTTCAAGTTCTCCGTCATCTTCTGAATCTTCATCTTCTGCGCGGTTTCTTGTTCTCGAAGCCGATCAATCTCGCAAATCAGTGCCGGATCCACAGAAGGCTGAAAAACACAACCATTAATCTCTTATGCAAACAAACAACTGTCATAAACCCTATGTTATTCAGAAAACCTATAAAAACTGTCAAAACATTCATAATATCGACGTTATCTTACTCTCAGAGCATCATCAGAGCTTCTGATAGCTGATTTCTGACTCGCTGATCTGTACCTCAAGAATGGTTTCTTAGGAGAACCTTTCCAGAAGCTTGTAAATACCATTTGCTACCAGTAATTCAATTACAGAGAAAAATCCGACCAAATTTTGTTGAAGTGATAAAACGCCAAAAATGTTTCCCTGTCAGGACCGCTTTACAATTTTAAAATCCACAAATTAAAATTTTAATTTTGTGAATTTTGAAAAGAATAATATTTTTAGAATGTATAATTCAATATTCTGGTTGATAACAGCCGTTAGCGCTCTAATTTCCCAAGATGCGACCGATTATATTACACTACTTATACAAAGTGATCCCTACCTTTTTGGCTGGCCATTCGTAGTCCGCTGACATGACTTTCTCACGTTTATCATCTTCGGATTCTGAAAAGGGCAAGAATTATTCATTTTACAGATGATTAACATATTACTAGGGTTCTATGGAATAGCATTGTCCCTTGGCAACTTTTTAGGTATATTTTTGAGAATTTTATTAGATTTTTAAAGTTTTATTAACTTTACAATAGCTACTACTATTATTTAAGCAGTAAGATGTTTTAAAATTACCATTTATGGCTGATCTGAAAGTATTCGGAGCTAAATTTGAATATTCAGCATGCACTTTTAGTGCCATGTTAGACCGTTTTTGGTAGTAAACAAACTCTCTGATCGGAGTCATTTAATCTTGGTTCGTATTTTAGTAAAAATGTTTAAGAATTAAGTATAAAACAATGTATAACCCAGTCAGCACAAGTTTTAGCAATGTCACAACAAGACAATAAGTTATTGTCAATACGAAGCAAGATATTGCTCTATATTCAAGTAGGTATCAAGTCTAAATATAAAAATAGGTAACAAAGTTAGCTGATCACAAAAATTTGAAACCACAGCACGACCAAGATCAGTCGACGCCGTTAGCCTTGAACTAGCACGTTCTTCCGCTCTGATAACTACTCGAAATGGTGTTAAAGGGCTGACATATACTCAGACTGTGGCGCCTTGTCAGATACGACGGCGGCGTCAAGGTCGCGAGCTTTTACTTTCGTATGCGCAACAGATTTAGAATTTGACGTAGATTCCGGTTTCGCCCCGCTGGCGGTGTTTCTATATTTATATTTTGAGCAAATGGACTTGAAGCAAGGTGAGGTAACCTTAGGTTGGGTTGCTTTACCTTGATGTATGTTTTGTCAGTAAAAAAGGTTTTCTTAGAGCATAAGATAATATATGTCACAGTAGTAGAACATACGATAATATACGTAACATTAGTGAAACATACGACAATATATACCACAGTAGTAGAACATACGATGATAATATGCGTCACTGTAAAACTACTATATATTTTTATGAACGTAAACCCCTATTTTTCATAATTCTACCTATTTTTGGACCTAATCTTCTCTAATTTGCAAATTAAAAGTTTTTAATTTAAAAGTTAAATGAATAGTTTTAATTCGAAACCGAAATAGATTTTATTAAATTTTAAATCCCCGGAGGGCAGACTAATTAGCGTTCCGGGGAAAGATTATTGTAGGTCTTTTTGTTAACATCTTAAGTACTTAATCACAATACACCTGCGGGATTTGCAAATTTAATTTGGTTTTGCACAGTTTTCACTTTTTAAAATTTAAATATTGGTACTTAAATATTAATTTAAAAATAAAAATTTCAACATTTCAAAGCCTGAGGCAGTCAAAGCTTTGAAAAATAAAATTCAGAAAAATTTCAAATTTCAATTTTCTAAAAGTTTGAAAAGTTTAAATTTCAAAATTTTAAAATTTGAAACTCAAAAACCGCCCAAAATCAACATAATACCTTGTTTGCACAACATATAGTCCAGTCCGATGGGATTGATGACTTGAACTTGATCATGAAGGAACTGTTGACTCAGTCTACTCAACAAATCGTCATCGTATTTTAGCCTTTTGATGGAATCTGGAGAGAACACCTGAGGTGAGGGAAGGTCCAACGAACTCTGATTCAGATCAGAGACATGGGTAAGGTCAGAAGAGCTGTGGGTGGAGGTTGGTGGAGAATGACATTCCCCATCCTTGGAGCACTCGGCCGCTCTCTTCCGATTCCTCCGCTCCGTCTCCTCGTTAAGAACCTGATTGTACACTTCTGGATGTTTGTCTCTCAGATGTCGACCAGCTACCGTAGTCGAGGGAGGCCATGTGTAAGTGGCAGTACATAGCCCGACCTCGCATTTGTAGACGTTCAGCTCACGTTGTACCTTGAAGTGGCGCCAGATCGAGTGACGACCGTGGAACTTGGCATCAGCACTCGACTTGTGGCTAGACTGTGTAGCTGGCTGAGGGGGCGTGGGTGGGGAGGTGAGGTGGTTGTTGAGTTGTTGGAAGAGAAAGGGAAAGTTGAGGAGGTTGGCGGGTGGCAGAAGGCTTAGGGGGTTCGTGTCGAAGGTGGGGTTGTCTGGGTTGTTGAGAGAGTTGAGGAAGAGATGAGGTGTCATCAGGTTACGCAACTCTTCCGAGTCCATCATCTTCAACTTTGGTTAATAACTGATATAGGTCGCGACAGTAACTTATAAGGTAATTATAAGGCGTAATGATATGTGTTAAAGTGCGCGAGAGTAAAAGTTATAAGGGAAATAGTACGAGATATAGCAAGCAGTGATACTTAATCATATGACAGTACCTTAAAGCACGATGTATAGTATATAAATTCAAGTTACTGTAGCCTTGTTAACACTATGATTAAGATCTGCGTTACAGTAATATGAATCCTCAAAATACATACATATGGTAATACCAAAACTACCGTACTTCAAATAAACATCAAAATACTATAGTCACTAAGGTAAACTCTTATCTAGCCTACTGTAACTGCATCCCCATCGTAACCCCGAAGCCAATTAAACCAATGTTTCAAGCTTTTAATCAGCTAGAATTAGGCCGAGCTGATATCAAACACATTCCTCTGTATAAAGACCAATAAATTCTGGCAATCAGACGGTAGCGAGAGATCACTCCAACCCAAGAGAGCGCCGACAAATCAGCCAACTTTTTTTGGTATGAAAAAATGACCGATAAATGACTTTTTCATAGTAACATAAAACAGTTGTGCCCTGAGGCGATCCTTTTTGAAGACGAACAGTCGCGATGAGTTATTATGAATATTGTGGGAAACGATTATTGTTTTAAATTGAACAGTCATGATGGGAAAGAACATGACCATACACATTTACATTCGGATGTGGTTTGGGAAAGAGGCCGCGGTTGGTAATAATCCATTACAATTCTTATATTAACATCACTACGGGCCTTAATTAAACGGTTCTGCGGCTTGATTTTGGTTTCAAATTGAAGGAATTAAGCTACAAAACGCTACATAATGTGCTACAAGTCCCTACGGTAATTTGCTACAAGACATAGTAAAAGGAAAAAGATGACAAAGAGAAAATAACCCAAAAAATAAAAAAAAATTTTTTAAAATTGAAATTTTGTAAAAATACCACTTCCAAATGTACGTATACGTGAATACACAGAAAGGTACGTTTAATACTGTCCTAGAATTTCAAAAACACCACTTTTTACTGAGATTAGACCAGCTGGACTTGTAATTGAGTAATATAGTACAATGTGGCTAGAAGTCTTACTATAGTTATTGTAAGAGTTCGTATGTTGTTAATTGAGCTATTGTACTCTTTCTAAACAAAAAAATCTATTTTTAATTTTTTTTTGTAAAAAAGCGCAAAAACTTTATTTACAGACAAAAAATTGAAGTTTCGAAGACTTGATGACCTACTATAATATAATTTTGATGTGATAAAAATTTAAAAATAAAAAATTTTTTTACGTTACAAAGCAAAGTTACATCCAAACATATATAACTTTAAATGTAACCTTCACATCTACGACCAACTACAGTAAAAGCCAGATACCACCAGGTAAAGTAAACAAAGCACTTTAATACCACCATAATACCACCATATGCCCACAAGCAAACATGTGGCCATCTGAAGCCCGTCCTCACGTATAATCCCAGCATTTACCACAAAGACAATGACACATGCATCGTATGTCCGAAATGTAATAGCTTAATGTAAATCCCTGACAAACCTACAAGGGGCGGGGCTTGGACCGGATATATGGTATGTTTACACCGTGCCGTTGTGACGTTCTATGACATGATTTTAGAGATTAACCGTGTTTACTACGCCAGAAAACTCTTTGTCTTGCCGCGGATACCAACATAGGTCATTTGTGGTACTGTTTACGTTTTCCAGAACACAAAGATGATCTGGATGTCATCGGTTTCAGGTTCAAAAGTGTAAAGAAAGTAGAGGAGTTACCATTGTAAACAGAACTTTAGGTAACGCAAGATCAGAAAAACATCGAAGAATGTTTTCAATAAGTACAAAGTACTGTAGTAAAATATAAAAAGTATTGCCGTAAATTTACATCAAATTCAACTTAAAAAAACAAAAAAACTTTTTTTTGCCTGATAAGTGGTAAGTCAACTCTTTTTATAACCAAAAACGATTTTATTTCGATTATTGTAAAAAGTTGCATATAAGAAATGAGCCATATACTTTCAAACCCTTATATCTTCTTATTCAGCACTTAATATAGGCTTGTCATACTTTATTTACTATAGCTCTCCTTATAGTAAAGTAAGACAATTTATACAGTAAGGTCTACTTTTATTACAATACCAAAAAAAGTTTTGTAGTTTTAGCTAAGAATTAGGTCTGTAAAGAGGCCAGACCTAATTTTTGAGGAGTCCAAGAGCCATGCTTTGGTTTGGGCCTCAGCCCTCGGACCCACATGTGTCAGCCCAGCCTCTTTCAAATTTGTTTCGGCCCATCCAGCCCGACCCAGTGCCAAGACTAATGAGCTCCCGTCCAGGTCGACCAAGAATAGACATCTTAGCATACAAAGAAGAATATGGATCCGGCATCGTACAATGCTGGCAGAACGTGTCGTACCATCAAATCCCCCGCTTTAATCAATCTAATAAAAGCAGTTTTATTCAAATGAAATCCCCGAAAATCCCCGGTAATACACTGTAAATCCGACTACCGTATTCTGTGTCTTGTGATGGAATTAACCCCCGCCCCCACAGTTACAGTAATCTGTCACGCGGTCATGTTTGAGCATGTCTTAATGAGACATACCCGAAAATGAGGTTTATAGCTATGTTATGTGCGTTATAGAGGTTAGTCTACGTTAACGTCAAAGTTACTGTGCTCTTGATAGTAATGCTACGAGTTACCACACTTTAATGTTTATATACTTCCTTTATCTTCATGTATCCGAATGTTTTCACAAAGTATTGTCTTTACACTTTCTACACTACTATCGACTACCACACCCATATCACACCCTATTACATACATGTGGCACACCCTCCTCCATCACCACACTCTCTCACCGTTCCTTTATGTTAGTACCCCAAAAGATGATCCCCTCCCCGGCTACACGGGGATTCTCAAATGGCATCGCGCGGAAAACAACAAGATTTAAGAGCTTTGTCTCATGTTTATCACGTTAATAGGACCGGATACACCATATTTATAGCCACACAAACATGTACACAACGTTCCCAGATTAACACTGTATCGCACTGTCGAGATAATGCTTTTAAAGTTGAAAAATCAGAAAGTTAAAGTTAGAATGGCACGTAGACAGTAGTAATCAATGATTTGAGTCATAAGTTTACTTTTATTAGGTTGGTCCAAAAGTAACAGGAAACTTTTTGCTTGAGAAATAAATGAAAATTGTCTCGCTATTTTTGGTTCAACCATAAATTCATGATCCAAGTCATCGGTTATAAACAAATGGCATCACTTCTGAACAGCTCCCTTGAAAGCAACAGAGTTCCGGTAGACTTTACCTTAGCCATGACAGGTTTGATGTTCAATAAAACAATACGCTCGGTATCGGAAATTACAGGCTTCTACCGTTGCTCCCAACTGAATGCAAGGCCTTATTAATAACACAAGCGGCACGACGAGTAGAAAAAGCAGCTTTGAAGAACCTATCAGCATCTCAAGCAGGATTTAGACACAGATTTTCTACCAAAAATCTATTGCAGTAGTCTCTCTATATAGTGAACCATCTGTATAAGTTGCTTATATAGAGAGGGTACTGTATATACCAAGCCAAAAGCTTTAGAAACCTTCTTCTTTTCAAGTCAAGATGATAAAGTAGCCTAATCTACTTTTCAGACCAAAACCATCCTTGATTGTACTGTCCAGCATCCAACTACACAGCCTAATAACTTATAAGCCTCATAACTAACGTATGTACCTCCAATTAGTGATAACGTGGTAAAGATCAACTCTTTACTAATTTTACCCTAACCTAACAGATTAGATTTGTAAGTAATTTAGCTCACTTTCTTTGCATCAGATTTGTGCTAATTAAGGCCATGTGTAAGACATTATATTACGTTAGGTAATATCTTAAACATAGATTATGATTCCTAAAGTAGAACAATCTATAAATGGCAGTAAGAAGTTGAACTTATTATTGCCTACACTAGTTAATTAATAATCTATGATTGGTATTTGGACCTTATACGGGATGAAATGGCACAATGAGACTATATCGATTATAATATCATATCAGTCTTTTCGTAAGCTTAGTACTGTAATAGTACAATAAAGTGCCGTAAACTTGTTAGAAACCTCAAATGTCATTATACTATTACACAATATAAAAAATACCTTAAGCAGAGCATAACTAACTATGTAAAATAATACCACCCTACCATAACATACCATCCTATCATAAGAAACCACCTTATCATAACACACTATGCTAACACTACTAAACACCTTTCCCTTATATACCCCTGAAAGCCCCCTACTCCCAGTATCATACACAGAAACCGTCTACACTTAAAATACCGTGAATCCAACCTGAAGATGTAATAAACATAACCAAGATCGACTACAAGAAGCGTGGTAAACAGGGCCACAACAGGACTACATGCTTCTTCGTATATCAGTGATAATCCAACGCGCATTTCGTCGAACAAACAAATCTCGGCTTTATCCTGGGATCTACAAACAAGCATGACCGCTAATCCGGATTACGGTATGTTTACGTACATTGTTACACTGAGGTCGTGCGCGAACATTGTGCGTACATCTGCATGAGTATCTACATGAGTACATCTATATGAGTAAATCAACATTGTATAAGGTATATCTCTATCAGTATCTTCATCTACATAATCTTGACTTATCATCAACATGTACATCTTCTTAAAAATGTTTTTTCCTTTCAAATACCTTGTTTCAAAAAAAGGCCCTCATCGTCGTATGTCGAAGGAAATCTGCTTTGTTTCATACAGTAAACAAAGTACGATGCCGTGGATTAGGGCACGGTGTAACGCGTGATCTACATGATGTTGTTGCTGTGTACACTAGGCGGAGAACAAAGTTACCACGCATCGTATTAGTGGTAGAAAAAAGGCATATTAAGCCAGTGTATGGATGGTGTATTAGCTACAGTATGCAACAAATACCGT